AATTTCTATCGATAAGAAAGATCAGTTATAAAAAAGTTATAATGAATTATTTTTTATTCCATCTATGCCGCTTTTATACTCGTTCGATATGAAGCAATGCTTTGCAAAGATGTGCTCTGCAGAGAAACTGGTGAAACAGAAAATTGTAAAGGCGCTCCAGCCAACTAGAAGGTTTGGAGGGCTTGTTCTTAGCCCAGTGGGCACAAAGACTGTCTCGCCTCCAGACAGAAAATACATTGATAAATACGGCCTGGCTGTGGTTGATTGCTCCTGGAATAAAGTTGATCAAGTTGACTTTACCACACTGCCCTCAATGAGAAACAGGCTCCTTCCCTACTTAGTTGCTGCTAATACAGTTAACTATGGGAGGCCATGCAGACTAAACTGTGCAGAAGCATTTGGGGCTGCCTTATACATATGCGGGTACAAAGAGGATGCAGAGAAAATACTTGAGCCATTCCCATACGGCCCAGAATTTCTCAAGATAAACAGTGATCTTCTTGAGGCGTACTCAAAGTGCGAAAGTGCAGAAGACGTTATTACAGTACAAAATACGTATATTTCTGCAGGAAAAAATAAAGAATGAAAAAATGTCCGTACTGCGGCTCTAAAAAACTTGACAGTCTTACAGAAACCGTCTACTGTGATGCATGCCAGTCGTATTTCAGAAGAACAAAAGATGAGTTAGTGCCCATCTTTATAGAGAATAAAGAGGTTTACAGAAAATACCAAAAAATAAGCGAGAGAAGAGTGCTGTGCACAGTCTGCCAAGAAAGAAATGAAATGGAAATTGAAAAACTCCGGGCAGAAGAAGAGCAAAGGGAAAAGCTAAAAAGACCGATGAAAAAGGATAAAAGTGACTTGATATTCAGCAATCTATGCAGGGAGTGTGTAGAGAGGGTAAATGCAAAGCTAGAAAGCGATAGAGTCAAGTACTATCCAGAGTATAGATCATTTATAATTAGAAAAAGAGTCGTTGGCTCTGCAGTAATTGCTGTCACTGCAGTTATATCCAACTGGACAGGTGGATTATTTGGGTCTTTTGTGCTTGCTGCATACATGATACGTGAGATACGTGGACTAGAGAGTGTATTTATAAGCATTCTGTTCTGCAGTCTTGCATACTTCTTCAGTTGGGTTGTTTTTGTCTTTTCCGTTGTAGTTCTGATGTGGTTGTTTGCTCGCAGAAAATGCAAAGAACTCATATACTTGCAGTTCAGCCTGGATGTAGAGAAGATCCAGAAGGATATTCTAAGAAAGATAAAAAGCCTGCACTTAGGAGATAAAAGAGACACACAGGAGACAGCACCTCAAGATAGAAGAAGCTTTGTACACCTGGCATACAGTCAGCACCAACGGCATAATGAAGAGTTAGATGAAATTGCAAAGGGAATTTCAAGTCTGAAAATAAAAGATACCTGGTACGGCAAGGTTGATCGGATTGTTGAGTGGCTAGCAACAACATAAAGGAGATCATGCAATCGAACTGACAGGCAGATATTTTATCCCAGAACCAAAAGAGTCTTTCAACTGTATTTTCAGGTTTTCATTGTATATGCAATTCTTGCTGTCTGCAGAGCGCAAAAACCTTCTATGCAGTAAGTTCCCTTGTGACCTGAAAACAAGGCAATTGCATAATTACTGCAGTAATTCGTCCTTGTGACTTGTCTTTCTTAATACCTGCTGGCATATAGACAAGATTAAGGAAGACTGTGCGATTATTAGAGTAGAGAATTTTCTGGGATGAAATCCTTCTGAAACTCTGTATGCACTGGAGTGCAAAAACCAGCAACCAATAAACTACACACCAACTAGTAATATCGATTGATCCATTCTAGCGCGCAGCTTTATTCCAGAAGGTCTCTCTGGTTTCGTTTTTAATTGGAGAGTTTCTGTTTATAAATACAAGGAGACATTTGAAGTAAAATGGTATACAAACCTATCTTTCTAGGGATATCTCTAGGAATCAATACAAAAAAACCATCTCTTGATCTTTCCATCTCAATAAATGATGGACTATTCACATTAGGAGAAAAGACGTATTCCTTCGTGATAGTTAATAGCACAGCAGAAGGAATGCGCTCTCCCATGATATCTCCACAGGTAGCCCCCTTCCCAGAGAAAAATGACGCCTTAGAGATGGATGAGATTAGAGGTCTGTACATAAACATTGAGAAACAAATCAGTCTACCAGCATACTTTAGCACAGTAATTGATAAAAGTGCCCGCAGTGCCCCAAAGTACGGACTGGAGGAAGAAGAGTCTTTGGACTGTGAAGTCTGTTCAGCAGACACTAACGAGCCCATATCAGAACAGTCAATTCCAATTAGATGTGCTAGGTTTGCCTCTAGATCTCCTCCAATCATCCGTGCAGGTGAAGATGTGATTGAGTGCAAAATGCCAGAAGACTACCTTCCAATTGATATATTTAAGGGAGAAGTGGCTTCTGGTCTAATTAATATTTTGATAATCACATTAGACAAATGGCTGGGAGAGTACACGAGAGAGAATGCAGTGAAAATAGTAGGACTTGGTGTGGCATCAAATATATTGAATTTAAGTGAGCTAGGGGACAAACTAAAGTCAATCCTTTGGAATAAGTATGATATTCTGCCTTGTTTCTTCCCAAGTGACTGTGCTTCATTGAAGAGTCAGTCTGAGTTCCTTGCAAGAAAATGTGCGTCTTTGTTTCCAAATAATAACCTGACAGTTCTCACAATTGGAGAGCACAATAAGGTGGTTGTTGACTCTGGGTACATTTGGTACTGCGCAGTAGAGCACTACAGGCCATCCATAGGCGAAAAAAGTTATGAGTTCATGGTTGACCTTTTGAAAGAATCCAGAGCCATGGCAGACGAGAAGCAAAAAATAACATTTTTCAGCTCGACAGCACAAGGAGGCGGAGTGGCTCTAATGAGGCATTCTTTGGTTCGGTACCTGCAAATAATCAATGTTGATGTGGCGTGGCATGTGTGCACTCCAAGTACTTCTGTCTTTAACATAACAAAAATGAAGGTGCACAATGTTTTGCAGAATGCATTCAATAACAGCATACAGACAAAAGGCGAATTAGAGGCAAATTTACAAGAAGGTGAAGAAAGTGTATGGTTAAGTGAGGATGACAAGGCAAAGATAGATGGGTGGATAGAATCAAACTATACCCAGCACTGGAAGGAAAGAATTCAGGAGAGTACAGTTGTAGTACTAGATGATCATCAGGTCTCTAGACTTGCAAAAGTCATAAAGAAAGATGCACCAAATGTCTTGATAATCTACAGATCGCATATTCAGATACGAACTGACCTTATAGGAAAGAGCACAGATCCAAATAATCTCACTGCAATGGATAATCTTTGGCAATTTCTGTGGGAGAGTCTTACGCACGCAGATTACTTTGTAAGTCATCCATTTGAAGAGACAGTCCCAAAAGATGTTCCTGCGCATAAAGTGATATTTCAGCCTGCTGGAACAAATCAGCTTGATGGACTGAATAAGCCACTTGGTCTTCTTGCAAAGACATACTACCAACGGCTTTTTAATGACATATGCACAAGAAATGGCGAGAACACAGTTGACTTTAACAGGAAATATATTGTGCAGGTTGCCAGGTTTGACCCATCAAAGGGCATTAATGATCTTCTTGATGCGTACTATGGCTTGTTCTGCATGCACAGGAAGGCCTTCCCAGAAAAAGAGTTTGACATTGGGCTGGTGTTTTGTGGGCACGGGAGTGTTGATGACCCGGAGGCTGTGGTTATTTTTCATGCTCTTTCAAAGAGGCTTGAGTCAGAGAAGTTCCAGGAGATTAGGCATCTTATCACAAAGATTTCTCTTCCTCCGGTTGACCAGCTGCTTAATGTGATTCTGCGGAATGCATATGTTGCATGCCAGCTCAGCACAGCAGAAGGATTTGAAGTGAAAGTGACAGAGTCTCTGATGAAGCAGGTGCCTGTTGTCGTCTACAACGTAGGAGGGCTTCCTTTGCAGGTACGGGATGGCGTGAATGGGTATATCATAGAGAAGGGAAATATTGCAGAAGTGTCTTCTAGGCTGTTTCAGCTTCTAACAGATGAGAAGCACTATAAACACATCAAAGAAGGAATAAATCCAAAGGACTTCATAGGAATTACCACTCCATTCCAGGCCCTCTTCTGGCTCAAGATGAGCAATAGAAGTATTACTCCAAAGTCACAGCGATACTATAAGGACTTTGCTGAGAAGTATCTGAAGTAATAAATGGAGATTTTATTCTCTATAATAAAAATATAAATCTCTTCAGATCTTTTAGGAATAAGAAGGCTTTTAAACTATTTTTATATTGCAGCTGATTTTGACAGCAGAAAATGCGCAATAGTGACAAGAAATATATAGACATATACAGACATATTAGGCAAGAATATACATAATTAATATGCAAGAGAATATACATAATTAGTATTCAAGAGAATATACAGACTTAATGTGTAAGAATATACAGACGTATTAGGCAAGAGAATAGACAGAAATATTATTCAAGAAAAATAGCATATTTCCATTCTATTATAATTCTTCTATACATTCTATTATCTATCCTGTTATAAATTCTATTATCTATTCTACTATTATATATTCTATTATACATTCTTCTATAAATTCTATTATAAATCCATAGAGAGAATGGAAAAATATTTACAATTCATAAGAGTACAAGTACTCCTGTTACTACGGATATATTAATAATATTATGTATACAGCATAAATATGTATATATCTAGTGTTTATTACAGGAAGAACGTATACTCTTTGTTTTGAGAGTCGTACTGGGAGAGATCTGAAGATGTGTACAGAGCAATAATTGCCTCAGATGATGCAGAATTCACGCCACACCCTTCCAATAGCCCAATCAATCTGCGGGCTCTCTCTGGGTGTGTGCTGCATGCGTACACCAAATATTCTTCAGAAATAAGTCTGGCAATGCCACGGGGACTCTTTTGTGCCAGTGCCTCTACAAGGGAAAGAAGTTCTTCTGACTCCCGGCACTCATTAAAGAATCTTTTGATGTCATCAATCGTGTTTGCACTTTGCAGGAAAGGTGCCACTCCTACCTTGTACAGAATCCTAACAATATCCTTTATGTACAGTTTTCCATCAGGAACAATATGCTTCATGAACACGTACGGCATGCAGCTGGATATAATCTCAGGGCGGTCTGACAGATACAAAAGGCACTTGATCAAGTGTTTTGTGCTTTGACTCCCTTCAATCCCAGCAAGCACTTCCTTTCTGTTATAGAGCGAGTCAAACTCTCTCTTAAAAAACCTCCCAAAGACCTTCAATTTACTTGATGATAAGTCAGTGAGACTAAATAGAATTTCACCCTTAAGATGTGACAGAATCCATTCAATAGGCAAGGCAGTCTGGGCTGCATCTCCAGTAGACAAAGCATGGACTTCCTTTGGTTTTGATAATATTGTCTGTTTCATGGCAGTATTTCCATTCAGATTCTTAATAGAGCAGGAATTCTCCACTGTAATTTGAGTGGGAATTGCAGTACTGCACTGAGTGGACTGCGTATACCCAGGCACTAATGCACTTTCACTCTTTATTCTTTTTATCATTTTTGTCTCTGCCTTCTCCTCTCTTAGTTCTTCTTTTAGTCTTTTTATTTCTTTTTTCATCTCTTCTATTCTACTTCCCATTTCAATTCTCTCTTTCTTTATTTCTTCGCACTCTCTGGCCCATCTTCTTTCTTTCTCTGCAGTGTTTCTTTTAAGAATGTCAAGTTTCCCCTCAAGATACTCACTTTTCTCATCTATTGTCATCCCAGTATATTCATTATTCTTCTCCCCGTATGGAATATTTTCTTTTTCTTTGGCTTGTCCCATTTTATTCTTTTCTGTTTTTCTTCTATTTTTTATTATCCCCTGGACTTATTAAATGTGTGCAGCCAGAATACCAATACCAACAGACTATTCAAAACTGCTGATTACAGCCACATGCCACCTAGGAGGACAGAGTTTAAACCACAAGATGAAGGATTACACATACGGAAGACGACAGGACAAGGTCTATGTCTTCAACCTACAGAAGACTTGGGACAAGCTTGTTCTTGCCGCACAGATGATAGTTAGCTACAAAAACAGAAAGGACATTGTTGTAGTGAGCAACAAGAAGTTTGGATACAAGCCAGCAGGAATATTTGCAAGAGCCGTTGGAGCCACCCACATAACCACTGCTTTTGTGCCAGGAACATTCACCAACAAGTCTTCCATCAAGGGAATTACTGAGCCCAGGCTAATTGTCACTGTAGATCCATTCACTGACAAACAGACTATTACTGAGGCCTCATTCATCAATGTGCCATGCATCTCTTTGGCTAACACCGACAATGACGTAGACCTAATTGACTGCATCATCCCATGCAACAACAGATCTGCCACTTCAATTGGTGCCATATTCTTCATTCTTGGGCAACTTGTCAGATACATGCAGGGTGACATTGACATGACCAGCGAAATTAGACTTCTTGTCGACTCATACTTCTACAGAGACCCTGCAGAGATAGAAGCAGGAATGGCTGAGAAGGAAAAAATGAAGGAAGAGGAAAGAGAGAGCGAGGTTGACTGGGAAGACAAGCCATCTGCTGAGGAGCCAGTACAGGAATAACTTCAATAAACCACTATTTTAACATATTCTTCACCCACAGGACACCAGAAGAAAGAGTCTCTCAGTGCGTAATCCATACAGGAGACTATCCAGTCTGCAAAGTATTTTAATTTTATCTTTTTTAGCTGCCATGAATGAGTTGGCGAGTGTTACATTTCTGCCTTTGCACATTTACTACACAGTGGAAGATGCAGGGCCACTGGTCTGCCTGCAGGGAAAGACACAGACAGGAGAAGAGATTGAATGTACAGTATCAGGGCACTACCACTACTTCTATATCAGTAGAGTGCCAGGGGAATCCATAGATTCAGCCAGAATCGAAGCAGTACACAAGGAGATAGTGAAGGTCAATGTGGTAACAAAGACAAATATATACGGATACGCAGAGGGAGAAGAAGAATTCTACCAGATCTGCATAAGAGACCCAAAGAAGATTGTCTCTGTTAGTACTGCTGTAGTAGAATACTTCAGCAGAATGGATGAAAATAAGAATAGTAGAATTACATTTGAAGTGAATATAGGGTACATCATACGGTTTATGGTGGACAAAGAGATTGTCGGAATGGGATACGTAAATGTATTCCCAACAAAAAGGGAAGTGAAGAATGGAAAGACATTCCTGACAGTAGAGAGCACTAGAATATTTCCAATTAAGACAATCGACAAACTTCCTCCAATTAAAATACTCAGTCTAGACATAGAGTGCATAGGAGAGAATAATAAATTCCCAATTCCAACGAGAGATCCTGTGGTGCAAATAGGAAATGCAGTTGCAGTGTACCCAAACCCAGAAATAGTAGAGAAAGTGCTTTTCTGCACTAAGACAACAAATCCAATACCTGGTGCATCCATCTTCTCATTTAATGATGAGAAAGAGATGCTGACTGCCTGGTCACAATGGGTTTCTGTATTGAACCCAGATGTTCTAACAGGATATAATATTACGCAGTTTGATATGCCGTATTTGCTTGACAGAGCAAGCATCCTAGGGCTGCCAGACTTCAAGTACTTCTCCAGAACAAAAGAACCAGTGCACATGAATAAACTACCGCAGACAAATAATAACGGAAATAATAACGGTGGAAATAATAACGGTAGCAATAACGGTAATAATAATGGAAAAGAGGGTGATGATAAGAATGGTTCTAGTGGTGGATTTACTGCACCTGCTACACTAGTGGTACCAGGACGGATTGTCTTTGATATGCTGGATATTGTGAAGAAAGAGTTCAATCTGCACAGCTATTCTCTTAATTCAGTTAGTTCTGTATTTTTGGGTGAACAAAAAGAAGATGTTCATTACACCCAGATACTGGCCCTTTACAATGGAACAGATGAAACAAGAAAGAGACTTGGTGTCTACTGCCTTAAAGACACTTATCTTCCTATTAGGATAATGTACACAAAAAATCTGTTCATTAATTACTGCGAACTTGCAAGAGTGACGGGTGTGCCATTTGAGTATTTGGTGAACCGGGGGCAAGGTATCCGAGTCCTCTCGCAGCTGCTTAGACAGGCAAAGGCGTACAACTATATTTTGCCCGTTGTAATAGGACAAAGTGAAACATATGAAGGCGGTTATGTAATGGAGCCAAACAAAGGATTCTACAGTAACCCAGTCGTAGTGCTGGATTATGCATCTTTGTATCCGTCAATTATCATGGCATATAATATGTGTTATACAACGCTTTTAAGCAAAGAGCAGGCCTCTAAAATGGACAAGAGCGAGTACACTGAGTCTCCAACTGGTGACTGCTTCTTGCGGAAAGAGAAAAAACCAGGGATCTTGCCGGTCATTCTGACTGGACTACTGGAAGGAAGAAAGGCCGTCCGGGCAGAGCTTAAAAATATCAAAGACCCAGAGTTAAAGGCGTCTTTGAATGCAAGGCAACTTGCCCTGAAAGTATCCGCTAACTCAGTCTACGGATTCACAGGCGCAGCAAGAACAGGTCTTCCATGCATACCAATCTCAAGGAGTGTGACTGGCTTTGGAAGAGAAATTCTTAAGAAAACAAAAGAGTTAGTTGAAAATGAATATAACAAAGGAGAGAAGACAGAAGGATCAGATCAACAAGAAAATAACAACAGTCAAAAAGAAGGTAACAGAAGAACCTGGAACTTATTTGTTGCATACGGAGACACAGACTCAGTCATGGTGACACAGCCAGGTCTCACACTAGAACAAGCATTCCAGGTAGGAGATGAAATATCAAAGTTCGTCTCCACTAGGCTCCCAAACCCACTGACCCTGGAGTTTGAGAAGGTTTATCACCCATTTGTCCTGATAAACAAGAAAAGATACGCAGGATGCACAAAGACATCACCATCAGATAAAGGACGCATTGATACAAAGGGAATTGAAACAGTCAGAAGAGATAACTGTCTTCTTGTAAGAGATTTAATGAAGGAGTGCATAAATAAGGTATTCCTGGAGGGAGACGTAGAAGGCACACGAGCACTCATCAAGGACAGAGTGAAGGAACTACTGAGTAATAGGATAGGAATTAGTCAGTTAATTATTACAAAGTCAATCACAAAGCAAGGAGGTGACTATGCAGTTTCACTTGCGCATGTGGCACTCGCAGAGAGAATGAAAAAGAGAGAAGGAACAGGACCAGGACTGGGTGACAGAGTGCCTTACGTTATCATCACAGGAAAGGGCCCATTGCATGAAAGAAGTGAAGACCCAGTCTACGCCCTGAATAATAATCTCCCAATTGACACTCTCTATTACCTGAAGAATCAAATTACAAAGCCACTAGAGAGACTTCTCTCCTATGTGATAAAGGATATTCTGAGTATCCTGGCACCACCTGACAACTACACAGTGGGGGCAGGCATGGCAGTGAGGGAAATGCCAAAGGGCATAGGCGCATTCTTTAAGAAAAAGAAGACGTGCGTCATTTGCAAGGCAGGTGACTATCCAGTCTGCAAAGTCTGTGATAAATCATATCCTGCAGTGATACTGGAGACATACCAGAAATTATGTGGACTACAATGCGCATATCACCTGGTTATGCGAGAGTGCCAGGAAATGCAGAATGCAAGGCACTCTCCAATTGTCTGCAGCAACAGAGACTGTCCCGTGTACTACATACGCATAGAACTACAGAAAGAAATTGAAGAAGTTCAAGGCAGATATACGCAACTCCTGGAGCACAAGCAAAAGATACCTTATACAAAGGAATAAGTACACATTAATATTAATAAAGGTGTGTCTTAGTATATCTTAGTGTATCGGGTTATATCTTAGTCATATCTTAGTATAAATATTCTTGAAGAAAGTCAATTTATACTTGAGTATATTTCTATCTATATGTAGGCTAAGTGCGTCTGGTGATTAGTTAATTATAAGGTGACTAAATAAAGAAGTATTTCTGTTTAAGAAGTCAAGGTGTATTTATGTTTAAGAAGTCAGGTTATAGTTAGTTTTTAATAATTTCCCTTTTATGTACAGTTATTTATTCAGTTAAAATAATCAATTTAATATTCTTTACTCTACCCTTCACTAGAAATATTTCACTGCAGCAGACAAAAATTCACAAAAATACACTAGAGAGAATTTGCACTAGAAATATTTCACTGCAGAATACAAAAATTCACAAAAATACACTAGAGAAAATATACTAGAGAATTTGCACTGCAGAAGCCAGAAATTCACAAAATTATCAGAATGAAATTCCCTTGATATACTTTGTTCGTTATAGAGTACTAACCTATTTCTGAAAAGTCACTTTCTCCTGGGATACTGTGCATAAATAAATCTGAGTGAAATATAATTAAGAATATGGAAATAACCATATAGAGTATAAGAGTAAATAATACTAGAATATTCTATGGAATAGACAATAATTGAAATAGACAGTGAATATATGCATATTCTAAGACTAGTGAAAATTCAGTATATTTTGTCTATAGGACAGTGGAATGTAGCTGCTTTATAAGTATAGTATACTAAGTACACATGCTTAGACTAAAATACGTATATACAGTAGATAAATACGCCTAGATGGACTAAAGGACTAAGTATACTTGGATCTGGTGGAAGTTCATGGAGATGCAGGTTGTCGTTATGTCGTTACTTAAGTTTATTTTTCTGCGATATTTTTTATGATTATTCAATCCTGCATACTGACAGCACAGAAGAAGTGCGAGGTGCCAATTAAATATAAACCAACCAGAGAGGCATTTGACCACTATGCACATTACTACATGAAGGAGCCACAGGAATTATACGATGAAGTGGCAGCAGTTGCCGATGGATCTTGTGAGGAAGATGACATAAGCAGTGAAGAGGTAGAAGACAACGAGATAAAAGAGACAGACAGAATTGCTGTTGCACTAATTTCAGAAGACAATGAGCCAAGACTAGACACATACGTGCTAGACAAGGAGACAGATGCATTTTATGTACACCACGATGTCTTCCTGCATGGAGTCCCAACTGGTCTAGCAGTGAGTGACAGAAATGAAGAACCACTTTCATTTGTAGCAAGTGAGGATGGAACTATCGCAATATACAGAATATTTGTGACAAATCACTTCCTCCCAGACGGTGTTATAGTAGCACACGAAGGAAGAATAAACAGTATTGCAGCAGACACTGTGAATATTCTGACAAATTCCTCAGAGGAAATTAAGCTGTGGGATATAAACACACAGAAGAATATTTTCACACATAAAAGACAACAGAAGGCAATTGCCATGAAGGACTCTTTTGTTTATTTCTCAGATAATTCATCTGTTTATATGATAGATACCAGAGATAAGGCAGAAATAAATCTGTTCTCAGCAGACTCAGAGATAACTTCAATCTCATCCGATAGAAATTCAGTTGCAGCTGGAACAATAAATGGGTCCATAACATACTCAATCAACCAAAGTAAAGAGAAAAGCTTTAAGATCCATGGAAAGGCAATAAACAACGTATGTGCTTCAATGGACAGATACATTGTCTCTGCATCACAGGATGAAACTATTTCACTTTTTGACATGCAAAATGGTGAGATTGTAGAGAGAAAGGCAGCAGGAGTAGACACAGTCACTGTAAGTATACCAAGTGACACAGTCAACATCTACACATATGCGAATGAGGATGGAGATCTGTCAGCCGGGTCATTCGAAGATGCTCTATTAAGAATTGAATAAACTTTCTTTTTTATGGATGAACTATTTACGAAAGAGAAAACACTCTGCAATGTTTCGCTAAAGGAGAGGGCACTCTGGGTATTCCTGGAATCAGTGGAGAGACTTCAGAGCAGAAAGATATCCAATGCCCTTTTGGCAAGGATAGAGGAAGACCATTTGGAAATGACAGAAATATTTGTGTTCATTGATGAATTCATCCGGGTAGGGAGAAGTCTAAACCCGTATGGACTGGAAAGACTTAAAAGGAAGTTTGATGGACTGCGACTGGTCCGGTACATTGTTTCCAAGCCTTTGCAGTTCACACAAAAAGACGAAACTTTGCTTTGCAGCTTGATTGACTTTCTTGATGTCAAGATGGTGGAGAAAAAGGAATTCTTCTACTCACCAGATATAGTGCAGATAAGCATTATGTTCTACCTAGCCAGAAGATCAAAAATACCAGCTCTGGAGATTAAGTACTCAATTGAGCTTATAGACATAATTAAGAGACGAAAGACACACAGAACCCAAGCGTACTTAGAAGAAATTGTCAGTCTGGCTACAAGACAGATAGAAAATACAGAATACATAGAAGAATTAAAGGCACAAATAAAGGAAGGATGGCCATACGAGAAGACAAACCCAGCACAAAAGACACTTTTGGGCTTACTTGGGGAAGAATCCTGTCCATACGAAAACTTCAGTAAGAGACATATTCCCATCCACATAGTTTCACCACTTTTCATCCGGGATAAGCAGACAATCCATCTTCTTCCTGTGATATTTTGCATTGGAAGGCTATTGGAAGAGAATCCAGACATACTTTCTGTGCTTTCTTCTGGATTCATTAACTGCGTATCACCACACTGCAAGGAAAGAATAAATTTGGAACACGCCAAGTACTACCTTATGCACAAGATAAGAATAGATGCAGAAGTGGATAAATTAGTCAATGAGACACTCATGCACACACTCACTGCCAGCTGCATTATCCCAAAGGGAACAATGCACTTGAAGAAATATCAGACTCACAGATATCTCAGTTATATAGTGAACACATTGAAGAAATTGGAGAGAAAGCAGACTGAAGACAAGACAGTTACTGTATTACTCTTTGAAGTTCTGCAATATTTTCCTATCTACGGGGAAAATGAAGAATACGTTATAAGTCTAGCAAAGGCAGCATGCCAAGAGAGTTCAGTCACAAAGATGCTTCTGGTCCTGAATATTCTATATAAAGTACAAGGCACAAAGAAGATAGGATTTGCAGTTGCACTGTTAAGCCATGCTTTGATAAAAAGAGAAGACACCTTCTATACAAATACAGTTGTATATGCCGTTGGGAAGAAGCAAAGAATATATCTGCAGATGGCTAAGCCCTTAGTCTTAGACCACTTCTTGTACCGGTCAGCAGATGCACAGGATCCAACTACTTTCACTGCACTCTCTAAGCTGTACGGGTATAAAACAGTCAAGGAATTCATGGAAGGAGAGAAGTATTATTTAGGACCAAGATTATGGCAGACAGAAAGGGTTGATGAGTACTACACGAATTTACCTACAATCTTCATCTACTATGCAATATATATTTATCAGACAGGAAAAGGAGGTGGTCTTAGTACAAAGATCATTGAGCAACTAAAAAAGACAATGGAAGATATGGGAGTGGAAGTGGCTGTGATAATATTTCTTGCAGTCCCAGAACCCACTGAATTCTTTAAAGAGTGCGGCCTGGATGTTAAGGATCTTTTAGGAAAACACTCACTCATCTCTATTCTTTGTGCTGCCAGGAAGATACTTGAAGAGAAGATTGTTCACGTTAAGAACTGTATATTTAACCTAATATACAGTGCACTCTCGTATACGCACCAGCATGATGGTACTTACTACGTCCAGGAAGTACGTGAAATTATACTATTTCTTGTCTACACAGGAAATATAAAAGGGAAAGAAATCTGCTGTGAAATGAACTGCAGCAAGAACCAGTTCTTCAACCAGATCATTGGAAAGTCAAAGAAACAAGATATTCTGCAGAATAGGTATATGATTGCGCAGGACCTGACAAAGGAGCAGAAGCAAACAATTGAGAAGATGGTGGGGGAAGACCCTTCACTGTACTTTGAAGAAGCCACTACATTCAGTGATGCCGTGATTAGAATATATCCGTATCTGAAGGTAAGAACATCTCTTGAATTTTTGTCAATCAAGAAAATCTTCCCTCTTATCTTTAACGCATCACATGAAGAAGTACATGAATTTGCACAAAGTCACTGGGCCCAGTGTAAACAACTGATTATATCACTGTATAGAATGTACAGTGACTCAAAAGACAAAGAAGCACTGCAGGCCCTTGGGTGCTTCGGGATATTCGGAATTGATGCATTTGAGGAAAGAAATGAGACACCAGACAGATTTATTGATGAGACAATTCAGTGCCTTAACTTTGACTATGCGAAAGAGAAGAGCTTAATTGCAGAGTTCTTTATATCCAAGGTCTTTGTCCCAATCTACTACGAAACACACGATGACCTTCTGCAGTACATCATACAAGAACTTCTGAAAGACGTAAAAAGACAAAGTTTCACAGAAGGATCAGATCTACTAGGAAAACTGCAGACATCACAATATATTATAGAGATAGATCAGGCACGCCTAAAGGAAATACAGAAGCAGAGTCATCTCCCTGCTTATAGACGAGGAATATCTTATTCTTGTTTTCTTGTAAATTTAATTGGAGTTCTTGCTCAGATACCAGCAGAAGAATATGCCTTCCATGTGCTCCATGACTCCATGGCAATCCTGGATACTGTAGAGAGCAAAAGGTGGCTGCAAAGGCACAAGGTCTCTATTCTGCAGTGGTATCTATTTATGATGATATTCTCGCTTAAGAAGGACTATTTGGACAGTATAAGAACGCACTTTCTGCCTGTATTTAATGACATAAAAAATGGCGTACTAGTGGATTTAGATATTCTTAGGAGTATTATATCCAGCAGCATGTACATGAACAGTATATTCACAGAGGAAGAACTTCTTCTGTGCAGCAGACATGTCCAAGACAGGCACCTTACAATTCGTGTCCTTGAAGTTCAGATGCAAAAGTGCAAATACACTGCAATGAGAGATGTCTTCCTGACAAACATACAGAAGGAGTATCTGGAGATTGAGGAAAAGGACGTGGTATTTGGCATAAATGCAGCAATAACAAAGCTGTCTCCTGTTAACCTGGCAGCAGAATTAAAGATAAATAACGAACATGCAAATTACATCTACCTAAACAGAAAGATACTTAACCATACACCCATCCAGACAGACATAGACGCAAAGTACAAAGAATTATTCCGGTCCATAAATAGCCAGGATATGCCAATGATGGATATACTTAAGAAGGCAGAGCAGTCGATGCAGGAATGGGCATGTACAGCCCCAGTGCACACATTCAGCAGGGACACTGCAAGCCTAAGATCTTTCCTTGTGGATGTCCATCTTCTGCAGGACTGCAAAATATTGCAGAAAATGCCGCTTCCTAAGGCACTTGAAATAATAAAAGACAGAAGGGAGCTGCCACGGACGTACCAGTCACTGCGCATATCCGAGATACACAGAAATCTGTTTCAACTTCTGCCTGAGACACCAGAAGTCATAAGAGCAGAAGAAGATGCACTTTTATACGGAGTTAGAATTGCAAGGAAATCTGGTCAATGTGAACTCTCAGAGAAGCTTTTGATTCGGTCGATCCTAAAGGACGACTGGCGAGTCTTCTACGAAAAGGCAAAAATTCACTTAGAGAAAAATAATAAAAGTTTAGCTAAACAGGCACTGCAGAGACTAATGGACAACCTGCCAATCAACAGCAAATACAAAGAAAAAGCAATCCTTCTGAATACTGAGATAGAACAGTCAAAGGAAATATACAAGAATGCCCTTTCAACTCTGAAGACAAATGAAAGGCTTTATTTCAAGTACGGGAAGTACTTGGAGAGAAAGCAGCCTGTATATGCATTTAAGATGTTCTGCAAGGCACTTGAGTGCGGCAGTGAGAAGGCCCTGGAGATAATTCCCAAATTAATTCATTACCTAACAGACACAACAGGACCAGATCATGCAAAAGAAGATATACATGAATGTGTTTTAGTGATGAAGGAAACCCTTGAGAGAGTGGATATTAAAATATTCAGGCGGTTTTATGTTCAGATACTGGCCCGTTTGTCTCACAAGGAAAAGTCAGTTGCACAACTTCTTCTGAAAATATCAAAACAACTGATTGAGAAGTTCCCTTCAGAATTTGCTTGGAGAACACTCTCTCTTTACACCAGCAAGAACACGGCAGTCCATGCTATGATCGGGAGTACATCATTCACATTCAGAAAATTATTCTCTGATGTATTTACGTTCACGCAGGCACTTGCTAAATTAAGCATGCACTCAGCAGGAAGTGGAGTGGTCTCAATTCCATCTATTCTTGGGTCATCCATTAGTGTGAGCAGAGGTATTCCTGCACCATTCGATGATTTTTTGTCTGAAATCATCAGTATCTCTGATAATATGTTTGTATTTTCGACCTTGCAGAGACCAAAGAAGATACAGGCCCTTACATCCGCAGGGTGCTACAAGTCATTCCTGTGCAAGGCCAATGATGATCTCCGGAAAGATGCTGGGTTCATGGATTTAAATATGCTCCTGAATTCTTTATTCCAGAGCAACGACAAGTGCCGGGCATACAATATTAGAGTGTACACTGTTGTACCAATCACAGAGAAGATGGGAATAATAGAGTTTGTCCAGAATCTGTCTACCCTTAAGGAAATGTGCGTATCTTTGCTCCCAGAAGTAGGCGTGTCCTTAAAAGAAATATCCGAAGAGTACGGATTTATGAAGAAAATATCCATGCTAGGGGAAAAGAACCTGAAGGAAATTCTGAAGAAAGTCCCACCAATATTCCCAACATATTTGCTAAGGACCTTCATGCGGCCAATTGAGTGGCTGCAGGCCAGAAAAAGATACACAATCACATACGCAGTCATGAATGCAGTAGGGTACCTAATGGGCCTAGGGGACAGACACTGCGAGAATATTCTATTCGATGAGAAAACAGGCGAGACGGTTCATGTAGATCTAAATTGCATATTTGATAAGGCATATACACTGCCAGTCCCGGAGACTGTGCCTTTCCGGCTGACCCAGAATATAGTGGCTGCATTTGGTCCAACAAAAGAAGAAGGCCAGTATAAGCTTACACTTGAGAGGGTTATGAAATTCCTCTCAATAAACAGAGACTTAATTGTTGCAAATCTTCTGGGATTTGTGCATGATCCTCTGGGGGAATGGACAGGCAGAAATAGCACAAAGACAGCAATTGACATAATTGAAAAGATAAAGGCAAAATTAGACTTTGATGATGAAATAGCAAAGTCATCTCTCCTAATAGAAAGAAGTATGTCATTAGAAGCACTTGCTAAAATATATGTCTGGTGGCTTCCATTTATATAGATATATAGGTACAGAATAAACCCCTTCACTAAAAATAAAATAGCAAAAAAAATAAAGAAAGGCTATAATTCATGCAGAGAAAGACCAGAAAAATATGTATACCACTTTATCTTATTTCATAGCTAGAGTTTGAGTCAGTGGTACACACAGAACTATAAACTTACTTGATTTTTAATATGCAAACAGACCATAGAATTAGCATACATTGCATGCTTAGACTGTATGCTTAGTAGAAGTATATGAAAATATTCATGAATACCTGATGAACTCACATATATGTATATTGGGTTATATCGGGTTATACTTCAATTATAGTCATATTCTTGTGATTTATCTGCAGGTGAGTACTCAAATATACTAGAATATATCCAAATATAACGGAATATACTCAAATATACGAGAAATGTACTAGAATATACTAGAATATATCCAAATATAACCAGAATATACTACAATATACTCAAATATACCCAAATACACTAGAATATAATACAATATACTAGAATATACTCAAATATACTACACTACAATACACTACAATATACACTAGTATATATATAATAAAAAGTGCAGTGCAATAGAAAATTCACTCAGTAAGAAAAAGTACTCCATGAACAGAAGTAGACTATGAACAGTAGTGTAGATTAGTGCACCCTGAAAATATTAAGGATACGAGTAAATCAGATAGATATTCTGTCTCTTCTTCATTCACACTAAGACAAGATACGAAGCACCTGCTAGTACGCATATTCCAAATAAGTCACTGAGTGCATTTAGAATTGGCACAATATTATATGAGACATCCATATCAAAGTACTGCAGAATAATAACAAGAATATTTGTAGTATAATACAGAAGGATTATTTCTACATTCAGAAGGGCACCAAAGAAAAGAATATACATAAAGGGAATTGCAGTGAAGAAAAGCTTTAGAAGACAGCAGGCAGCAGCAGCCAAGAAGGTGGCTGTGCATATAAGAGTGTAGAGTGTCTTTATGTTATTCGGGTTTGACATAAAACTGCCTGACTTCGTGTCTTCCGCACTGCTAATTGAAATGGTATCAAAGTTCTCCTCAATTTCAAGTGCACTAATGTAAGTAGTCACCTTCCCAACGTATATCAGAATGACAGACCCAGCAATTCCATTGAACAATGGGATTATACACCCCATCCATACGTCCTTTGTAGAGACAACATTTATAAGATGCCCTGCAACCATTGTGATCCCAAAGGATAAAGCAAGTGACCAAGCTCCAAATAATTTCAGATTCTGAGTGCCTTCTATTTGCGTATATATTATACCTAATATTGCAACAATCATGCATATTAGAAGGGTGTTTGTTATAAATACTTGGGAATAGAAGCCAGGCACAGTAATTGGCTCTGCTGTATTCAATGGGTACATTTTTCCCATTGAGATGAATATATTCTCTGAGAAGTATATTAAAGAGATAGTGCATATGTAATCCGACAAAGAGGCAATTACTGGGAGAAGTATATTGTCTGAGTCAAAGTCAAAGGAAATACTCATGAATATGCAAAATACAACACAAATAAATGTGCATATGCAACTGCATGCCCCAGAGAGGAAGGATGCACTAATAGTACCACACACCAGAAGCAGATTCTTCTGGATATCTGTCTGCATGAATACTTCCAAGATATTTCTGTAATTTGAAAATATTCCTATTAGTATGCTAAAGCCAGTGGAGACAAAAAACATGCTGAGACCAGAGTCAAAAACATACTCGATTAAGGAGAGGGAAGAAATAGACCCTCTATATCGCCGTGTCTTCTTAACACAACTGCTCATTATATCAGCATAGTTAAGCTCAATATTATTCTTAAAGCACAACATGGAGTTAAGAATGAAAAGATAGTGCATTGGCTTAATATACTGTCCATCCAGGTGCAAATGCAAAGTCATGGACATAAGAAATAGACCACACAGTGAGATAGACAAGCTAGGGATGAGCTCTCTCATCTCCTTCATGTCAACAACCATGAAACAGAAGGATGAAACTGAATTTATTTTTTGAACATGAAGGAAGATCTCTTCCTGACAGTATCCTTTCCAGCAAAGGGGTTCGTATATCCAGTATTTCCATCCGAATTATTTGCAAATGGATTAGTTTCACCTTGCATATTATTTCCCTGGGCTCCTGTGGGGAATTGTGGGTTTGGATTTGAGAATGGCGATGCCTGTGGGTTTGAGAACATGGGCTTTGCACCACCAAAGCTGCTTGTTGTTCCGAATGGGTTTGTTGTGTTCATTGTGCCTGTCAGATTTGAGAAGCTGTTTCCTAATGGGCTCTGTGTTCCAGGTGGATTTTGAGCTTGTGCTCTGTCCTGAGTGCTCATGTTGTTTTGGCTGAATAGAGATGATGTTGTCCCAGCCAGACCATCTTGTCTCTTCATGGCAGGGGATTCTGCTGCACCAGGTCTATCAGTTGCACTGAATCTGCTGCTCATGGAGGATGCAGGTGTCTGAATTCCTGTCATGTTCTGCATGGTATTTGTGCCAATTGACCCAAATACACTCCCTTGTGCACCCATGGGGGTTTGATTGAAAATGGAAGACGATGACTGAGGCTGTGCTGTCTCTGGGTGGGATGCACTTCCTGGGAACAGATTTGATTTTTCCGTTGAAAATCCACTGAATGCAGGTCTTTCACTTGAGAATAGACTATTACTGCGCATACTTGGGCCAGTACTAGGCTGACTCTCTGGAAAGGCAGTTGTCTTTGGGGCTGTTTGATCCATGCTTGAGGCAGAAAATAGGCCAGTACTTGGCTGTATGCGGGAAGGTGTCTCTTGAGTGTTCTGTGACAACATGATTCTTTTCTGGAAGGCAGCCAGTGGTGACTGGGAGTAGTCAACTTCCCCATTGAGTGAAGTACCAGCAGAAGAAGTTTCATCTGAAGATCTTCTCTTTCTATCTATAATATCTGTGGCTGCAGTCTTACTATCAGTTATTTCATCCTTAACTGTCTCTGGTTGTCTTCCCAAGCCAGAACCAAAGAGTGTACTTCCAGTCTGCTGTGAGTTTATGCTGCTTTGGCTTGGGCTATTATTACTCTCCTGGCTGATACTAGGGGAAGATTGTTCGCTTACTAGAACACTTCTAGGCGTATTTATACCAGTGTCTTTCTTCTGGGGCAGTTCCAGAGTGTCTCTTGGCAGATTAATCGAGTCAGTTGTTGGGGTATTTGATGATTCCATTTGTGTACTGTCTCTGCTTCTGTCATCAAAGCTGTCTAGACTATTATTAATAGAACTGCCAAATAATCCAGTACCTGATAGTGCACTTCTATCTGCACTCTCTCCCATGGTAAATGGACTATCCTTCAGGATAGAACTTGTCTCTCTTCTTTCTCCGAGACCAGGGAAGCCTGCTGTACCAAATGGACTAGTACTCTTACTAGGTGTAGTATACGGTGCATCTTTCCTTGCAAATTCTTTATCATTCTTCTGTGATATTTCTTTGTCTAAGCTGCCTGTCTCTTTACTGTATACATTATCTTGTGTGTTGAAGAGTGTACTAGTGGGTATATTGTGAGTACTTTGCAACGGATTATTTATGTTTATTCCTGATCCTAGGGTACTTCTTGTGAGAGTATCTTCTGGTATCTGGATATCTTTATTCTTTGAGATTTCTGACTCTTTCGGGAATGTTTGGTCTCTTTGCACTTTTGTCTTTTCAGCTGATGCCTTTGATCCTTCATATAGATCCATTGCGCCTTTGTAGTGGTGCTGGTCATACAGGCCCTTTGATGTTTCGCGTATGGCATCGTGTATGAGGTTGTCTAGTTCTTTCTGGGCCTCTGGTGTCTTCTTCACTGACTGTATTATCTTATAGTCTCTTCCTGCCCTCTCTTTGTCTATTGTCTCATTTATCTGTGCAATTCTTTCATAGATTGGGTCTCTCTTGCTGGTTATTTCTCTTTTCTTGAGTTCTTCTTCCTGCAGAAGTCTTAGTCTTTCTCTTTCCGCGTACTCATCATTAAACCTTTTTCTTGCTTCTGCGAGTTTTCTTTCCTGTTCTTTCTTTTCTCTTTCCTTCTGCTCTCGGATAATCTTTGACCATCTGTCAGTCTTCTCTGCATGGACTCTATCTCTCTCCAGGCGGCCTTCATCTCTTATGAATCCACGCTCTTTCATTTGCATCTTCGTCAGGCTTTCTATTGCACCTGGTGCTATTCCCATGGACCTAACTATTCTATTTTCTGTTGGGTGTATGCAGTAATACGGCAGGTATTTGCCTCTTCGTGGGTCATCATGCAGGCATATCTTGAGCACATTTCTTCCCTCGTCGTACTTGATTAACTCTGCATCATCATCTATGTCTGGGTACTTTACTGTTCCATCTTCATCTCTGAACCGGTTAAAAGGATTTAGTCCCAGGGCCAGGACATCATCAATTTTCTTCATTTCCTTTCTTCTCTCTCCCTCCCAGTCGACAGTCTCATCAAAGTCCTCTGCTGTGAACCCAGTGATATTTCTTCTTTCATTCCCAGTGTCAACTGCAACAGCCGGGTCCATTGTACTTTCTACGCTGGTTTTCCTGCACTTTACTTCACTTTCTTTTTTTTCTACCTTCTCTGTGTACTCTTCACTTACACCAGACTCTTCGCACTTTCTTTTTTCTTTTCCTGAGACGTACCTTATGAACTTTTCTTCCTTCTTTGTGTCTATCCCTTTCCCTTGGGCCAGTTCCTTAAGGAACCGCATACTTTCAATGTATTCTGGTAGATCTTCTTCTTGTACGACTGTGTTCAATAGGGAAGATATCTTATTGATCTCTTCTTCGCCTAATTCATCATTGTTTTCTATTACGTCCTGAATACCCTTGTATATCTGCCGATATTCTCCGGGTGAGATTCCCATTGGATCAGATGCTTCCTCTGTGATTTCCTCAGGTGCATCTGGCACTATGAACTTTGCTATTTTTTCAACTGCTGTCACTGCAGCACCAACTAGTCTTGTGAACACTTCATGCATTGCTTTTAAAAAACATAAAAATTGAATTTCTTTTATTTCTATGCTGAAGTTTCTTAGAAATCTGTATTCAGTGGTTTGCTCAGACAGCGATCCATCAATTACGTGGAATGAATCTGGCGATGGATTTGTGATCTTGGATAAGGCAGAATTCATGAGCAACACATTTCCAAAGCTCTGTAAGTCAAATGAGTATGGCACATTTGTCAGACAGCTGAATAATTATGGATTTTCAAAGGAGAAAAGACACGGGATAGACGAGTTCACGAATCCAAAGTTCCTCAAAGGATCTCCACACCTGCTGGATCTCCTGAAAAGAAAAACCATCATGCCATCAGAGAGAATGAATGATATTTCCATAGTGAAGGACAACCAGATGATGCTGCACAGTAATATGACGGCAATAAACGAAGTAAACAGAAAGCTCTCAAAGGAAGTTTATATTCTTAAGAAGAGAGTAGACCAGCAAGACAGAACAATAAATGAACTTGTCCGGGCCTTCATAAGAATATTTAACAAGCAAGAGGCAAAGGAGGAAACACTTAGGCTGAAGGACAACACAGATATAGACAATCTTCTATCAGATATCCCACATATGCCCCCAGAGGAACAAGAGAACATAAGCATTGATGAATTCCTCAACAATGAATTTGACCAAGTATAACACAAGTTCATGTAAGAAGGTCCCAGATGGAAATTGCAAGACTATGAGATTGTATGGCGCCCACTGAGAGGTGTATAAAGTACCTACTTTGTATTGTAACATGAATAAAACCAATCGTACATACGCCACTTTAATAAGATTCATACGTATGGGTCTTTGCTAGTACTCTTCTGCATCTGCAGTGAGAATTCTAATGTATTCGTGTAGTTCTATGGTTTTTTCAGATTTTGCCAACTTTTTAGAGTGCAATATTACACCGCACACGCTCAGTTTTTGGGTAATCGCATGGTCCTGTCATCTGGGTGTAAATGAATCTGCCCTTTTTCTTGTTTCACTCCGTAATATAAGTATTAATTTGTCTGTCAAAAATCTCTACAAAAACACTCTGTCTTTAAATAATCCATAAGCCAGAATTTAATAAGAGAGAAATTTAGTGGTTTCAAAATACGCATGAAATAAAAGTTAATTTAGGCTATATTATATGGTATGTTGATTATGTGTCTTATAATTTGGGCAAGTCCTTTTCAGAAGATAACCCGAATGAATCTTTGAATAGTAAAAATACTCAAGATATTCCTGTCAAAATATTAGATAAGAATATGAAAAGTCCCATGAGAGTGAACTAAGAAAACTCATTTTATCTTCCAGAATATACTATGAATTGATAAGATTTATTAGACCCAGATAAACTGAAATATGTAAGATATATTTCCACTAGTAGATACACATCTGATTTAGTGTGCTTTCCATCTTACACTGTTTTCTTTCTATTTAGCTCTTCTTCTTCTACCTTTCTGGCAGCAAAAATAGCCACAACCAGAACATACAAAATAACAAGAAGCATTGCAGTGAACACCCTCCACATTACATCCACCTCTGCAAATTTCATTGCAAAATAGGCGGCCAGTGGCAGAACTGGCAGGCCTGCGCAGACAATTACCATATTCATAAATAAAATATTTTCAGACGTATTTAATTATCTGGTATTATATGAAAAAGTTATCTATTATGATCACTATCCCGCATGCCAGAACAGCAACTAGATTTCTGTTGTGTTTTACAATTCCCTGGATTGTCACTCTGTAATCATGGGAGCAAATAGGCTGCACATTTTCTGTCAAAGCATGCTCTTCCTCAGATGTTGCAATAAACAACTCGTCACCCCGTATCTCAGTTCTGAGGACTTTCATGTACACCTTCGGGTCTGTTCTGTAAGAAGAAACACAGAAAGAGCCATCTAGTCCTGACGATGCTATGAACCCTGGCTTTATAAGGATTACATGCGTGCAGGCATGTGGAGAGATTAATAGTGTGCTGTTTGTAGCTGCAGAATATACTCTTCCCATGCCGTACAGCGAGTTGCTAATGAAGAAAAGACCTGGCTCTTCATCCAGCCACGTAACGACATTTGTGCCTACCTTTGATGGAATTGCAGCCACATCCTCAAACAAAGAGTTTATGCAGCAGGTTCTTCCATTTGAGTCTACTACAATAATAGAGTCATTTGTTGTCTCCAGCGAAATAATTGGGGACTCAAATGCTCTTTCCTTTTTGCTGGATAGGTTAATTAGCATCCTGTGGCTGCAGACAATTATGTCGCCCTGGAATATCGTGAAACTAACCACTTGTGCTTTTGTCTTAATAACCTGCACTATCTCCAGCTTTAGGTCTGCATTTATTGACAGTTCTCTGAGTGCACCGTCATTGAAGAGCACAAGCATGGTCTTTTGCTTGTGCGGCATGAGCTTCCTTGGGAATCCGTATCCTTCAAAGGTTGTTTCACTCAGTATCTTGTTCTTTGCCAGAACGAAGAAAACTGCACTTCCACTGGAGAACGTGAATATATTATGGGGTTTTCCTATTTCTTGGTGCTCATCATCCTCATCCACTTCTCCCTTTGTGCCTACAATCACATGGTCCTCTACCACGGCCAAAAGCATCGCCTCCAAGTACAAATTCAGAAAGGCCACTCTTCCCTGCTCGCAGCTCTGCACGTGTGGCAGTTGCCGGCCATTAAACACAATCGAGTCAATCTTAAAGTGCGACTTGTCATCTGGCTCCTCCTCTCTAACTCTCTTTACATCATCCTCGTCGTAATCATGCCTGTCTTCTGAGCCAATGCTGTACTCTGAAATCATGTCAACTCCTTTCTTCTTAATTCTTCTCTTTTCATGTCCAAGCTGTGTGTCGTCGAACGTAAAGATAAAGTTGTAGTGCTGGTCTGGCATTCGCATAAGATGGTGCGATATTCCTTCAAGCAGGAATCTGTTCTCCAGGTTGAACTTCTTCTTGAATATGCCCTTTATTTCCTCATAGTCCAGAGGCCCATTTTTTTCTGTGTAGTCGTCTATTATAGACTTGAAAAGATGCGTAAACTTGCCGCAGTGGTATTTATATGCCATTAGGCTCTTGAACTGCCTGCCGCACCCGGGTATCCTGCAGTAGAATATCTGGTTACTCTCAGAGAATGTGTCCATGTCTATAATGTGCGTCACTCCCTTTGGAAATATCGATAGTAAAATCTCCTTTACAATTCCATCCTCAGTCATAACCTTTGATATATCTAGCAGTCCTTCGTCATGCACTATGTCGCCTATTAGTCCTGCTGTGCTTACTTCTTCTGTCTCTTCACCTACCTTTATCATTATTTCGTACGCCTCCAAAAGTTCTGCTGCATCTGCCATGTGCTCCCTCGTGATGTGTTCTCGAAGATTTTCTGTTGCAGTGCAGTCCATGTACCCGCAAACTATTTTTTTATTGGACGGCGTAAAGATTGAGTGCTTGTAGTACATCAAGTGCCTTTTGTACCCCAGACTTGACTGGTATTGCAGTCCACATGCGCTATATGGGCATTTAAAACACACAACATCTACTCTGTCCATTTTCTCACCTTCTCGTGGCTTTCTTCCTCGCTTTCTAGAATCTTGCATATTTTACAGGGGTGCAAATATTTTGCAATGTCTTTAATTTAGCATATATGAATCTGCTTGTGTGAAAATATTTGCTAATGACTGTTCCGTCCGAAGTAGTAATGAACATTCGAATTCTGAAGGCACTTGGGAATGTTTTTCCAGAGGGGCCTGCCCGGCACTTTATTGTGGCAAATACACTAAGGAAGCTTAAAAAACCAAATGCTATTACTGGAGATATGCTGTGGAGGTTTCTCTCCGTGTACTATTTTGTATCTGAGGAACTTGCAATTCCAAACTCATCAAGTAACTACATCTGCTTCTCCCTTGATGACTATATGATATGCGACACAAAGTAGTTTACATGCATATACTAGTCTATGCAGGTCTTCGTTATTTTTGTTTTTTGGAATTTCCTATAAATATATTCAGGTATTATTTCTGTTATAGAGATTTTAATGAAAATAAAGAAATGCTTGGGTGAAATATGGCTGTCTGCAGCAGATTCTGCAGAGACGTATGCACAGCAGTGCACATAAAAATAAAATTCAAATTGGAAAAGATGGTTTTTGTTAAGAGTGCTGCTGGTTTTGGTGAATATGCATTGCGAATAATATATGGCTACTACAATGAAAGCATGATCACATGCGGATTGCGGGCGTATAGATTTCTGGATGGAGTGTCAATTATTTTCTCGCAGTCAATTGTGTACATTGGTCTCTCTCTGTTCTTTCTTGCACTGCACAGTAGAAGAAGGAAAAACTCTTCAAAAAGGGGGCAGAAGCATGAGACACAGTCTAAAAGGAAGACCCATCAGATCAAGCGCCCTAAAGTGGCAGAATATGGATTGGATGGCCTGGAGAGAAATGAGTCTGGTCTACAAAGGACCCTCCATCAGTGCAAATTTGTCTTAATGACACTCTGTCTTGTGTGCATTAACATTCTGAACAAACTCATGCTGTACAAAAGCATGGAGTACATATCATACCCAACCTTCTCTATAATTCGTTCATTTAGGCTATTCCCTGCTCCTCAGAGCATCATAGGAAGAAGCATCTCCTACCGCATGAAAATGTCCATTGGAATGGCTACTGCAGGCATATTCATATACCTCTTTACACGCGAGGAAAAAGTAGAGAGCATTAGGTACTTAGAACGGCTTAGTACATTGCATGATCCTCGGGCCATCCATGAATATGACAAGGTAAAGATTGTCCGACTGTCTCTTCGATTTCTTTACTTCTACACGAAGAAATTTCTTTCTTCATCTGATGTACCGTGTGAAGAAGAAGCATTTATTGCTGGAATACTAAAAAATGAGCTACCTCCTCAGGACTACGCTGCCCCCTTAAAGGACCAGGCACAAAAATACTATAAAACTCTTCTTCTCCTGCATGGAAACAGGTCTAAGGAAGTAGTTGGCAAGGCCGGAATCAAAGAGATATTTAATAAGATGGCTAGAAGAAATGGCAATAAGAGTACACCAGAAATAGACTACTTAGCACTGTCTTTTGTTAAAATGATATGCGCAGGCCAAAATACTTCTTATTTTCATGCATTTTTGGAGCAAAGAAAAATTGCAGCTGCAGCATACATGGCCTTTCACTCCATAATGGAGGTTGCACTGGAGGCAGGACAAATTGTTCTGTGTAAGAGATTTGGTGTTCAGAATGACTTTATTACAATCATAATTAACTTACTTGGGGCACTAGTACTATGCATTGTTTTGCTTTTCCATAGCAGTGGACTGCATGACTGGATCTGCCGCTTTCGAAAGGATCTATTTCTTGCATCCAGTCTGCTCTACTATATCCGATTTCTGTCGACAGAAGAAGGAGCAATCTTCACAGAGAAGAAGGACGTCAATAGAATGGGTCTTCAGATAGGAGTGAAATTCTTTTCACTTCTTTTGTCTGTTGTCCTTTATACGCATGATTTCACACTTGGTCATATTGTTGGTCTTTTTTTGATGTTCATTTCGTACTTGATAAACATCAACATGCACTCAGTTCTCCTTTCCCGATGGACTCTTTCTGGACATGTCCGGAGCAGGTGCCTTTAGTGTTTTTTCATTATTGGAGAACACTTATGTATATCCAGTGCTTGGTGAGTAGCTGCAATGCTTTCTTTGTGGCTGCTGTGCCTTTGTCTTATCTACTGCGAAATTCCAGAATTCTTTTGGATTTAATAATTTCATTTTAATTTTGTTTGTTATGCAGTCACTTACAAAGGCAATTGTTGTTCATCCTCTTGTTTTACTTTCTGCCACCGACCATTACAGGCGAATGGACCAGCCTCGTGTTGTTGGTACTCTGTTGGGCCGAGTAGAGAATGGTGTCACTCACGTGACAAATTCGTACGCAGTGCCGTTTGATGAGTTGGAGGATAATCCTAATGTGTGGTTCTTTGACACCTCGTATCACGAGAACATGTATAAGCTGTTTAGCAAGGTAAATAATATGGAGTACATTCTTGGGTGGTACCACACAGGCGAGGGTCTTCATAAGAATGATCTTCAGATCACGCAGACATTTAGAAGTTATTGCAATGATCCAATTTTAGCTGTGATTGATGTGGAGCAAGCAAAGGACGGCAGCCCAGTCAAGTGCTACAAGCTGGAGCGGGAGAGTGCAACATACAACGAGTCTACGCAGTTTGTGTTTGCGCATGTTCCATTTGTGATAGAGGCCGAGGAGGCAGAAGAAGTGGGTGTTGAGCAGCTAGTCGAGGACATAAAAGACGTAAACATTGGGGATGTAGAAAATAAGATTGCACGCACAAAGGAAGCACTATGCGAGCTCTCAAAAGGCCTTGCCTCCATAGAGGAGTATCTTCTGGCAGTTGCAAATGGAGAGAAGAGATATGACACTGAGACAATGAACAACATTCAGGAACTAATGAATAATATTCCTAGGCAAATTCCCCGTGAGATGAAGAATTACATGGACAAGCTCGATGTAAACAGCTTTATATGCTCAACGGTCCGCCCAGTTGTGCTGTTAAATGAGATTGAGCAGAGTAAATAAAGTAATAGGTGTCTAATCCATGTCTTTTCTTGTTTTTTTCTGTTTCCTTCTGTTGCTCTTTCTTTTTCATTCTCTATTTTCTATTATTTAGTTTTATGCAGTCTTGTAAATATAAACTTGTACATAGAGGGAAAATAAGTACAGGATTTTATTTATAAAAGTAAAATTACAGGAAAATTTAGAATAATATAGAGTATGTGGTACTAGAGAGAGAAGACAGCAGCAAAATATATTTGGGTGAGTCTTTAAGAGTGTGGAATAATGGGCGCAAATATGGGAATACCTTGCTGTAGCAATAGTTTATTTTCATTTAAAGCTATTCATCCTCATCTGTTGTTGAGATTACCTTTTCCCATGGCTTGGATACATGTCTGGGTGGTTCTGCTTCTCTACCAGATTTCTTGGATTTAAGTGAGGCAGGCGGGGTCCTTGGGCTGTCTGCTACTGTGGTGTGGGACATGTCGCTGTCACTGTCCAGAATCGATATCTTTTCCTTCTTTGCTTTTGTGGATGTGGCCTTTGCAGTCTGCGAGTTACCTTTTGTGCTCTCTGTGCCCTTATTCTTCATCTTTCTTCCCTTCTTTCTTGGGCCTGGGGCGTCATCCTTTACAGTTAGGTCAAGCTTCCCTAAGAACTCATCCAAATCAGCAAGCCACATGTCCTCAATGGACACAGCCTTAAGCCTTATGTACTCGCTTCTCTTTCCAGCAGCCTCGTTCTCCAGCTTCTCCATTCTTTCTGTTGTCAGTGATGCAATTTGCATGGTCAGGAGATAGTCGTATGAATTGTCTTTTTTATGGTAGTCCTTTGCAGTAAGATCGTTGATGACATCAGAAGACTTTCTTTTCAGAATCTTCAAGGTATCAGCCACAACTTCCTTGATGAAACGCACCTTGTTTTCCAGGATGGTGGTTTCTGTCAGCAGCTTTTTCAGTAAAAAGTCTTTTCTTCTAACATACAGGTCTCTTCGCACTATAAAGAACTCCTTCAGTATTTCTGTTGTGCTTGCATACTTCTGCAGAACACCTTTGCTGTTGAATGCGACCATGTTTGCTATGGAAATCTGGTTGCTTAGCTTGAACACCTTGGGCACATTTATCTTGTGCTTGGTGCTTACTACTACCTCAAAGTTAACTCTTGTATCCGTGTTGTACTCTCTGAAGTCTTTTATGTCCCCAGACTCAATTAGTGTTTCCAGGAAGTCTTTGTAGTTCTGTGTCCAGACGCCAACAGGAAGCTCTAGTATACTTATCTTGTCCTTTTCCTGCTCAAACGCACCTATTGTTCTGTACTTTCCACTGCCCAGATCATCGCACTCTCCCACAAACCCTTTGTACCAGGGAATCATTTCCTTGGGCTCCTTACCCATTATCATCCTCTTCACATTATCCACAATCTCAATTGGATTGTACGGTGGAATGCATGTACTCCAGCCAGTTCCAATTCCGTCTGATCCATTCACCAAGACCATTGGGATAATGGGAACGTACATATCAGGCTCAACCATAAGATTGTCGTCCTTTAGGTAGTTGAGAAGATTGTCGTCTTCCTCTCTGAAAAGATACCTGGTGATTGGCTGCAGTGCTGTGAAGATGTATCTTGGACTGGCTGCGTCCTTTCCACCCTGAAGACGTGTTCCAAACTGTCCAATTGGCTGCAGCAAAGGTATGTTGTTTGATCCAACATAGTCCTGTGCCAGATTGACAATTGTTGAGCACAAGCTCTGCTCTCCATGGTGGTATGCCGAGTGCTCTGAGACATAACCCGCCAGCTGTGCTACCTTTATCTCTGTTCTAAGCTGCCTCTTAAAGCAACAGAAAATGATCTTTCTCTGCCCAGGCTTCATCCCATCAATCATGTTTGGAATAGACCTAATGTTGTCTGCCAGGGAGAAGTGGATTAGCTCTCTGTCAATGAAGTTCTTTATCGAGATGGCTTGCACCCGGTTGTCCAAGTACGTCCCTGGAACAAACTCCTTAAGCCAGACCTTTCTTGACTCAACTCTCTTCTTACTGAATGCCAGCTCAATCTTGTCTCTGTCCACAGAGTCCACTGTGTTAAACTCCTTAATGTGGAAGTCCAGATTTGAGAAATAGTCCTTTGCGTCTTTAGCGGTACTTGTACCCAGACCCTTGTAGTACTTCACTCTCCATCCATTTTCCCTTCCCTCTGCAGTCTCTGTCCAGGACTCAAATTCTGGGATAGTGAAAAAGTCTCTAGACATTGATCCTTTAGTGGCTCTTACAATTGGAGTGATAAACTCCTGTAGGAAGCCTTTGATTCTCAGAAGGGATGGGAAGAAGTGGTCTATCATATTTATGATAAGCCCTTTGATGTGACTTCCATCGTGATCCTGATCCGTCATGATCATTATGTGCCCATACCTCAGACTCTCCGTTGTAGCATATTCCTTTCCATGCTGCAGACCCATGATCTTCTTGATATTATTTATCTCAATATTCTCCATGAGCTGCTTGTGCGTTGCCTCTCTTACATTCAGAAGTTTACCTCGCAAGGGAAACACTCCGTAGTTGTCTCTGCCAATGACAGAGAGCCCTGAGACAGCCAGGGACTTGGCAGAGTCTCCTTCCGTTAGTATTAGAGTGCACTGTGATGCAAACCTGGTTCCTGCGTTATTTGCATCATCTAGTTTAGGAATTCCTCTTAGCTTGGATGTCTTGTGTCCATCTGTCTTCTTCAGCTGCTGTGTCTGTTTGGCCCTTGCAGCGTAGGCTGACTTCTCTACAATCCCACTTTTCATGATGTCCGCTATAAACCTGCTTCCTAGCACGTGCTTTGACCCGAACGAAGACTGCTTCAGAGTGAGAGTTTCCTTTGTCTGCGAGTCAAATGCAGGGTTTTCGATGAGACAGTTCAGAAACAGGAATATGTTAGCCTTTACCTGGACAGGGCGAACCACAAGGCCTTTTTCAACCTTCTTGGTCTGCTCCACAACTGCTGCCACAATCTGGTCTGCAATGTAGTTCACATGCGTACCTCCTCTTGGTGTGGAAATTCTGTTCACAAAGCTGACGTGCTGAAACTGCTCGTCCCCTAGGACATACGCGACCTCCCACCGGTCCTTTGACTCATATGCTATCTCAACATCGCTGTCAAAGAACAGCCGAATGTACTCCTTAAAGTTGCTTACGCCTATCTTCTCCCCGTTGTAGTACACAGTTATTCCTGCCACAGTTCCTGCCAGGTCGTAGACTCTCTTCATAATCATAGACATAAAGTCATCGTCTATTCTTTTCATGCCAAACTTAGCAAGATCTGGCTGGAATGTAACTTTCGTGTACTCTGCCCCACTGAATGGCGTGATCTCTGGCTCTTCCTTGCTCAGCATGTTATTTGTGTACACTTGCCTGAACATCCTTTTGTTCTTCTTATCAGCTGTCTCTATTACAAACCTTGTGCTGAAAATATTGCACAGCTTTGCTCCGTACCCATTTCTTCCTCCAGTCATTTTCTTCTCTGCATCATCATAGTTAGACGAAGTCAGAAGATGCCCAAAAATCAGCTCTGGTACGTACACATTCTCCTTTGCGTGTATTACTACAGGTATTCCCTGTCCATCATTACACACAGATATTGTTGAAGTTTTTCTGTCCACCTCAATTCTTATCTCACTCATGCGCTTGTCTCTGGTCTTGTTGTCTGCTGCATTCACCAATATCTCATCAAATATTTTGTAGAGTCCTGGTGTGTATGTCACTTCCTTCCTCACCATTTTCATTGTTTCTGCACACCAAACATACATATTTCTTGTCTCAGGCTGTACAGAGCCAATATATGTATCTGGCCGCAGGAGAACATGCTCTATTGGAGTTTTCTTCTGGTATATTTCCTCTACTGTTTTTTCTTTCTGCGCCATTGAAAAAGAAAATATCCAAGAAACAACTAAATAATTAGTTTCGCAGCTAATAGATACGAATAATAAGATAAAAAGACACAAAGGAAGATAAAAAAGAGACAAACCACAGTCTACTTCATGAATGACTGTGATTTATAGCAAGTTCTAATAATGTAGGACATATTTTCCAAGAGAATTAGCATGCACGTGGATAAGATATACAGGAAATACTCTTTGGAGTAAAGTATCTTTAATGAAAATTGAGACAAAATACGTTATAGAAGAAAAGTGTGCAAAGAATGCATAATACAAGCGAAGACAATGTGTAAGACATAAATACGAGGGTATTTTCTGGCAGTGACTTCTGAATATTTAGGGACACATCAGTTTGATGTGGGTGCTATTTAAGCAATTTATTATGTGTATTAATACTAGCATACAGAACATAAATAAGAAAAGTTGTGCAGATAGAAACAAATCTACAGAAAAATATTATGTCTGCAGAGGCTGTTGTATTATAATAATAGAATTAATACAGCTTGAATAGATAAGTTTAATGCATATGTGAAGTTTAATATTTACTTCCGTTTTTATTTATGTCTCTGGATCTTCATAAGTGCTAATTCCAAGTGTGCGAAAGAAAAGAATAGTTTTGTTCTAAATTTGTGGTGTTTCTGTTAGTGTTCTGTTATGGCACTAATTTGTGCCTATTTTAGTACATATGCATGCTGGTGGGATCTTCTTGCTCAGTCTATCTTGGAATTGAAACTTGCAAATTTCTAAATACCAAGGCATTCTAGCTTAGAAAATGCCTTTATTCCAGTGGCTTTACTTAAAATTTAAATATTTGCTAACGTACATTCAAACCAAACAGAAAGGAAGCTTTCTCCTATATAGAAGTCTCTTTACTATCGCACCTTTAGCATAAAATCATGGTCTATACGTATACACAGACTAGCACACCAGACACTTATACACAGTCTCTTTCAGGCTGTATGGACCTTTCTTCAAAAATACTAGGTACAATTTATTATACGTTATAAGTGCTGATTAACAATCACGCCAGCAATTATTGCCATTTCTAGGACAAGAAACCAGAATCCTCGTATTAGAAAGGACAGTAGATCGAGTGGCTGGGATGTGAAAGAAAAAAAAATAATCATGAAAAGCATAGAGCAGACAATTGACGAGATGGTTATCACAATATTATCCGTGTAGTTGCAGCACATATAGAGAACAAAGAAAATTAGAAAGAGCAAACACAGAAGAACAAAGAAATAAAAATAAAAGTAAGAGTAGAATATCTGGGCAATCTCGAAAATAGACAGTTCACTGCACATGATGAAAATAGAAGCAACCATATAATATACATCATATATGTTGTACATTGTGTAATAAATAGTAAAGGTCAATATGGTAGCAGAATACAGCAGTATGTTTGTCAGAAGCGGCATGTCAAACAAGACAAGTGAAGAGAATAGGGAAACATTCATAATGTCAAAATAAATATTTTACATTTAAAACAAGAACAGCCTACACGTAGTACCCTGAATATTCCAGCATGAAAAATAAATAAAATATCTATAGAAGTAAAACACGTGACTAGTGCAAGATTAGTGCATATTTACTCTCTCAGGGATTTATATTTTTCTTGAGCTTTGTATTTTCTTGAGCTTTGTATTTCTTTGAGGTCTTTTTGCTTGAACTGCATACAATAATCATAAAAACAGAGAAAAACCACTTAAATATTTAGTGGCTAGATATACTATGTAAGAGACAGAAGAAGACATGATATTGTAAATAACTAAGGATTTATGTGATAAGGATTAATTATAATCTGGTTAGGTGGATCTTTCTTATGGAACTATTAGACTTAGTTGTAACAAGACATATGATAAAAATCTTGTTGTTTATTTGTATATCTATAGACGTGGTAATCTGTAGTCTCTGCATACTAAACAAATACTGTGAAATCTTGTGGAAAATGATAGACTAGAAACAATAATCTGTGCCTTTAAAATTATTCCTATTTTAAAGAGGCAGAGTCCATTCTATGATATTTGTCTGAATAAATACCAGCAGGGCAGTGGCAGTTTCCATTAATATTTTTAGCCCAAAGAAGGCACTTAAGGCAAAGAATAGAAATATTCACTGTATATAATAGAGGGCACTAGAGTGCTACTATCTGGAAAAATCAATTAAACACTCATTCTGTCAAGTTGTTTTTAAGGAGATAAATTAAGGGGCATGAATTAATTTGGGGTAATAAGGGGAGCATAAAGCAAAAATATTAGGAGATTAGCTAATGGACATAGCAAAAAATAAAAACGGACTTTCAGTAAAACAAGCAATATTTCCAATGGTTGGATCTATTCTTGGATCTGGTGTTTTAACACTCCCTGCAGCCGCAGAGGCCTCTGGGTACTTGCTCTCTGGGCCAATACTTATCTTTGTTTCCTCTATCTGCGCATTTACGCTATTTCAATTGGTGCACTGCGCAAGAGAGCTGGGAACAGAAAATCCTTCGTATTTTGCAGTCTGCCAAAGTGCATATCCTGTGCTCGGATACTTTGCAGAGCTGTGCATTGGGATGCAGGGCTTTGGCGCAATTACTGTATACGTTCTAATTCTGAAGCAATGGGTGGCATCTTTGATTGGAATAAAAAGCATGTTGGAGTACATGCCGTACGATATTCTATTCACACTGCTGCTGCTTGTCATTCCAACAGGTCTCTCACTGCAGAAAAGTCTGAAGAAGCTCTCCTTTATATCAATCCTTTCTACTGTATCTGTCATCTTCCTCTCTCTTTTTGTTCTTCTCTCTGGCATACTGGCCCTAGTTCTTCCGTCAAACGGAATTGCCAGGGACTCAATCAAGGCAGTGACTACAGCGCCTTCTGATATAGCAAAAGCACTGAGTGGGTATATCTTCAGCCTGGGGTGCCAGCAGAACATGGTGAGCATTTTCTCGCTGCTAGAGAACCCAACAAAGGCAAATGGAGCCAGAGTAGGCGTAATTGCAGTTTCCATAGCAAGTGTTGCATACTTCCTGGTTGCAAATGGAGGATACATTGCAGGAGGAAATGGACAGAATACATCCATCCTGGATGTCCTTGCAGATACTACTAGGCCGTTCTACCAAATAATATTAAGCAATTTTGGCCAGAGATGGGGTACATTGTATTTCCATCTAATCACACTGTCAAAGCTAGCAATGATTATCGTGCTACTAGGTGCATATCCACTACAGATGCATCCGACTAGAGACTCAGTCCTTACCTTCCTGAATATCTTCTTCAAGGAAAGAATTGCAAAAAACAAAAGAGCAGTTGAAATATCCATTATATTCCTCATAACTGCAATTGTCTTTATTGAGTCACTATTCAACTTTAGCTACGCATTTGTAATGAATCTCATTGCATCTACTGCCAGCTGCAGCATTATGTTCCTTCTTCCTAGCATGTGCTACATTCTCTCTAGGAATAGGTCTTTTATTGCCACTCTCATCTCCAAATACATATTTGCAGCATGTGCTATGTTTTCCCTTTGGTCAACGTACAGTCTGCTGGGCCTGTCCATTGGAAGTAGAATATTAGCACTAATTGCAATCGTATTTGGTGAAAGTGAATAATTAAAGTGTCATTGCATAGAATAAATCACAAATACAAATATGTTCATAGTTGTATATTATGGGTTCTAGTCTATTGTATAGAGTGCCATGAAATATTATTTTTATAAAATATCCAGCTGTCAAAGTATAAATACAATAGTACTTGAAGCATATATTTAAGTTAAGCAAAATAGTCATTGTTTATATGGTGTATTAGAAGAATGAAAGAGCCAGATTTGTTGTCTGCAGTAGACACTACACCCAAGCACTAGAGTAGATTAAATAAATAAATTTTTAAATTAGCTGAAATTAGCATATCTGAATATCTAGAGAAAATACAGCCTAACAAAATATACATACTTAGCATATATCAGTTTGATATCTTGGAGGTAATAAGAAAATTGAAAGAGTCTTTATCGATAGATCCTGGCCATGCATTGGTCCAATATTAATATTTTCATTATATTAATAATATTATTTAGATTGTTTGCAAATGAAGGAGTGCACTGTCAATCTTCTGGAGAGGATATATATCCGAAAAGAGCATCTAGTGTGCCACACGGTCTGCAATCAGGTACTGAAGATTCGGTTCAAGAAATACTCCCTCATTCGACCTGAGGTTTCCATAAAGTATTTCAGATGCATTGCCAGAAGATTTGGCTGCCATGCTGTCGACAAAGAGGTAGTGAAAATCTCAAAAGAGAGCAAGCTTTTTCTTGAGCGCATAGCACATAAGGAGCTGGTGACAACAGGAATCCTGATGTCAAATCTGAAGACACATGGATATGCCAGGATTGCATACACTTCAGACAGTGCGTGCACCTGCAGTGACTGCCTTGAAAAGGAAAAAAGGGCCCTGACGATAAAAGAGTATTCCTTAGGAGGGTACACGGCAGAGGACTTTAAAAGCATAATAAATCTCATAAAGAAGAACGAAAAGATAAAGATTAAAATAAGGGGGCAGGAGATGCAGTACAACAAGTGCGGCATCCGGACAACCCGGGAAATATACGACAGATTCTTTGGGTACTACAACCTAAAGGAAAAAAGAGCAGGCATTAGGCCATTCGTGCAGAAAGGGCCCTGGACAAAGGAAAATGCAAACAAGCTAATACACTCGTATAAGACTGCAATGTCCATCCGGGAAATGTCATTCTTTATTATTCTTTACAAAACAAGTCACCCCTCTGCCAACCTCATACTGTACAATAACACACACGTATACTACACTCTAGTAATACACAAGGTTGATTTAAAGACTAAGTATGAGCTAAGACAGCATATAAAGAATAAAATGCATAAAAAGTAAAAAAGAGAGGAAAGGATGGGCAGAGAGCATATGGATCGAGTGGAAGACGGATACGAAAGGAACAACTATATGGGCATATATAATGGAGAGAGACCAGAAAAGGCCAATGATAATTTGTCCATGCGCATTGACATCATGAAAGAGTACGACCGTAATCCAGAGGAAGTGCTGAGACTGCTTGCTTCCCAGAGAAGTGGTAGCACTCCTGTCTTTAACATTCCATACGCATACGACCTATCAACGTATCCCAGGTCTGAGCATTATACGCGAATTGTCTCTGTGTATGGAACAGTCATGAAGATGGGGCTGCTCAAGTTCAAAGAGGTAGGTTCTAGAAAGATAGACTATCAGGAGATAAAGATACAGGAGAGAAATACACTGTATCTTCCTAGAACAATAAACATCCAGCTGCAGGGCAGGCTCATAGATAGCTGTAAGCCTGGGGAGGTGGTCCGGGTGGCTGGTGTTGTTGAGGTGCTGTGGCGCAGGCTGAAGGCAGGTCTTCCAATAGAGTGCGAGTATTCCATCCGTGCACTGGAAATTACCCGGCAGAAAATTCATAATAAAGAAAATGTGGATGTGCTGCCGGAGTGCGAGTTTAGTCTTTTGAAAGAAGTGCTGGATGCATATGCCCCGTCACTTGCTGGCCTGCGACAAACAAAGCTGGCTATGCTTGTGTGTACAATTGGCGGGCAAGAAAGCACAAAGGATGTGCATGCAAAGGATAGAGAGAGCGGAAGTATTCAGGAAAGAGAGAGCACTCTTGCAGAGCAGATGTATTATGAGATGCAGAGCAAGAATAGAGTGTCCTCGCATATCCTGCTGGTTGGGAAGACAGGCTCTGGAAAAAGCACGCTTCTTAGCTTTGCTGCGAAGACTGCAGTGCCTGCAGTGCGGACCACAGGGACATCCTGCACCTCAGCAGGCCTGACTGCATGCGCAACAAGGGAAAACAATGACTGGATGATAGAGCCAGGTGCCATCCCGCAGGCAGACAGAGGAATCTGCTGCATCGATGACTTTGGCAGTCTTCGGAAAGAAGAAAAGGCATCCATCCTTGAGGCCATGGAGCAGCAAACCATAACAATAGCAAAGGCCGGCATAATTTTAAAGCTAGACACACGCTGCACAATAATAGGAGCAGCCAGGCACAACACAGAGACGGAGTGGGCACTGCAGTCTCTGAAGCTGTCCCCTCCCCTTCTAAGCAGATTCGACCTTATTATGGGCATAGATGACTTGCTGGCCTCTGATGAGGAAATTGCCCTCAAAAACCTGGAAAAAAAGCCAGAGGAGAAGTGCGAGATGTTCATTCGTGACTTAATTGAGGAAAGAAAGAAAACACAAGTTACTCTCTCCGAGGAGTGCAAACTCATTATTGAAATGTACTACAGAAGGCTGAAGGAAATAGACAACGTAAGCATACGTGCACTTGAGAGCCACATTAGACTGTGTGAGGGATATGCAAAGCTGATGGGGAAGACTACAGCAACAGAGACACACGCCCTTATGATGGTGCTTCTTCTTAACTCAAGCCTAAGCACCAAGAAAATCTGGAGGTACACTCTTGATGCACTGCTAGGATCAAAGAATATGCTGGATGCGGCCCTCTCTTATATAAAGCACGACTTGCTTACAGAATAAATCAAATATATTCCCAGATTACATATTTATTTTTTTGCATATCTTCTGTCGTTTTGCATTCTGTATATCTTGAGTGGCTGGAAAAAAAGACTTCTAACCGCTAAGGTGTCAAACTTGATTTCTGGAAGATAAAAGGTCTTCTCTATTATGGGAACATGAGAGAGAATCTTGCTGCATATGAGGTCCTCCATTTTTGTGCTAGGCTCTTCTTTCTTCTCCTTCTTGTCCAGCTTGATCTCTTCCTTCTCAATTTTCCTTTTCTTTCTCTCCTCTACAACTTTCTTCAGAAGAGTGTCATACGGCAGAGACCTTTTTGCAATGCCTCTTTTAAGAAGAACCGAATGCACCTTGCAGTTCAGGCTGCGCGTGCACTCTACACCCGTCTCCGTGTCCATGACTGCACAGTGCGTGTCGTAGAACTTTGTGTTCTCTGGCTGGCTTTTAGTTTCTGCAGCAGTGCATATGTGCACTGAGATGTGCTTTTTAAGAATAACCTCTTTGCAGATATTGCAGGCGAATGGCATGTTATCCGTCAGGATCTTTTGCATGTGCTTCTGTGAAGGCGGGCACTCCCCCAGATTTGTAATTATGTTCTGGTCTCTCTCCCCTCCGCCGTCCATATTTTTAATTTCATATTATTTGCAAGCTGTAAATTCACAGTGGAAAAGAATATTTCTTTCAGATATTCCAACTGCCCGAAGGATCTTTGTCTCTAGGGGCTTATCTGACCAGATGTAGCAATATAGAAGACCATACAGTTTAACGTGCAGCACATGAACAATGCCCTCATTTTGCGCATAAACATACTTAGAAGGAATACAGGCCACTGGCAGTTTAAGAACAATTACTTTATAATATGTGGGTTTATTCTGATGCTCTTCAGAACAAGAAGAGTGTTCTTTGCTACTGGCACCCGTGCATTTACCGTGCAAGTCATCTGAATCTGCATTTTCTGGTATACTTTGAGAAGATGTCTTTGGATCACTCTCTAAGACAGCCTCTGGTCTGCTGTCAGATGGACTACAGGTACTACTCTTAGTGGTATCACTGGATAGTGCATCTTTTTCATCTTTCTGGCTGTCTTTAGCTGCATGGCTTGGCGAATTAGAGTGCGTCCCAGAGGCAGGATCCTTTTTCTTCTGCGATCTGTCTGCAGGCTTCTCTACCTTAATAGTAATACTTGCATGCGACATCAGAAGAGCCTCAGAGACTTTGCTGAACGGGCACGCAGGGAATAGATACTGCGGTCCTCCAAAGTGCGCCAAATACTCCTTAACTCCTTGCATGGTCCCAAACACTCCAAGGAGCATTTTCTTTGTCTGCTTTGTGAGAGATGCAAAGTTCTCTTCAAAAGACTCCATTCCCATTCTATATATGCATAGCTTATCTTCTGGAACAATTCCTTTGCAGAAGGCCATTTCCTCGCGGCTATTTGGTATTTTTACCTCCCCAGATGCATCTACATAGTACAAATGGAATATCCTGGTGAAAGGAATCATTTCAAACCTCTCTGCATCGATCAAAGCAGCAATTGCTGCATGCATGGGGCGGAACAGCACAATGTCTGACTCAACAGGGAATGGATGCATCTTGTGTGGGGGCACTGAAATGACTAAGATACTTCCTAGCTTGCACCTGGTGTATATTCTGCTGGACGCAAAGGTTGTGCCAAACTCGCAGTCCTTCACTGTGACATCTTGCTGCTTTGAGGCCCAGTATGCCTGTGCGCATTTCTCTACGTCTGTCCCATGAAAGGTTTTCATTCTGCAGACAGGAGCATGCATCTTAATGCCCCGCAAGTTAAAACATATCAGAGAACGAAACATTAAAAAGCGATAGGATCGTTCTTAAGTCGTCCTCGTCCACCTTCTTAGAGGACAGTTTTGACATTATTGAAAGTGAGGATTTGGAAAAGTACCGACCAAACAAATGGTGGTTGTTCTTTCCTACATACCTCAGAAGAGAGGAAAGAGAGCAGTCTATATCAGATGGAACGTAAAAGTGCACCATGTCAGCACCCAGCTCCCTCTCCACAATGGGAAGTATCCGCCGGTGGTATATGGTGAATGCAATCTGCACAGTGACCTTCTTTGCAGTCCCCACAAAGTCGTCTTTCATCTCGCACTCCATGAAGTGCATTTGGAAAAGCTGCGTTATTTCCAGCAATAGCTCTTTGGCTGTCTTGTTCTCAACAGAAATTGAGTGCAGGCCATGCCCTGCGTTGTTTGCCTTTAGACGAAGCGCAGTGTCGTCAGAGATAAGCAGAGATATATTGTTCTTCTGGCAGGAAAACACTATTGAGTCGTCGTTTGTGCTTCCTTTTTCTGTGACAGCGTGCTCTATAAATATTTTGCAGTTCTCTCTTGCATTTTCCTGCTCTATGAAGAGAATCGCCGCTCTGGCACTGGGTTTTTTTACCTTCAGACAGTCTAGCTCCCTCATCACCGTGCACGGCAAGAACAGGCCCATATTTATGTCTTCTATCAAAAAGCAGAGGCTTTTAATGACGGGAAGCTTGCCCATCAGAACGTTGGTGTCCAGCGCAATAAGAGCTCCGGAAAAGTGCATGGTAGTGTGAAAAAATATTCTTCTTCAGTAAAAAAGCACCCGATACGGGACTCGAACCCGCGACCCTTGGATTAAAAGTCCAATGCTCTACCGACTGAGCTAACCGGGTTACACCATTACTAGCGAGCACACCTCTTGGTTGGGCGCACGTGCATTTTATAAAAGCGAAATCTTTTTCTCGCCCGTGAAGATGCACAAGAATTTTTCCGAACTTCCGCGAAAAAGGCTAGAACAGGAGTTTGAGCTGATTGAAGATCCTGTGAAGAAGGCGGAAAAGGAAAAAAGCGTGCACGGTAAAAAAGAGAAACTGCATGGGCCGCTTTTGCAGTGCGCTGGAATTATCTACGCTATCTTTGTTTTTTCTTTTATGCACAGAAGAATATATTCTCTATTTCTCTTAGTGATTGGGATTACCATCTGCCTGGCATGCAACCATGCGTCTATGAAATCAATTATTTATCAATCAAAGACCATCTTGGAGGTGGCAGAGAACACGCAGGGCGCACTGTGGAGTGTTTTTACTTCTGCCATGTGGATTTTCGCTGCCTGCGTGATGCGGGAGATTTACACTCTTCTGTTCACTCTGTTTACCAACCATACGCTGTACAATGTCTCCACCTCTCTATTCCGCAATAGCATCTACGCAATATCTCCCATTGCGTCTGCGAGAATAAACAGAGTGATTGATAGGGGAAACAGAGGGGTGCGAGAGCTTTTAACGAGGCTGCTTGTGAAGATACTGGCAAACACAATAACCTTGATCATAACATATGCATATCTGTTCAAAATGGACTGGATGTACGTGGCTGTAATAACAGGATTTAACGTGCTCTATGTGGGTATAAGTGCTGTTCTTCTGCGGATGCGCATGCGAAACAAGGTTCGTATGAACAAGTGCGACGACCTATACACGCATAGCATAATAGAGTGCATGTCAAACAAAGACTCAATTTTAGTGAACAACACAGAGCAGAGAGAAGTGGCAGCCTTCAACGCCCACATAAGAAACTTTCTGAATCTTATTTTCTACGACTGCAATATTGTTGCTGCTCTGAACGTGGTGCAGAAGTCCATATACACAGCGGTGCATGTCTGCTTGATGGCATACATCTGGATGTATGGAAAGCAGAAAATGGATGACATTATCAAGCTTATGATGCATGTAAGAAATATGGACCACTGCCTGATGGAGATTGCCATCTCTGCAAAGGAAGTTCTTGTGAACTATGTGGACTGCAAGCTCTATATTGAGTACATCACGGGCCTCTCAATTAGAATGGAGCTGCCTGCTGTCTCCCCGGACGACACAGCAAGCCACTTTGCATATGAGGACAGGGGAAGAGACCAGTATGTGCATGGCTACAGGGACATGGCAAATGAAAATGATGAGAACCGACAGGCATATAATAGTGGCATGCAAAGTGAGATAGTGGATGCAGGGTGCATCTTCTCTGGATCTGACAAACTAATGGAGAATGTTGCTATTGAGTTCAGCAATGTAAGCTGCACGCAAGAGAACTCTACTGATGTCCTGATTAAGAACTTCTCCTGCAAAATATTTGAGGGTGAGAAGGTGTGCATTGTGGGAAAGAGCGGAAGTGGAAAGACAACACTCATTCTTCTTTTGCTCAAGCAGAAAAGGTACACGGGGACAATCAAGGTGCACGGTGTGGACATCCAGAACATGACCAAGAAGATGATTGTTGAGCAGGTCGGAATTGTGCCCCAGGACTCATCCCTCTTCAACAATACAATTATGTACAACATTGAGTACGGGTCTGGCCCGGGCAATAAGGCTCTTTCGCAGGTGCTAAGCAGCATGGAGATTGATGAGATTGTAAGAACTAAGCAGGAAGGATACGAATACAATGTGGGCGTGTCTGGAAAGAACCTTTCGGGCGGGGAGAAGCAGAAGGTGCGCCTGGCAAGATGTCTTCTAAGAGAGACAGGCATCATCATTTTAGATGAGGCAACATCTAAGCTGGATTGTCTTGTAGAGAACAGAATCATCAATATGCTCTGTGCAACAGACAAGACTGTTATTATCATCACACACTCGCCAATAATAGCGAGTGTGCTGGGAAGGATAATTGAAATAAGCCCAGAAAGCACCTAGCACTAGCCAAAGAGGCTCTGCATCTACCTATTAAATATCCCGGATGTATTTGGCTGCTATTTAGTTTTTCTGCCGGTCTGTGGAGTATCTCTGCCTTTCTATCAAAGAAAGCTGCTATTTTCTTATAAGACCCTGAGTAGTCCGAAGACACAGCCTACTTGCGCACAATACTGGCCAGATACTACTGCTGCCGAAGAACACACGGCGCAGCAGTATTGGCTTTCTAAAAGATATTTTAAAAACTAAGCCCCGATGTGCATATATTGCAAAATAATTTTCATTTAGCATTCGATAATATAATCTAACTTTTGTCAGGAAGCCGTATTAATATATAAGTAAATTGCTGCTACTGCTAAGTATATCTTCTTTGATATTTGTGCTCTGGGGACATCCATTTGAATTCGTATTTGACATTATTTTCTTTTGCAATAATTTATTATGCTTATACCAGACGAGCAGCTAGAAAGAACATGCCCGCAGGAAGAAAGTATGCACGGCGAGAGCCGTGGCGAGTTAGATGTGCTGTATACCCGAATAGAAAATATGATAAAAGAGAGAGAAGAAAAGGAGCAGATACGGATGAAACAATTGCTGGGGGCAATATCAGAGCAGCTAAATAAAAACGTAGCTGCACTGTTTGAGAATATAATACAGAAGGAAGTGCGCGGGCCATTGTGCCAGAAAATAGAAAAAGTTCTTACCTCTAGAGTTGACCAGAAAATGAACGAGGTGAGCAACCACTGCAGCAATGCCGTAGTTGCATCCATTGAGGGAAAGGCGCTCAACCAAACCGTCAGTAAAACGCTTAAGAACGCTGTCATCGAGGGAATAGTTCCTGTTATTGAAAATGGAATGAACGAAATAAGACTGCAGATTTTGGATAGAATGAAGGCGATGCCTCTGTATGTTGAGAAGTTGGAGGAGGACATATCTGACAGCAAGGACGACACATTTGACAGAATGGTGGACACACTGAACGACTTCACAGAGCACATTGAGGAGCACCCCACCGACATAATCACCCGCCTGCTTGAGACGAACATTGCAGAGTGCTTCTCGTATGTCATCGGGTCAAACGACCCAGAGATGTTCCTGTTTCTCCTGGACAAGCTGCCGCCTGATGCAGAAATTGACCTGGATAACTCTTTGCTAGTGCAGTTCGTACAGCAAATGATCATGTTTATAGGCACAGGCTGGAAGCAGGCAAGGCTTCGTGCGCAGTACACGGCATTCCTCAGTAACGCGCTGTCCCACATAAAGAGAAATAGTCTGAAGGAAAATGAGCTGCAGACACTGCAGGACAGCATTCTGCATCTGCTAAGGGGCTGTCCGTCATTTGGCAGCACTTCTGGCGAGAGGTACATGCTTGACCTAATACAGGAAATGGGCTTATATTAGAGAAGTGTCTGTGTTTACATTTTAATATGAAAAATCGGAATATGATGCAAAGCACCATAAAGGAGCATATGTGCATGATTCTGTCGGTTAGACAGCTGGCAATGGGAATATCCAGCATATTTAATGATGCAACTGCGTTTTACAACTTGGAACTGGCAAGAGTGGGCAGCCGGCTACGCATTAGCGTATGCAAGGAGGTGATAGAGCATAGGGATATGTATGAAGGTCTGCGCTGTATGTATAGAAATCGAGGTGAATATGTGGAAAAAACAAGAAATGCCTGCACTGTAAATAAGAGTCTCTGTAAGTACGATATGGCCGTTTCAGGAAAGAGTGGAAAATACAGGCTTGGCTTTAATGACCCCCGAATAGATGACGGCCCTGACATTCTTTTAATGGCACTAGAAGAGTATATACAGGATTATAGTGACACGATGATTAGTGTTAATTGGAGGCGCGAGGCTGCAAAGACAATTGCGCTGTATATTTGTGAGAACCTGGTGGCCCCATTTAATAGGTTTTTTCTCATGGCTTCAAAGCACGGGGAGAGAGCTCTCTCAGAGGAGCTTGGGCTGCGATGTAAGCTTGTGGTTGACCGAAAAATAGGGGAATATTTTTGTGTAGACAGCCTTTTGGGGTGGGATAAAAAAAGAGTGGAGAAGCTGGTTGCGCAAAGAATAAGTGACTTGTATAATGGGTATACCGACATAAAATTTAGGGAAGATCATATTGATTGTAGGAAAAGAAGGGCTCCTGCAAAGAAAATGGATATTCGCAGGGATCTTTCCTATGTGCGCGAGACTATATACGAAGTAATTCGGTATATAGGAGATCACAGTTATACTGACTTTTCACCTCTAATTAATTATCTAATAATGCATTGGGTTACTCCTATTGTTTTTGCTAGGGTGGATGAATAAATAAATGTCTTTTCTTTATTCTTTGCTTTCTTAGTTTTAAAAGGCCTCTACAAATAATATTTGCAAAATAGATATGAAGAGTTTAATTTTCTTAAATATTGGTGAAGACCTAGGAAAATCAAGATTTATACCATTTGCAAAGACCCGCAAAATATGAAGCTAGAGCGAAAAAAGACATTACCACAAGAGAACATGCTTTTTGCAGAGTCTTAAACGTATGAAAGCGGTTGGTTTCCTTGCCAAAATTAGGCCATATAAATAGTAGAAAGAAGAAGCTATGTATCTTGGCGATAAGTTGTATACTCTACTTATGTCAGCATAGAATAAGACTTCTGTCTGTCTACATATTTATACATCTATTGGTACAAGACACTGCACTATATGTGCATGTATAAAGTTATAGAAGATTCTATTGCATTTGATAAAATGGTTTACGTATACAAACTGTGCACCATGGCACAATAAGTAGCTAAGTTTGGGGTGTTTAGATTGAAATATTTGCTCAGGAGATAAGTCCTTTGCTGGATGCAAAAAAGTATAACTCAGCCACTATATTTTATTAAATTGTCTTAATTTTGACGCGGAAGTCGCTTATTGTTGTAAGAAGGCCGTTGTGCGAGTCTGCATTGCGGTAGCATCGACCAATAAACTCCTCAATGTCTTTTGGATTGATGTGCGGGAATATGCTATGTAGCTTTCCTCCAAACACCTCCAGAACCTGCATCTGCGACGGGCACTTTCCATCAATGCTGTACTTAATCAGAAGCGAAAGAGAAACTAAAAGCGCGCTTATTCCTCCCTCATGGTCTTTGTCCAGCGCTGTTCCCAGAATGCATTCTAGAAGGCCCAAGTATCCTTGCTGCACTATCTCAATAGACGTCTTTTCTATTACTTTTGCAAGCACCTCAATGCACTCCTCGTATATCTCTCTGTTTGAATGCCCCACCCCCATGGCCAGCCACTCAATCATCTGCAGATTATTTATTTGTGGATTGAACCGGATAGACGCGCACAGCATTTTGTAGAAGGCCTTCATCTCCTCCTCCTTCTCCTCTGGCGCAGCAAACACCTGCTGTGCAACAGGCCCTGCAACTGCATCCACCAAAGAGGCCGTGCCCTCAACTGTGCGCCGGCATAGCTCTGCAAGAAGACCTAGCTTTTCAACAGATGCAGCAGCACTAATAGACAGTGGCTTTGCATACACAAGCGAGCACACCCTTAGCAGCTCTTCAAGTACAAAGTTAATGGAGAAGTGTTTTGCTATTGTGCTGTACAATGAAAGAATCTCTTTTTTAAGGATCACCAAAGACCGGTTCAGCATATGGGGCTGCACAGCCTCATCAGGAAGCATTGTGTATACGGTGTGGATCTGTCCAAGTGCCCTTCCAATCACAGGCTCACGGCTGTTATAGAACTCCTCTGATATCTCAACAGTGCACACAACCTTAATAAGACGAACCGCATGCACTATTCGCTGGAGGTCGTCTACATTGTCAACTGAAGGCGTGAAAAGGTCCATAAATGGCTGCTGCAGCAGCTTATCAATGTAGTCCTCTGATAGATACGACAGCGCCTCAAACAGCACTTCTGCCAAGTATGGCTTTAGCACTTTCAGAACCTTTGGGATAAGAGGGAATATGTCCAAGACATAGCAGTTCTTTCCTGCTGCCAAAGGAACCTTCAGTACAGCAGAGCAAGAAGACATGATCTTGAGCAGAGTATCGCACGCCATCTCAGAGACACCAACCAGATCCACGTCAATAATAAACTGCAGCATCTTGTTGCATATGGCCTCAAGCAGAAGCGGATATGTTTTGAGATAGAGCGGATTTCGAACTAGAATGTACATAAGACACGAGGCTACAACTGCTCGGTTGCCCTCCTCTTCCTCCTTCTCGCACATGGCCAGAAGGCCCTGGATAATCTGAGTTAGGAACTCCTTTTCTCCCATTGGGCTTGATGTTCCTGCTATGCTTCCTGCTGCCCAGCACACTTTGTTTAGTCTGTCTCGCGTCCACTTTCCTGTCCGCAGCTTGTTTACCTCGCTGCAGAAGTATGGGCCAAGGCCGCCTGCAGTCATAGCGGATATGTGGTAGATTATCTCATTCATTTCTTTGTGGTGCATAATGTATTCTGTGTCTGCAAGCTTCTCCAGAACAATCTCCCCGTCTTCATTCTCTGCAATAATTACCTCTTCTGGCCGTTGCATCTGGGAAACAAGCACCGGCACCAGACTGCTAAGTATCTCTGCATAGTGGATTCTCCGAAGACCTGCCGGGGCCTTGCTTGGAGCAGGCACAAAGGGAAACTCTAGGAAAAGATCCTTCACGAATAGAGACCACAGCTCCAGGCACAGTCTAAACAGCTCAAAGTCTGACACCTGCGATATCTCCAGCATAAGCTCAAGAGGGACACTTGTATTGCACGGCGTTTTCTCCAGCTCTCTGCAGTACTTGTATGCAACACCGTAGAAGAGAACCATCTCTCGGATGAGATTCACGTCCTTTGGAAGGAACTCAGCATAGTGCGCTTTTATTCCTCCATTGTGGGCATCGTTGAACATCCGGAAGTATTTCTCAAAGAAAGCCCCCACACTGACAAAGCACTTTCTGAGGGCCCCCATGAAAATCTCATTCGATGCGCACTCTTCTTTCCGCGCAATAACACTTCGCATGAGCTGCACCGCCAGAATGGCAAACTCAGACTCAATATATTTTCCAATAATATCAAGAAGATTTGACTGGAACAAGCACTCAGCAGGCAGCTGCGGCACCATGAGGAGAAGCAGGCTGAGGGCTGAGGTGGTCAGATCGTTTGGCACAAATATCTCCCCTGTGCTCACTTTGTCTAGAATGTTCATTGCCATCTCATATATGCTTCCTAGCTCGTTTTTCATGTGCAGCTGCAGAACGCTTACTCTTTCGCTGACAAGAGACTCGTGGAAGTTGAATATCGTGTCGCACAGAAGCCCCAGCAGGTTAAAGCTGTTGCTGCACACTCCACAGTCTCCCTTGCTTGCATCCAGAAGATCTCCTATCAAGGTGGGCCACTTCTCAGGCCACTCCCTCTTTATTATTTCTATTAGCACCTGGTTAAACTGCTTCACTAAAACTTTGCTCTCTGGCTGCCCCTGCATAGATAGCTCCAGAATCTTGTCAACCACGTACTCCCGCGCTCCTTTCTTCTGGTCCTCTGTAAGCATTGTCCACCGAATCTTGACTGCTCTCTCAAGCACCTGCACTGCAAACACTTTTGCTCTGGCGTCTTTGCTTTCCTTCACCACCGCGGACGTGTGCGCCCAGCTGTCGGGGTGCTCTCTGTACTGCAGAAGAACGCGCTCTGCTCTTTTGTGTTCCTTGTCCATTGGATTGTAGAATGTCGTCACTACATAGTCAAAAAGCTCAACGTCAAACTCATTTGAGCATTCCAATAACTTTTCCATGCTATAAAAAGAGTTGATTTTTTAATTTTTTATACCCGGATGAATAAAGTTGAAGAGGTAAAATACGTTAGATTGAGAGTAGTAGGAGGAGAGCCCGCAGGAGGTGCATCTCTTGCACAGAAGGTCGGACCATTGGGGTTCAACGCCAAACAGGTAGGAGAAAACATTGCCAAGCAGACCAAGGAGTACATGGGATACAAGATTGGAGTGCTCTTGACTATACAGGGAAGACAGATGGACATTACCGCAGAGCCAGGCACATCAGCTCTTATCCTTAAGGAGCTGAAGGAGCCCCCAAGAAACAGAAAGAAGGAGAAGAACATCCAGCACAACGGATCCCTCTCTCTTGACGCAGTCGTCCAGATCGCAAAGAAGCAGAGAAGCAAGTCATACGCAAGAACACTTGCAGGCACTGTCAAGGAGATACTGGGAACATGCCTGTCAATTGGGTGCCTCGTAGATGGAGAGTCCCCAAAGGAAGTCACTAGAAAGATCCAGGAGGGCGAAATAGTGATTGCAGACGAATAAATAATTCATTTTCTACAAACATTCATGAAATATTTTAGAATACCAGCGGTGTTCACCGTCACGGATCTTCTTCTTGACCGGCTGGCAGAGAGCGCTGCTTTGCAAAGTATGCTAGAGGGCGTACTAAGCGAGTACTTCACGCACACTGAATACACAGAAGGGGCCCTATCCCAGGGTGCTAAGGAAGCGCTGATGGCTTACTTGGAGCAGAGCATGCTGCGCCGAAATATGCAGAAAAATAGTGAAAATCAATTCGACTCGCAAGGAAGAACAGTGGAAGCATGTCTTGCAGAGGATCTGTGGAGCATGGTTATATGCTACTCTATTCGGGACATTGACCCAGTCAGCATACTCATAGGCACAGAAGGAGAGGCAGCAGATGTAACGGTGCCGTACGTTGTAGAAATTGACGCATTACGCCAAGGGTGTGATGAGTGTGTAAATAGGATAGTGGCAAGCACAGTCAATAAGTCATTCTCCTTTTCAGGCCTGTGGTCTCTGGGAAAGGCACTGATGAGTGATGGAAAAACTCTGCTGAACAAAGCATTCCTTCTGGGTGTAATGAATCCAGAGAAGGTTTCTGCGCTAGCAGAGGTAATGAGAAGCAAAGGAAGGCCTCCAATTCTAGCAGAGATGCAGATTCTAGGAAAGATAAAAGAAGGAGAAGAGCCAGGAAATGAGTATGAAGAGTGTGCCTGCACAGGATTTATAGAACGACTAAGGTATTTTCTCTTTCTATATAGAAATATAGAGAATGTGTCGAAAGAATGGAAAGACTTCTCTGTCTCTCTTGTGGTAAACCAGATTATGCAGCTGAACTGCAAAAAAGAAGCGGAGACTAGGGCAATTCTTAACATGCTTGTGCTGGATCTGCTAGGGAAAAAAGAGGAGGCTGACAAAAGAAAACTCTTGCTATTGGTGGACACAGCCTCAATACTAGAAGGCTTGGTTGCAGACGGAAATGTAAATACACACGCAGTTACAGAATACTGCACGCATATATATAAAGAGGCCGAACTACTAGGAAGAGGGCTGCCCTTAGTAATTCGAGAGGAGCTAGTAAAAAGAATAGTGGCGCTGCATACTTCCATGGGAAGCCCAACTGATCTAGTTAATGATCTTGTAGAGAGTAGGAATTGGACAGAATATGTGCCAATAGTTGCAGAGTATCACAGATCACAGAATACTCGCATGGAAATAACCATAAGCAAAAAGGCACTTCCTGAAATAAGCCTGTACAGAAGCATAAAAAGGAATTTAAAGAGAAAAAGAACAGTGGGTGCGTGCTTGGAAGAGGATGCTCTGTATGGAAAAAAGTATGCATATATAGAATACGCAGACAAGTGTGTAAACACTCTGGATAAGCTATATGCAGGAGAAAGAATAGTAATTGTCCTTAGAAAACTTCCAGAGTCTCTGAATAGTAAGGCAGTGTACATTAAAGTAGATGCACAGATGGTAAGAATACTAAATGGAAAAGTGAGAATGCGTTTTGGAAACATGCAGGAGAAAGAACGGATAGTTTCTATTACAGCAGTGGTAGTTGAAGTAGATGCAGGCATAATTAATATTCCAGTAAATTATGAATTAAGAGTACTTCCAACAAAGTACGTTAGGCCTGTACTACTATACACTCCAGAAGTATGTCCATTTGGGGTGACAAAGGTATGGGCAAAAGGCATTGTATCTAAAACAAAGGAGCTTTTTCTTTCATGTGCGCGCACAGGGTACAAATCCACAAAAATACAAGTGTCTTATGGAGAGGACAGTGCTGGCCGTAGGCTGCGCATACACACACCGCATGTGTACGCTGACATGCCAAAGCACAAAATAGCATATAAAGTGCTGAGCAATTCAGATATTTCATATAGAATCACAGGAAGGCATGAAAAGGTTTGTGTGTACAATGGAAGAATATGCACAAAAAGACAAAAGGTTCGGGTAAATAGAAGAAGAGTGGCAAACCCTTGCGAAGATGATGCACTGGTTGAGACAGAGCAAAAAGTAAGCCCCGTTGAAGCAGGTATTGCTGGCCTAATCTTGCACAGTGAGCGCAAAGTAAACTGCACCGGCATAGAGCAGGCAGTTCGATACTATCTCTACAAAAAAAATGGAATTTACAAGCTGCTAAAGCCATTTATGCAGAAGAACATGTCTACGCTGCTTGACACACTGCCAGTATGTGCTAGCCTTGCGCCTGTCCTCTTAGTGCATGCAAATAACACTATTATAATGCGCCAAATTCCACTAGAAAAAAGAATAAGAAGCAGATATGGTCTGCTTGGAGCATGGACATCGATGCAGACTCTTCTGAAAAACTGTCTATTTGAAAGAAAGGCTCTTCAGATAAAGCAGCTGTTTGCCACTCTTTCCGCAGAAAATCCAGACGAAAACATGGAGCATAGGCAAATCACGCCAAAAAGAAGAGTATGGCATACAAGCACAGCACTCGCGTGTGCATCCCAGACAAGAGATGGTGTGGTCATATACATACAGAACTACTCAGCATATGCAAACATAGTATGCATAATAGGAATGAAAATAACAAATGTACAGCCGCTGCAGACTGTAATATACAGAAGCCAAGAATCCCTTGATGGAATATCCATCATTATGAATACAGTGTAAGCAGAGTGCTACCACCCAGCTGATCTTGTTATTAAAACAGTATGCGCAAATAGACAGGCTGTCACATGCAATCCTTGCTGATCAGCATAATAAAGTGTTTTTTGATGCATTCTTAAGCCTCAGTTGATAGAAGGGTTTATTAGAGTGAAAGACAGTTCCAAGAGTTATAATACATAGAAGAAGAAATAAGAAAAGTTATACTTTTTCAAATTCAGCAACAATTTGACATTTTAAATAAAAGGTCTTGAAATTAAATATATAGCGCACAGCAAACAGCTATATTTCATGCAGATATAGCACAGAACCACACTAATAGAAAACTCTGATTGCAAACCCAGGATCTATGCATATGCAGCCAGATGTCGGTTAGACATACATAGAATATCACTATGACTGCAACACAGAAAGCATCTAAAAGAAGCATGCAGTGAATGCCCAGATATCTCTAAAGAAATACAGCTAATATTATAATCATTTTACTTATCTATTTGTCTGGGCTTTAAAGTACAGTTTAAAGATGTAGCATGCCTTGCATTAAAACCCAGTAGTCCCCTCGATTGCACGCCATATTATGATTGTGTTCCTGCATTTACAGAAGTTCTATCTTCTTTTCTATGCACACCAGTGTAAAGCTATTTTTATGCATTTTCGTACAGCCGTATTGCTTAGAATGTGAATAAAGATGGCTGTCTTGTCTATAGCTCACGTATCGTGACATATGCATTTCCTATGCGCTCTTTTGTTTCTTCTTCCTTTTGCATTGAGGCCTCAATCACTCTTTGTGCTATTTCTGCTCTGTCAGCTTCTCTTCTTCGGTACTCTTTTCGCTTTTCTTTTTTCGCTTCTTTCTTCTGCTCCTCCATTAACAAGTATTTCTGCTTTTTTGCCGTTATTTTTCTCTTTTTTTGCGCTTTGAGGTATGTCTCTCTTTCCTCCTCCACAAACACCAACGACTTAACTCGCTCCTTGCACAGCTTTGCCTTTGTTTTGTCTTTCTTTCTTGTTAGTCCCATGTGCCGAAAATTTTTCAGCAAGTAAAGTATTTGCATATAACAAAAGTATATTCTGGTCAGTCAAACATTTGAGAATCTGCATGTCTATACAATAAATCTATAAGATACGCTGCATCTCAAAAATACACAGCTAATCCAACATAATATTTAGTTATTTTAGCTTGAAGCCTTGAAAGTAAAGCAACTAAAAACCTCCTGTGAGGTCTTTTTAGGCTGTAGTGAAATAGACATGCAGAGAGTTTACTCATTTATATGCTTATTTGTACTGGTAATAATTTAAAAATAATTTGAATCTGTAACGCCATTTATTTATAAATACCTAAAGAAGAAAGAACCCTTCTGTATTGCTGATTGCAAGATCCAACTTTTCTTTTAACTTCCTCTTATCAGAGTACTCTGGAATAAGAAATGTATTAAAACATGTCTGCGAAGAAGGAAGCCTTTCTGTGTCTCCGCCGTTCCGCATAAACACAAGAGCCATTCTGCTTAGTCCGCCTGATGGTGCTCGGTCAGTTCCCGTGACAAATCGCAGAAACTTCCGTTGCATTGTAATATCATATTGCTTGAATATTTCCCAAAATGATTGAACAAAGGAAGAGTCGCGCCTGTACCCGTTGTATATTGTGTATCTCTCCAGCTCCTCCATGTTTGTGCAATCTACACCTCCTATCAGTGTGCTCAGCTCGCATGGAAGCAGCGACCGAATGAATGTGTTTCCGCATATCTGCCAAAGGCCTTCCTTGATCAGGCTGAAGGCTGACTCAAGCCGGGTTTCAAGAATTTCCTTACAGTACACACTGATAAACTCATCCACGTTGTGGTGTGTCACCTCGTGCACGACTCCATTGACCGTGTACTCCAGGGACATCCCAGAGATCACCTCTGGCTCCATGCTTTTTATCTCGTTGAGTGTCTGATATATCGAAGGCTCAACAATCTTTAGATCCTCAAACGTGCCTGCATATCCCAGAAGCATTTTGTAAAAGACCTGCGGAAAGTAGAAACAGAGAACTGCTCCGTTGTATGCTGCCAAGCCCAAAATGCTTCCAAGTATCTTGTACTGAGTCTTTCTTTTCTCGTGCTCTGCTTCTGTGAATGAATTAAACCACAGGCACCCGCCACTTTCTCTGAAGATATCCCACTCGCCAAGGGTTTTCTGGCTGAGAATTTGGAAAAACTCTTTTTTTATTCCTCCTGAGTCAATTCCATCCTCTCCTATAAACTTTATCTTTAGCTGCTTCCACGCAGTGCCTGCCTCAAGAGACTCCAGCAGCTTAAGCGAGTCCTGAACAACAGACTCCCTGGCCACCTCTAGATTCAAGTACGGATCAAGCTGCCCTTCAAACATTGACCGGAAAAAAGCGTCCTGCAGCTCTGCCTTCATTCTGTCTGTGTTCTCAATCTGGATTAAATCAGACTTGGCGGGCATATCAAGTATGAAGGGAAAGTCAAAAATACTGTGGTTTCCTTCTTTATGGTACCGAACCTCTGCCTTGTAGTTGAGCAGCCGCGAGAACCTTCTATTCACAAACATTGAGTGGTGCACAAGGCCTGTTTCTACAGAAAATTCGTACAGGCCCTTCAGACTTTTTAGAATAGCCAGAAGAAGAGTTCCCTCCCGCATGTTCACCACACTCGTGTTGTCAATCACAATGATCAAGCTTTTTATCAGATCAATCAGCTCATTTACACACAGCTTGTTGGATGCATAGCACAGCGAGTCGCAGTGCGGATACTCGCAGTCTTGCAGAGATGAGTCGCAAATGGGACACTCTTCAATCACCCGGGTGGAAATATCCTTTGCAGGAATGGATCTTGCAAGCACAGGAAACTCTTCGTGCTCTTTGAACCCGCACTCTGGAACTTTCTTGTAGCTCAGCCCGCCCGGAAGTTTGTTGCATCCTTCCATGCACAGAATATCCTCTGTCTTGCTTGTTTGGCACAGCATCTCAATTGACTCCAGGAACCGAATGAAATACTTCTTCTCGAATTTTACGCTCTCCTTCACTGCATTAAACAGCTTTGCGATCCTGATGGTTGTGTTTATCGAATATCCAGCCTTCAGTTTGTTTAACTCATGGTAGAATAGGCCCTGAAGCATGATTGCAGTTGTTTTGTGCTTTTTTTTATGGATCACTCGTGCCAGCTCCATTTTTAAATATTCTTTTTTTGAGTTTTCATCTGTGTAAGGTTTTAGTAGATCATTGCTGGTGCACTGTGAGACTGAAAGAGGAAAATTCAGATGCATGCTCATTACGGGGCTGCACGAGTAGGAAGACTGCCCAAGGGCCTTAAGAGAGGTGTAGAAGTACTTCAGCACATCCTTGGCCACACTCATGTGGGATATGGCTAGTGTTGCGAATTGGCTGCTTCTTTCTACCCTCTGTACTTTCATTTGAGTTGCGCGCGGGAGAAGCGTGGTGCTCATGTTTGGATGAAGACCAATTCGAGTACTATAGTACATATTCTCCTTTCTTGCTGTGTGAACTGCCCTTCCATGGACGAAATACAGAGACTCGCATGTAAAGTAATCATTGTACTCTAAAAGAAGCTCTACTATTTCATCCGAAATTCCTTCAATATCAGACAGTTTGCAGAATATTCCTGTGCAAAGAGCCCCTCCACACCCGTATACTATTTGCTTCTTTAGCTTTTCAGCCATCGCCGTCTTTTGGTTGTTCTCTTTATTTTTCATTATAAATCCCCTTTATTTTCTCTGTATATACTTTATATGCTTTATGATTTGCTAGTTCCTGATTGGTGTACTTTTTATTTCCTGCAAATTAAATTGTAGACAGAGTTTTGTTTGCAATTTTATGAACAGTGCTGCCCAGGAGAACAGCTTAACAGAGAGCGAAGTAGAATTAATAACAAACTACGGAAAGGGCTACTATACAAGCAGGATAGTCGGCCTGGAGAAGGAAGTAAAGGACTTGTACAGCCGTGTCAATGCCAAGCTAGGTCTGCGCGAGGTAGAGACGGGTCTGGCTCCTCCTATGCTTTGGAATCTTGCAAGTGACGCCCAGAGGTCAAAGACAGAGAAAACCCTGCAGGTTGCCAGATGCTGCAAGGTCATGAACGACCCGGCAGGAACAGACAGGTACATGATAAACATTAAGCAGATTGCAAAGTTCATTGTCGGAAGGAGCAAAACACTGAACAGAGAGGATATTTCTGAGGGTATTCGGGTGGGAGTGGACAGAGTAAAGTACCAGATTATGGTGCCTCTTCCCGCCAAGATTGACAATGCAGTCACGCTCATGCAGATTGAGGAAAAGCCTGACATAACCTACTCAGATATAGGAGGATGTACAGAGCAGATTGAAAAAATAAGAGAGGTAGTGGAGATGCCTCTTATTAGCCCAGAGAAGTTCATTAAGCTAGGGATTGACCCTCCTAAGGGAGTGCTCCTGTACGGCCCACCAGGAACAGGAAAGACTCTGTGTGCTCGAGCTGTGGCAAATAGCGCAAATGCCACATTCATTCGTGTGATTGGGTCAGAGCTTGTGCAGAAATACGTGGGAGAAGGGGCACGAATGGTGCGTGAACTCTTTGAGCTTGCCAAGTCAAAGAAGGCATGCATTATTTTCTTTGACGAGGTAGATGCCTTTGGAAGCACCCGGTTTGACGGAGGAAACAATGAGGTGCAGCGAACCATGTTGGAGCTGATTAACCAGCTGGACGGATTTGAGTCGCGTGGAAATATAAAGGTCCTGATGGCCACAAATAGACCAGATACCCTTGACCCAGCGCTTCTCCGGCCTGGGAGACTTGACAGAAAGGTGGAGTTCTCTCTTCCAGACCTAGCAGGAAGAGCTGCAATCCTTAAGATCCACACGAAGCCCATGAGCGTAGAGAAGAATATTCGGTATGAGCTGATTGCAAGACTCTGCCCAAGTGCCACTGGAGCAGAGCTGCGCAGTGTCTGCACGGAGGCAGGAATGTTTGCCATCCGGGAGAGAAGAAAAGTGGCAACTGAGAAGGACTTTTTAATGGCAGTTGAAAAAGTCATAAAGGGATACGCAAAGTTCTCTTCAACCCCAAGATATCTGACATACAACTAAAATAAACATATCGGTTGTATCTTTCTCTCTTATGTGCACCCGTGTCTTAAAAAGCCTTTTCCATATCTTTTACAGCAGTTCTGAATGGTTTCTCCTATTACAGGAGAATTTATTATAGTGCGTGTCTATTATTGCTTGCATCCATCTGCACATTACTCTTTAAATATGCATTTTCCACTTGCAGTAATCTTCTTATATTTTTGCCTCATTGAAGTAGACAAAGCCTATGAGTGGGCTAGAGATGCTGAATTATTATTCAAGCATTGAGTGCAAAGAATAATTAGACATTCAGCAGATAACTACTATTTTATGCTATTCATATCCATGCATCTGCGCAGTGCATGTATTCTGACTATCAAGCATTCTTTACTGTACGATATATGAATGGTTTTCTTATATTTTTTATGGATAAACAAGTGCGCATAAAAGAACAGTCAATTAAAAGACTTGAGAACGACATCAAAGCATATGAAAAAGAACTATCTGAAATTCAGCAGGAAAAGGAAAAAGAGGAAGCAGGAAAGAATGACTGCTATCTACTGAAAATGATAGCACAGAGATATGAAGAAACAAAGCAGGCACTTGACAGCACACACACAATTCTCAAGAAAACAAAGGCAGAGCTAGAAAAAATAAAAAAAGCATAGAACAGCCTACTTCAACTGTTTAAGTAATAAGCTAGTTAAACGGTAGCATAAATAATAAAGAATTTATTGGATCTGTTTAGACGCACTGCAATATTACGCACTTATGCCCTTTCTTCCCTCCTCTGAGACTCTCTTTCTTTTCTGTTCCTCTTTTCTATTCTGTCCTCCTTGGATGGCTTTTTTTTGATTCCCCTCTCCTGGAACTCTTTGCTCTCCATTGCATACTCTGCAGTCATTTTCCCTCCGATTTCTCTTCGCATCTTTCCCTGGCTTTCCAAGAAGAGCTGTGCGTCTTCAGGGAACTTGAAGGTTATAAAGCAATATCCTGGGTTCCTCTTTGCACTGTTTGATGTCAAGTTGACACCTCGCAGCTTCAGCTTTTTTCCGTGCAGTTTTTCAAAGTAGTTTTCAATTACCTTGGAGATAGACTTTCGCGTGTGCTTCTTGTCCATGTGCGAGATGTGCACTCTGCATGAGCTTATCTTGGATGGGTCTCTGGGCTCTAAAACTCCTTCCTGTCTATCCTTGATTGTCTTTTCTCTTTGGTAGTCCTTTTCCTTCTGGTCTGACTCTCTCTGCTTCAATACATCAGGAGATACGTACTTTAAGACAACTAGCACTCTGTCGTTCAGAGTTACCTGCTCGCGCAGAGCTTCTTTACAGCTGTCCTGGTGCTTGAAAAGCACAAATGCTCTTCCTGTTGGTGCATTGGTTTCTCTGTTCATAACAAGTGTGCACTGCTCTACTTCTCCAAATGCTCCAAAGACCTCCTTGACCTCCTCCTCGGTGTCTTTGAACGAGATGTTTGTAATGAACACAGTTCTGTTCTCTTCTCCCTCTGGAAGCTTTCTTCTCTCGCTGCCTTTGTTGGCTTCATACTCCTTTCTCTTCTGTCTTCCGTATGCATTCTCGTCCTCATTATCGCCAAACTTCTGCTTTGCTTTGTATACCTCTCTGTCCTCCAGCTGTGCCACTCTGATCTCTCTTCCTGCTAATTTTGACCCATCGAGTGTTTTTATAAATCTGTTAACATCAGTTGTGTTGGCGCACTGGATGAATACAGCCCCGGTTGCCACGCCCTTCTTAGCGTGTCTCTCCAAACTAACTGCTCCATTAAAGTGCTTCAGAATATCCTCGTCAGATATATTGAATGGCATGTTTGTGGCAATAACTCTGTGCTGCTTATTGTATGTTTCATTCTTTGCGCTTTCCTGCATGATAAAATTTTTCCAGAAACCAACTTATTATAATAGGAATATAACGGCAATCATAGGTGTACGTATCTGTATCTTACATGTGCTTTTTTAATGCTACACTGCACAGACAGATGCCCTAGAGGCCTATTTTCTTTATACACTTTTATTATGTGCTATTAAAGAGTACAAGTATATGTACAGTTATATAATTGAGAAATCTGCGTGGTAGAAGAAAGCAAGCCATTCAATGTATTGATGCTGACATAATTTCTATATATTATGAATTACTTCTCTTTCTTGGTTTCTGCTTTAATTGGTCATACTCTATTGCCTTTTCTTACTAGAATATATTGGTCTATTGTAAACAACTGTATTTTAGGAATATTGCACCATTAAGATACTATGCAACAAAAATAAGCAGTGTTTCCTATAAGAACATAACTTTGTATTCCTGTACGAGAAGAGCATTTAATTGCACTGTACTAATTTTTATGCTGTGTTGAAATATTTAAACTATTCAGAATGTTTAAGCTCTTAATAGCTCTTTATGCACAGTATTTTCCTATTTTCACTAATATTCTATAATTGGTTGAACTGGTCTAACTATCCATTACAGCCTATATTCTATGGAATTTAAGAGTGATAAGTGGGCTGTATATTCTAAGAATCTCTTTATTCTTGTGCGGCTTCTTTGCATGGTCTGTATAACAAGACATTATAAAAGTAGTAGGTCATTGCTTACTCATAAATTCTACCAAATATCTGCAGTGGTCTGTATATATATGGTTAAGTACTTGCAAGTATCTAAGTTATTATATAATCCTGCGACAAAATGCTTTTTCTGATTATACCATCCTGCAGACACTTCTAGCTAAAATGCAGGTATATGCTGAGGATTATATGCATGAGTTCAAAATATTTTATGGATGGGTTTAATTTTGCAAAGCAGCTAATAGGCAAGACCAATACAGAGGAAGAGTACTTTCTTAAGTGCATGCAGCCAGCACGCAAGGCCATTAATCTTAAAAATGCCAGAAGGATTGGGAAATATTTATACGTTACGGAAAAGAATCAGCTGGTTTCACTTGCTATTATTAAGAGTAAACCCAGAACAGACACAGCACATGGCGTTGTGAAAGTGGATGGTCTTAAGTTTTATGTATTTACAAATGAAGCATAATTTACACATATCTGCATGCAGCTGTATCTACGGCATTCTCAAGTACGGTTCAATTTGATTTTCCCTGAAGGCATATATCACATAGCAACACATGCATATTCAAGCTAAATACGCTTATTACAACAAGAATGCCCAAAATATTTAATAAAGCATATGTACTAGAAACTTGTCACTTTAAGTGCATTTTTAAGAGGTATGTGTACTTTAAAAGGCAAAGAAATAGATGCCTCTCTTATGTTTTCTTTCTAGTCGCGCATTATTTAATGGGTCTACTATACTGGTATGAAACTTTAATATTTATTGAAGTTATAAGTTTCCAAAAACTAAATTGAATTCTTATACAATAGCACTTTCAAATAAAACTATATAATGGCTGCATTAATCCAAACACGTTCATTAGCATTCAGTACATTATATATATTATGTAACTTGCGTGCTGCGACTTTTCCTATGCAGTATGTTTATTCCTAATCCCAGATATTGAGTTTTATGTACTTAAGTCTCACTTAGTATTCTATAATAGTGTGCTATTTTATTCATTTTTCTCAGGTTCTTTGGTTTTTTTGTCTAAAACGTCAAATATAAGCATAGACATACTAAGATTAGCTGCTTGATGCTCAAGTGCTCTTGAAATGGTGCTTATATCATCTGAATCCTTTTTAAAATTCTCAGGGAAAATGCACCATACACCTTCCTTATTAGCAGCGTATAGCTTTTGATTCTGCACTTTCTCAACATTCATGAAGTTCTTCATCATACTACTGTTCATCAACCGTTTGGCTATTCTGTCCTCTTCCTTTATATATTTAACTTCTGTTGCCATTAACTCCCTATAGCAGTTTAATATCTCGTATAGAATATATCTGTCTCTGTTTTTTCCCATCATATAGTCCGTCTCTAGGCAGATTAGTGTAATTAGCCGGTCTGTGAAATTAGAAATTTCTTCAATTTCTTGAATTTTCTTCGTTGAAATATTCAGCAGCGTTCCTAAACTTTTGATCTCTGGGTTAGTTCCTGCTTTAGCTGGATTTACATATCTGTCTATATCTTCTGCATGCTGCTCTAAGTATTTAGTGAATATACCTGCACTCTTTTTGGTTGAATGCATTGCTATGTAGTTCTTGATAAATTCAATAAAGAATTTAACGTACTCTTCTCCTGACTCTCCGGTCTTTTCTGATTTGTTAGAAAGCGTGTTGAATGCTTTCATCTTTTTAACTGCCTTTATATTTTGAACAAGATCTATGAAATACGACTCATTGTCAATATTAGCTGCTCTCTGTACATGCCCCACCAATGAAACCATGGAGGCTAGGGTGATTTCTTCCTCTGTCATATGGTTATTTAAAAGTCGCTGTCTATACATTTCTATTTTCTCAATCTGCTTTTTAATACTTTCTGTTGTGTTTCCCCTTGCCATGGAAATTATCCCCTTAGATTGGTTCTTTAGACTTATGTATGACTTCAGATTTTTCATGTCCGACAATATTTCCCTCAGGATAAAAATAAGAGACTGCTTGTTCTTTAGTCCTCGCCGGCGAGTCGCTACAAATGGACTGCTAACCACAACTTTAAGCAGCACCTCTACCATCTTATATATATCGTTTTCTATTGGGCATTTGTCCATGTCCATCTCAAGTACTTCTTTGAATTTGCTTATAGTGCCTTCTTCATGGCCCTTTAGAAGCCAATTCAATGCATTTTTTATACTATTTTCAGAACACTTGTTATTTTTATCTAGCAGGTTAAGTGTCTTCAATGCTTCCATTGGGTCTCTCTGTATTGAAAGTATGTATCGTAGGTGGTAGTTTTTCTTAATAACATTGTGTATAACTATAGGCAGCCTTTTTTTAGGATTTTTGTCGGCATATTTCTTATATTCGCCTAAAAGAGTTTCTATTGCACTCTCCATCTTACTAATATGCGTGACTGTCTCTATCTCGCTGTCCACTGTGATCTTATCATGAACATCAAGATTCAGCTTTGGCCTTGCTAAAAAGCTGTTATTTCCTGCCCTATACGCCGTCCAAATAAGAAGAGACTCTAGAGTCTGGGGCTCTCTCTGATCTGCCATTTGCATTGTGGTAGTTCTTTTCTTTTCGCTGACTTTTTCTTTTTTAGACTTTCCCTTGTCATTTCCTATGTATCCCATTACGTATGCACCGGTGAGCACGGAAGTTACCGCCCCTATTACTACTCCAATTATTATAAGATTCCTTATTCTCTTTTTTCTTTCTTCTTTTGAGTAAGCCATTATTTCTTTAATTAACTCTGAAAATATTTTCTATTTATAGACTGTAAAAAATTGGTTGATTTCATTTAGTGAAAGCAACAAATAACTGAAATATATAGGCCAATTGAAAAATAAAACTGACAAACCATTTTTGCCCTATAAAATACTGGTTTAATATAACCGGAAGTAGTCTAATAAAAATTTGTTAAAATATTTAGCCAGGCAACTAGCTATCTACTTCAGAAAGAAAGCGCAGTTAAACACACAATACAGTATATTAAATGTCTTTAAAAAGACAAATACCAAACGGTTTAACTGGACTTTTGCAAAAACTACTTGTTTTAGGCTAAATATATGCTATTCTCAAAGTACATGCATTATTTTCCTTCTATGCCAAGCCTTTGGTGTGTCATGAGCATGCCTATCTATACTAAGTGTGGATATTTATTTAATTAGTCTATGTATACTATACTACTGAACATACTGGTGTATTAATTTTTACTAAAAAATTTAACAAACTGCTAGCCTGGGGCATTAAAATTAACGAATTAAACTGCAACGGCTTTGTCTTTCAGACCACTGAATTAACCATTGCATCTTTCTGAATAGACCTTCAGCGCATTTGCTAAAATAGAATTGCACTCATGCATGCAAGATAGAATAACCATCTTATTTATTATCTATGCAAATGAACACATCTTTGCATCTCTTCTGCACTGCGACGATGACAGAGGCATCTCTAAATACATGCATTGTCTCGCTCTATATGAAGATTTGCAGGCAGTGGCAAAGCAGCATAGCACAAATAATATACCATAAATCACAGTCACCCTATAACCATTACACGCGCATGCACTTAGAGATATGTGCAAAGGCGGAAGGAGTGCTCTGAGCTGCTTACTTCTGTCAGCACAGGCACTCTACTCAGTGAACACGCGCACTGCATCTTCCAGGTTCTTTTGCAGCTGCATCAAGTTCTTTGTTACTTTATCCTCTCCATTCACCGGGTCCTCAAACTTCATTCTTGTGAGCTTGTAGTAGACGTCTTTCGTCTCATTCAGCAAGAACTCCCAAGATGGCACAGTCTTTGTCTCCAGCAGCTCTCTGCACGTTCTGTAGTAGTGCACAATCATGTTGCTCATCAAAACTGTTTTGTAGAAAGGACAGTACTTATCGTATAGCGACACTCCGTTTTGCTGCAGGAAGTCCTCCTTGATAACCTTTGCCACGCTCATTTCAAGCTTTTCCAGTTCCCCTAGCGAGCCTTTTCCAACAAGCTGCACTATTTCGCTCAAGGACTCTTCTTTCTGCAGCAGCTCCTTCACAACCTTCATTGACTCTGCATACTTTGCATCGTACACATTGTGGTATGGCGTTAGCAGGTTAATGTACTTTGAGTAGCTAAGGTTCCAGTTGACACTTGGGAAGTGCTTTCTCTGCGCAAGCTTCTTATCCAGCCCCCAGAACACCTGCACAATCCCCAGAGTGGCTGCTGTGACTGGGTCTGAAAAGTCTCCTCCTGGCGGTGAGACTGCTCCTACAACAGTAACACTACCCTGCCTTTCTTTGGTGCCCAGGCACTCAGTGTATCCAGCTCTTTCATAGAAAAATGCCAGTCGTGCCCCAAGATACGCAGGATATCCACTGTCCGCCGGCATTTCTGCCAGCCTACCACTTATCTCTCTAAGCGCCTCAGCCCATCTGGAGGTTGAGTCTGCCATCATGGACACGTTGTATCCCTGGTCTCGGTAGTACTCGGCTATTGTGATTCCTGTGTAGATTGATGCCTCTCTGGCAGCCACCGGCATATTAGAAGTATTTGCAATAAGCACGGTTCTCTTCATAATTGACTCCTCTTTGCCATCTACATTTATCTTGAGCGTGGGAAACTCCTGCAGAACCTCGCTCATTTCGTTTCCTCGCTCACCGCACCCCACATACACTATTACATCAGAGTTTGAGTATTTTGACAGAGACTGCGAAATAACTGTTTTTCCGCACCCAAAAGCGCCTGGAATAGCAGCTGTCCCTCCCTGCACGCATGGGAACATGGAGTCCAGAAGCCTTTGCCCAGTGAACAGCTGCTGCACTGGTGTCAGCTTCTGCTTAATTGGTCTGGGTGATCGCACTGGCCACACCTGGTACATTTTCTCCTGGCTCTTCACTCCGTTGTTCTCCATCTCTAGAAGCACCTCTTCCACCGTGTACTCTCCCTTTTCGGCTATCTTTGTGACAACCCCGCCCCTACTTTTTGGTGACACCATAAGACGCAGTCGGAGAAGAGTATTCTCCTGCACTGTTCCAAAGATGTCTCCTGGCTTTAAAGATTCTCCAATTGACACAGTCGGAGTAAACTCCCACTTCTTGGTCCTATCCAGAGCTGGTGCTGCAATACCATTGGGGATGTACAGACTCTTCGTGTCATTGTATATCTGCCGCAGTGGCCTCTGTATCCCGTCAAATATATTATCAAGAAGCCCTGGGCCCAGCTCAACACACAAAGGGTGCCCTAGCCGAACAACAGGATCTCCAACACCAAGACCAGATGTTTCTTCATATACCTGGATTGTAATCTTATCTCCCTCTATCTTTATTACCTCGCCCATGAGGCCCTGGTGCCCCACCTTTGCAAGTTCATACATGGCACACCCAAGCATGTTCTCTGCAATAACCACAGGCCCGCTTACCATGTAAACACTTCCTTGCATGTTCTCCCCTTCTCTGCTTAGAAATAGAAACTCATTATTACCCATTTATATAAAAAAAATTATTCATTTATATACTTCTTGTGTCTTGCTGGTCCTTAATCTTGCAAAACTGGTTCCTTAGCATAATTGTTTTTTAATCTTATTAGAATTCATAGTACCCACTCCTGTCTTTTATGCACAGTGCTATGGCTATTTTTGGTAAATTAAGTATGAAACCCCTAAAAACATTTTAAAAAGCATTTATTATAAGCGTGTGCTGACTACTCTCGTAAGCACATATTTAAATCCTGCGTATGCAGGGCGAGAGTTGCGTCTGTAAATACTCTGGTAGTTTTTGGTTCTATTACTAAAACTGCATATAAAAAAGTAAAAAGGATTTTCATTCTCTGGAGATATTTTCTCTCTAGCTACAGACAAAATATATTCTAGTAAATGTGATCTGTAGAGATATGGGGTAAGTTAATACTCATCAAAAAGCCATATCATATAAATGTGTGTGCATGATCGGAATAATATCCTTTATCTTCTTTTTTCCCTTCTCTCTCTCTTCCTGGTTGTCCTTTGACAGACTCTTCTTCTGTATGTCTAAGAAAGCATGCACGCTCTTGAAGTTATCCTGGCTTATAATACAGCACGCATATTTTTTTGTTTCTACATTCTTAATACTAATACTGCTATACAGAGTCTCAATTAACGTAGGAAATTCTTTCTTTGTCTCACACGCATATACAAACCACGCAATGCTCAGATACATACGCAACTCTGCGCTCTTATAATCCATGGAGTCTATGGTGTTTAGCATGTCAGTTGAGTAAAGCACATTGTTTAACTTGAATAAAACATCAAATACTTCTTTGTTAGAGATTACTAAAACAACATCCGGCCATACGTCTGGGGTTTTCTCATTTGCTTTAAGATAGTTTGTTATGTAGTATATAAGAAGCTCTGGGGCTTTTCTCTCAATTGCATAGAGTATTGATATTTTCATAATAGTCGGATTTGCTTGCTCTTTCATTTTTTTATATGTCTCTTCTCTTATATTTATCTCTGGAGTAACACTTATGTGGTTCTTTATAAGCGTAATGCAGGACAAAATTGACTTCAAACTGCTTACGTCATGTGCATAGTAGCTTGCAACTATGTTTGATATAAACCTCATTCCTGGTGTTTCTGCACTGATATTTCCATCACTTTTGCTTGTTTGTACAATAGTCCAAATTACTAGATCTTTTTTGTACTCTATGTCAGTGATTTTCCTCATAATAAGTATCTTAGATATTTCTTCATAGTCTAGGTCACTTGTATTTGGCATATGGCAAATGTCGTGCAATCCATCTTTCTTTCTTTGGTCTATACTCTTTATTATGTTGTATATACAGTAGGAAACAAGACAGGATGTAAAGTTGTCTCGCTCTTGGCTGGTGTTCATCAAACTCTGCAGTCTCTCTTCTCTACTGTCGTGCGAAATTATGCGGCTATCTGTGATATTAAAATATGTGTCTTCAGTAGTTAAGTTTATGCTAATTGTCTCTTGCCTATCATCATATTTGTATTCTAAAACTATCTCTCCAAATACGTCAAACTTGTTCACGACTTTTCTTCTTACAAGTTTTTTACAACTAACAGATAGGTTCTTATTACATGTAATCTTTTGGAAGAAACTTTTCACAAATTCATTTATATCTCCATAGAACCAAATCATTGGCTCGTGACTTTTGTTCAGTGCATTTGCGAAATTAGTAATTTTTTCTTTAGACCTTCCCCCCATATTCAAACAGCATGCTAGTGTGTACAGCATGTTGAAAAGGCCTACTCCTACGGCATGTCTCTTGTACAAGAAGAATTTACTGCGATCGATAGAATTTTCAATATGCTCACACCACTCACTATATACAGTAACTCCAATACTTTGGAATGGCTTCATGTTCTTATTAAAAAAGGCTTCAATATGGTCAGTTTTGCACTTTTTGTTTTTGAACTCATACATATGCACTGACGGATTATAGAACAAGCAGCACACCACACTAAGAATAGTAAGAATGCAATTTCTGTTGCCAGAATATACGACTTGCAGAGTATCCTGGGGTAATGTTGCATTAATACTGTTTCTTGCAATGTTCTTTATATTAGGGATCTGCTGTTGGTTTGAGAATGGCAGTGCCTGCTTAATTATCATAGCCTTTGGAATCTCCTTTATGATATTTATGTAGGTCAGAGCATTATTTTCGTAGAAGTACTCATCTATTGTTGTGAAGCACCTGTCTAAGACACGCTTATAATGTGATATAATCCTTTTTTCTGTTGGTTTTGTCTCATTTATCTGATTAAGAATCATATCATACACTGTCTGATTAACAAGCAATGCTTCTTCTACGGTGTCTATAAACTCGAATAAATACGCTTGTATAAGAAACTTGATGCTATTAAGGAATAGTCCCGTTCTGAACTGCTCTAGCGTATTTGGCTCATCGTATTCTGATATAGCATCTTTAGCTCTCAAACTTGAAATTTCAATAAATCCCTTAATAATTTCTCTTGTTTTTTTCTGAAAGTCCCTACTGTCACTGGGCTCCTGCACTTCACTCTTTATGGGTAGGGGAATACAAAAAACAACCTGCTTTCCGCTCTTTTGTTTTAGAACAACGTGTGCATCACCTTCCTCCCCTACAATCTGAATTGGTATACGTATTCCCTCTGACATTAGCAGGAGTGCTGCAAGTAGTCTATGCATGTGCTTTTTGGTCTTCTTTGATTTAGTCCACCTACTGAAACTGTCTTTTTCATTGCTCTCAATTGGGACAGACTCATTGTGAAATGGAAACATATTAATGAGTATTTTGTGGTATGTGCGTAGGTATCCCCCTTTAATATCACTGCTAAACCCATCTGAAGCAACTGCGTCATTTTCTATGCCTCTGTTGAATGAATATACTGGAAAAGCTGCATTTACATCTGAAGCCTGGACTATTTGGTACTTAGCAGAAATTTCGGGCGTAAAAAGCCTTTTGTTGTAAATTAATCCTTCCTTGTGAATGATATATCCTCTAAGCAGATTGAGTGGTCCACTTGGGTTTATAATTATATGTCTGCCTTCGTATTCTATTTTATTCTTCTGCAAGATTTCTATTTGGTCCAAAGATAATATTCCATTTACAGGTGTATAAATATATGCCAGTATAAGCATAAAGCGCCATATATATTTTTCTACTATTTTCTCTGTCGGTCTCTTCATCTTTCCTGCCTGCATTCTAATTCTTTATTCACTTCCTATATTTATTGTATTTGCGCATATCTAAATGATATCAATAGAAATAATTGCTTTCTATGGTGCAATAATTCAAACACTGTGACCATTCTTTCATCTAGTTGATTTTTTCTTATTTAAGCACCTTTCTATACCAATATGCAAATATAGTTTGTCTCTGCTTTTTTTCTTGAATTTGTGTTAATTATTTTGCTTTCAAGCCAAAGGTTTATTCTCTGCTCTCTACTAGGCATATCTCAATAATATTCACATATACTAGCAGCCGTATACAATAAATAATTAAATATTTAACTGTATAATTTGTGCTATTTCATAGAGTCTGGCTAACTATTGTGTTATAAATGCACAAATATACAACACGCATCTAAATGAAACAAAAAGATATGCACGCTTAGAAGTATCCATTCTTTCTAAATTTTTGTTGAACCTCTTTTGTACGTATATTATTCTAAATATTTTACTAGAGTTTTCAAGTCTGTACGCCCTTTGGGTATTTATAGGTGAATTCTTATGCTTCTATGTTTCTTTATGTTAGAAGCACATATTCAGGCTACACCGCATATACAGTATGTCTCTGCAGTAATACTTAAATTCTTTATACTTTCTGTAATAGTGTGATCTTCTTGAATTGTACACATATTTATATTTCTCTTCTACTTTAATTTATAGTAAACTTGTACTGATATTTTTGTAAATATTATTTAGGCTGAGTGACTCTCTGTTAGGCTGTTCTGTAAATAAAACTCTTCATACTAAAATGCAAAATATATTTCAAAAAAGACTTTACGTTCTAAAGAAAAAATATAGAAATATACCACAGCTATGAAAAGCATTCGTAAAAATATAGTTATGACCAGCTAGTAAGAATTAACCAAAAGAGATCAATTTTGATTTTAATCATGATAATTGAAGAATATTTGCATGTAGTTTCTTCGCCAGAACAACTTAAACTACAATTTTCTTAAGCAGTTCTAAATTTAGTACACTTACTAGGCTACAGGCAATCAGACTCATCAGCAATCTATTGCAGTACTTTTAATAAGCCATAGTGAAAATAAAAAAGCCACTGGCAGCCGCAATCTCAAAAGACACGTCCTTAGACGCACACACTTATGCTATTTTAAGCAAATCATTAGACCGCAAATATAAATATGTCATGCTCTATTTGAGAAGAAATATACAGACAGACTAAAGTAACATGGTTTATTTCTATGCCTGTTGCACAAACAGGGTGTATTTTCTCGGATACCGATAGCTATATAAAAGACACATTTCTATGCTGATAGATCGCATGCTAATAGTTAGGCTGTGTGTGTGGTGGGTTGCAATAGCAAGCGGCCTCAGGGATATTAGAGCATAGCTTCTATATACATCTCTGTAGTAGGGCTTTGTTACTGACCGGTTTAAAATAAAAACTGTCTGATCAGCATACTTTATGGTGGACACGCGAGTGTTGTTTATGTCCATTATGTGTATTTCATCTTCTGCAAGAATATTGTTCCTATGCGACCACCCATCTATTATCAGAGCACTTCGTGGCTTGTACGCCTCAGAGAACTCCTTGGGAGTTTTATCTAGAAACGAAATCACATCCGCTGTTTTGTACTCAGAAGACAGTTTATGATAGGATATCAGCATGTGACTGGGGTACTCCTCCAGTACCTCGGAAATAAACCCGTCTACATCTGCCCCCAAATATTCATTGACTAAAATAACTTTCCCTTCTAACTCCTGTTTATTTCTTACTTTTAATACATACTCCATGAAAAAATAAATGAAAAGCAAGCTAGAGTTAAGAATTACAACCGAAAGAAGCGATATACTGCAGAAATGTCTTTCTGATGCTGTAGGTGGTATAGAAATAGAGAAGACTGATAATGAGGTGGTTATTCGTCTGGAAGAGAGCGGCAGACTTATGAAGAATGCGCATGTTTTAGTAACATACGCAAACTACATACTCAAAACAATAAATGAGCTTGAGGAGTTTAATAAAGAGCTCGAGCAGTAGAATAACCAAAAGACACAAGCACTTCGTGCCTCTATGATATGTGATCTAAAATAAAACATAAAAATCTTCTGTTCTTCACTTTAACATTTACTTTTTGCATGAAGTAGCCCTACTTCCTATTTCTTGCACCTGCTTGATATACTCCTGGATTCCTCCTACAGCACTTAGTGCTCCAAATATAAACACAAACCTTCTTGAGGTGCTTCCATTTCTGCAGCATAGCACTACCTTTCTTCCAGATGCTTTTCTATGGATGCAGTCGCGTGCCTTTTTGGGATTATCAACAATGCTGCTTAACGGATATAAATAAGAGTTAGGAATTGAGACAATTTTATGCTCGGCACTAGAGCGTGTATCTACAATAAAGTACTTCTCAGGCGAGGAAAAAACCACACTCCAGCACACTTCGTCTTCTAGACTTGTCAGACAATTTCTCTCATTTTTATCGGTGGAGGTATCACTTAGTAGTTCTTGATCCTTGTTTTCCTTTTTATCTGCTGGTGTGGTATCTGGTGTCATGCCAATGCTTTCTGCACTACTATCCGAGAAAGGAAGTTTGCTGTTTTTTGCACTCTCCTGTATTTTACTTATGTCAATATCCTGCATCTTTTCCACTAGATCACTTATTAAGCATGTGTTTAGTTCTTTCTCTTTTTCCTCCAAGATCTGATTCTCTTTGGCTATTCTCTCAATTCTTTGCATACGCGTCAGATGAGGGGCTTCTTTGCAGAGAGTGCACAGCTTCTTATTAAGAGACAAGTTCATAAACTCATTCTTCAGCCCATTAATATAGACCAAGCTGTCACTTGCCCCAATGCCAATAATTGCCTTCATTGCCTCTGTCGCCATTAAAGATCCCACTACGCCGCACATACTTCCTATTATTCCTGCAGATGAGCAGCTGCCGCTTGCATATGTTCCTATCACAGGATGAACGCATCTATAGCACAGCCTGTTAAACGTATACACATGCCCTTCCCATCGCAAAGACGACCCGCATATATATGGAATGCCTCGCAGCTTGCAGCAGTCGCTGAGTAGATAGCGCAGGGATCTGTTGTCTCCGCAGTCCATTACTAAGTCATATGACGAGCATATGTCCCACACATTTTCACTTGTGATCTTCGGGTGCGATGTATACTCAGAAGATGAGCACAGGCCTGTCAGACTTTGCACGGCCTCCTTTGCCTTATACTTGCCTATAGATGACTCTCTGTATAGTACTTGCCGGTTAAGGTTGGACTCTTCAACTACATCAAAATCAGAAATTCCTATCTTCTGAACGCCCATTGCTGCTAGGTACATAAGAGCAGGCGCACCCAAACCACCAGCTCCTACAACTAGCACCCTGCTTGTTTTTATTTTCCTTTGCCCCTCTACTCCTATTTCTTTAATTACCATCTGCCTAGAGTACCGGTCTATGTATGATAAAGGAAGAGGATTCTCTTCGGTGTGCTCCTTTTCCAATGCACTGGACAATTCGGTGTTGTGCATGTTTTGTGATGTTTTGCTGTCAATCTGAATCTTTTTCTCGTTTTCTGTGTTTTCTTCCACTGTCTTGACTGGGCTGCTATTATACACTGGTCTATTTTCTGTTTCTTGGCCTGCTTTATTCTTTAGTGTGGACAGCCCGTTCTCAGCACCCTCCTGTTTATAGCCTGGCCCAAAAATCTTCTTCTGATCCGGCTTTATTTCACTGTGGATAACAAATGTCTGCGAGTCTGTGGTGTCTGCAAGTTTATCTTTCTGGCTCTGCATGCTCTTTGCAAATTTCATTAAAAACTTTGTTGGTCTTCAATTCTTTTTATTTGAGCTTTCATCCTTGCAGACTCTTCACCCTGCCAGCCACTCATTATTCTCTCTATATCCAATTCCATTTCCTTTTCATTAATATAAATCATTCTCTTTTCTTTACACATTCACTTTTTTATAAACAAATGACAGAAGAAGTAAAGCATGAAAATAGCAAAAATGAAGAACCAAATGTGCTGAAAGAGCGCACAAGAGAAGAAAAAAGAAAGACCGCATATAAAGTAGTGAATGAAACACTATTAAAGGAGCATGCGTTTTGGGCAAATGAGCCATTGGGGAAGAGAGCCCCTGATAGTAATGAAAAGCCAGTAGACAGCAGCAAACAGCTGTTAGATGCAAGTTCAGAGCTTGATATTGAAATTAGGCAGATAGACCTGCAGACTGAAATATCTTCAGTATGCGAGCTGTTAATGGGGCACTACATAGAAGATGGAAAGGGGAAGTTCAGCCTTCAATACTCGCCTGAGTTTATAAAGTGGCAGCTAGAGTCTCCATATGCATACCCCGAGTGGAATATAGGGGTATTTACGGAGGGCACACTTATTGGATTTATATCAGCAACAGCAATAGACATAAAAATAAAAGAGAGCACACCAAAGACAGCAGTGGTTAACTTTTTGTGTGTGCACAAGAAGTACAGAAAAAGAAGACTTGCGCCTCTGCTCATCAAAGAAGTAACAAAAGAGGTGAATAAAAAGGGGATATTCTCTGCGCTATTCACATCAGGTGAAAAGCTCCCGTATATATTTACAAGGTCCAGATACTACCATAGAATACTTAGAGAGGGCCCTCTTGTGGAAAGCGGGTTCTGTGACCAAGAGGATGTCGAAAATGCAACAGAGGACGAGATCACACTGCATGACTCAGAGACTGTTCAGTATCGGAGGATAAAAGAGGAAGAGCTGCCTGAGGCATATAAGATGTACTGCAACAAGTACCAGCAGCTAGATCTGTCTGCAAACTTCACATATGAGCAGTTTAAGTACTATGTGTATGGGAAGGAGCGGATTTCAGACATGCTAATAAGCCAGGATGGAAGCGAGTTTGTTTCCATGTTCTATCTTGCAACCAAGCCGGCAGAAAATAATGCAACCATACGAACTGCCTATCTATCATATCACACAATGCGGCACGGAGTAGGAAGCATGCAAGGAGTGATCAGATACCTGAAAAACATGGATGAATGCGATGTGTTTAATGCACTGGAGCTAGAAAGCAACACTGAGGACATACTAGTGAAGTCAGGGTTCCTGAAGGGCGATGGAGTTATTAACTACTATCTGTTTAACTGGGACACTGAGCTAATTCCTGCAAGCAGGAATAGCTTTACACCGTACTAATTGCGGCCTAATAGGCACTATATGCAATGCGTGTTGTAGTGTGCTCTAGGAGACTATTCTTATAAGTATTAAAGTTAATTATTTATTGAAGATTTTCTGTTATTCATTTGTTCGAAGCCCATGCATAACAACTAGGAGTAGAAGTTTGTAATAGATTCTTGTTTACAGGAAATTTCTATGCACAACATAGTATATATGAATGCGTGTATAGCTAGCCAGAGGAGCCTGTTTTTTATTAGCACTGGCGCATATAGTATTTTCTGCTTTTATGAGCTCTTAAGAAGCTACATGTGTAGGTTTGTATATCTGTATATGTAATCTGTGCACATTCTTACATTATTATTAACTATTATACTCCAAAGCTGGTTCTTTTCTTTCATGATAGCTGTTCTATAGTGCTGTCTTATTCTCATGGAATCCTTTCATATAGTCGGGATATTTTTAGAAAGGCTCTATGGAATATAAAACCAGAAAGAATATAATAGTGTACATTTTATAAAAAGGAACAAATATAAAAAGAAACTATTCTAGTAAAACATAATAATTTAGAACTAACTACCCAGCCATTATACACACAGACAAGCGCATAACAAAGAAAATGTACGCATTAGAAAAGTTGATTATTAGGTATAGGATTGCTTTAGTATTCTTTTATTTTAAACTCAGTTAGTGTGCTGAATATTGCTTTTATACTGCAGGTGACTGTCTTACATATGAGTATTTCTGAAGAATCTTGTACTCTTCGGAAATTCGCTTTGCTCTATAGTTAAATCTTGTTGGAGGAACATTTGTCATGGTCTGGTCGTTTACAAGCCTTCCGTTTACCTCATGCACCCCTATCCACTTAGTCTTTTCCTCTTTTGTGTAGTTGCTGATGAGCACACTGTTTCGGGCTATCTCGCACTGGTCGCATGAGGATAGCTTCCATATCTGGCACGCGATGCTGTACTCTTCCATCAAAGGCTCTCTTGTGTAGTGGAACTGCAGAGGATCATCAGTGGACAGGCACACGTTCAGACCCCGCTGGAAATATAAAGGGAACGGATTCTTTCTATACTCTATGAACAGGGAGTTATTGCTAAGCGGCGACATTGAGATGCCGATTTGTGACAAATAGTACAGATACTGCAAAACAGGAGACTTTCTTAGTTTTACACCGTGAGCAATGCTTTTGGCAGTCAAGAATGAATACACCAAGTGGTCTGTTTCTCCAGACTCACCAGAATGTGGTCTAAATGCGAGTGGGGCTTTCTTTCGGCTTACTCTAAGTCTATTTATCAGCGCAGTGTAGTAGTACATGTAATAAATATAGTAGGAGTATGGCGGGTTATCCATATGGCTCCACATGCTGGGAGGGTCCTTCTCAGAGCTGTTTCTTTTGGTTTTCACGCTTTCATCGTCAACAGAGTCAAATCCCACTACCTCAGACATAAATCTATCGATAATTGTATCTTTGCCAGGCTCTGTGCCCTCTTCAGTTGGAGCAGATTCCTCTTTGGCATCTACACCAGGCCTGTTTGCTGACTCAATGACGCAACTGAACACATTACTAAGAAACTCTGCATAGTTCTTTACGGCGCCGTAGCCCTTAAAAACCCCATACAGCCGAGGTACCTGCAGATACCATTTAATGTTTTTATTATACAACCTGTTTCTGGCTATCCATCTGCAGAGCACTTCAAGCTCGTTCCTATTCTTGCCATATAGTGATATTCCCCACTCACACTTCAGATACTCTTTCTCTTCAATTTCATCGACTAGCTCCTGTGTCAGCTCTGCCAAATATTTCCCTCCAATGTAGTTGTCATGCTTTAGAAAAACCTCTCTCAGAATAGGGATCCCGTATGGAGTGTACTTTGAGTTAAACCGATCAAATCTGTGGAAAGTCTCCAGATTTGACTGAGTCCCCAGGCTATCAAGGCACAGGGTTTCAACTGTTTTGTTTATTCCCGTGAATATATTCTGCAGCGTGTGCAGCTTCCCAGCCTTGTCCTTGTAGACTGTTTCATGCGGAAAGTCTCTTAGCTTCTTCTTAATATATATTAGTAGCTTCTTAGAATTCATGCTGGCAGAGTGGTGTAGATGTGTATCTACCTTGACCACATTATAGAAGTCTTTGTTGGAAAGGGTCTTCTGCTCCATTTTCTCTTTATGTGCAAATTCGTTTGTGTGTATTTTAAACTGCAGCTCTAAATATTCTAATCTCTGAAAACAAAACGTTTTTAAAGGCCCGTTATGGATCAGCGATGTAATAAACTCTGCATCTCTGTGGTAGTCTGCAATGGAGGGTATCGCTACATCATCATTAATCAAGCTCCAGTGATCATTGCTTTTTTCTGCATATATGCCGCCTGGAACTGGATACTTGCTCCAAGACTTGTTCTGCTTGCTAATTCGCATGTACTTTTTTCTTAGCTCGAGTGCCTGCAGAAGCAATGGTATTGCTCTAGTCAGAGAGTCTTCTTCCATATTTTTTGTAAATTATTAAGAGCAAATAATATACAAAGGTTTTTGGTGGATCACAATATTGAGTATTTTTAGTTCCTTTGCAGAATAATGCATATAGCAAAGAAAAATATACCGGCCAAAAAAAGATCATGCATGGAAGAGAAATGCAGAATATGCAAGTAGCTTAAAGACTCTTTTACCTGTATATTATTTAAAATCTGCATGCATGTGAAATTAAGGAAAATATCACGTTCATTGCAGAAATATATACAGGTGTATATAATAAATCAAATAAACACTTCTGTTCAATGCTCTGTATGAAATATAAATTTAAGAAGAAAAAAGCTAGGAAGATCTTAGAGCAATTTACAGTAGACAGGAACAGCAAGTAATTTTGTAAAGTTGCCATAATAACAGCATGGCATAGTATACAAATGGTTTTGGCAATATAAATTACTACAAAAGAACATACATCACAAAATACCGAGAACTTACAAACAATATGTAGAGGCTATATGAATTTATTTTAAATAATAAAAGCATGCCGTTGTTACATAGAACTAATATTCCTTCATACAAAATAAATAAGAAAAAGCCTGGTTCTAAAATGCATGCAAGAGCAGAATCTATGCATCAGAGAGTGTTGTAAGCTTAATATACAAAACTCCTCAGATGCAGAGGCGCTAGAGATATAACCCAATATCTCTTACTTGGCAAAATCTTTTGCAAAAACCAGCAGACCATTATAGCTGCCTGTTCGTTGGGCATATATTTCTATGCCACAAGTCACTTTCGCTGGAGGATTTATACACAGATTTGGCAATTAGAAACTATGCCTATATGTGGAGTTTCTATAAGTAAAAGGTGTGTATACTTAAATCTTACAGAGATGTTGTTTACATGGACGAAAATTAAACTACAGATGACAGCCCTGCGCGATCTAATCAATAGAAGTAGGAAGATATGCAGTTGCATTAAACCATAAGGCCATGGCATGCATCTTCTTGTTACTGCTGCAGTTTAGAACAGATGTCTTTTGCTGCACTTATCCAAGACTAGGTGTGGTATGCAAGAATCTTTGCACATTTTCTACAGCTTATGCATCTTCCATTCGCTGCTGTATTCTTATGAGGTTTAGAATACTCGCAGGAGAATTCTTTAGCAAATCGCGAATTAGTACACCGTGGGCCTGCGACTCCCTTTCCTTTCTCTCACTTATTTTAATATATGCTGGGCTATCAAGTATTCCAGTGTATAGAGCAAAAAAAGCAATTGACTTGTAAGAGACAGCATAGAATGGATAGCAAACTGATATTGTATTGTCTCCTTTGAACGCCTCTATATACTGCGCAACATTTCCACTGGTTATCATTTTTAATATTTCATAGGCCACTTCTACAGAGTAGTGGCTGAACAAAATACAGCTAAAGTCATTGTTAAATGCATACTCCTTTGCTGCCTCAACACGCGAGTTGTGCGTGTTCTCTTTAGATGCTATATAGGTGTAGCCATTGCATGGCGCATTTTCATCTTTTGTAAATGTGCAGTAGTGATACTTAATCGTCGCAGATGTGCTTTTCTTCGTGAGATTTTTTAGTATCTGCGATGCCAAAGTGTTGTCATCCAGAACAACTAACACTTTTCGCTCTCTCTTTCGAAATGTATGGGAGAGAGATTTTCTGACTTCGGCAAAGAATACTTTCTCCAGTCGGTTTACAAAGCATTCAGAGCAAAAGGGGCTTTGGGCAAGAAGTACCGAAGGAGCTTCCTTGCAGCAGACGCAGTGGTGGATTACTTCTCTATTCATACTTATTTTTTATTTAAATCCGATTTATTTAAATGGATCTTCTGAAGAGTGCCAAACAGGATACTTCAGAAAGCGCCAGCAAAAGAACAGAGCTGCTGGAAAACATAAAAAAAGTGGCAGAGGAAATAATCCAGGAGACCAGCACAATCAGCAAATGGATATCACAGACAGCACACCAGACACTGCGAAACTATCAAAGGCAGAGGCAGGAAGCCGTCCGGAGAGAGGGTCTTTTGCAGAACACGCTTGCTCAGCTGAAGGAGGAAAACATAAAGCTGCTTGAGGAAAGACAAAGGCTAGCTCAAAAAACAGAAACAGAGCAGGAGGAAATAAAAAATATGAAGGCGTCGCAGCAGGGAATGGAGGAAAGACAGCGACAGGCTCTTCAGAAGAAGTATGTGCTTGGGCAGACCCTGTCCCAGATGTCGGCACACATTGTGCAGCTGAAAAGAGCCCTCAAGCAGGAGGAGGAAAAGGAAGAGAAGGAGAGAGTGCGTATTAAGAAGGAGATTGAGTACTACTCTCGCCTATTCGACCTCTCTATTACTGCGGTAGAGGATGGTTCGGTTTTGTTCCTTTTTAAAATACATGAGAGTGAGTATTACTTCCAGATAAGCATGACCGACACGTACCACATAGTAAAGGCTAGCATTGATGAAAAGAGATACAAGCCTGCTTTAAAAGAGTTAGAGGACACACATGATGTATTTATGTTTGTAAAGAGGATGAAAGACCTATTTGAGGAAGAAAGCACAAGGAAGCTAAAGGAAAACACTGTGTAGCGCTTTAATTTTCTAGTAAATAGTAATTTTTATTGTCAAAACTTAACCTATTGGATGTTGTAATTTGCATGGGCATTTAATTACTGTTGCCAAGAGCTCTTTACATATTAGTCTTATTGTTTCAGAGACAGCTACTCAGTACATGAAATCTTGATAGTTGAGTAGCACTCTACTACTGGCGTGCTTGGAGGGATCAGTTATATGCAAAACAGCCCTCAATATTTAGAACACTGAAATAAATATAGACTACAGGCCTTTTTACACTATAGACACCTACACGTGAATTCTTTTGTATTTGAATTTTTCTCTGTTAATTCTAGTAGTTTGCAGAGGTATTCTTTTATATAACTTGGGATTGTAGAGGCACTTTTGCACTCGCATTTTCATATCTACCATCAACTAATATTTATAAGAGCATATATTGTACATCAAAGCCCAGAAAATAGCACAATTTTGTTATACAATAGAATAGTTAGACTATATAAATAGACAAGTATGCATATATAGAGAAATTGAGTTTGCATTCTTAAATAGATGTCTAGGTTATAAATGCACGAATTACATGTTACAGCAGTCTTCTGGTGCGTACGCATTGACTAGATTAGCTAAAGCTTATTTTACATGAGATAGTTTGCATATTTAGGAGATCGCCCTGTCTTTAACATAATGCAGAAGAGGTTTTCCACCACCTGCTTTATCTGCTCATTCCGAATTCTTGCCTTCTGCGCTCTGTCATCTGTTATTTTCCGCTTTATAGAGCTGTTTTTAAACGTGTGTGCAGGCGGTAGCTTTGGGAGAAATTCGTAGTAGTTTTGCGGGCAGTCTACATATGTGCATGCCTCGCTTATAAACTCATTAGGATCATCTGCAGGGTCACTTTCTAGCTCGGCTGTTATCTGTTCTAGCTCCATGCTGTTGAACTTCTCTAGTGCCGAGATGAGAGTGCTTTCGCTGGGCTGGCAGTCTTGTGCGTTTATTTCTTGTATGATGCACCCAGCATCAACAAGTGTTGGGGACGTTCTCCTGCTTATTTCGCACTGCTTTTTGAGCCTACTGCCTGTGTAGATCATGTAGTTGAGAAGTGTAGTGGTTAGAAAGTCTAGTGCTTTGCCTTCCACTCCTGTAAAGTCTTCGCTTTTTAAAATAGTGGAAATGACTACTTCTGTAAGCTTTCTTATACTTTCCATTTCTCTTCAATTTTTTATGTTTGAAAAAGTAAGTGCAATTGCGCTTTTGGACCGAATTGGCGTGCATTCGCACATAAATGGGCTGGGCATGGGCAGTGCTCCCCAGGAAGATTCGTCTGATGGGTCTCAAGGGCTTCCAGCGGTATCCTCAAGCGGAGCAAGCGAGTCCGGCATCATAGGGCGCGAAAAAGAGCGAAAAATGCTTTTCCTTCTGTCTAAGCTGGTGGAGAGTCATAAAGGAAGAACAATTCTTATTACAGGAGAGACCGGCACAGGCAAGTCAGCGCTAGAATATGCACTGTCCCTTGATCTGAAAAGAAAGGGAGTCCCGTGTAAAGCAATTTCTGCAAGTGAAATATTCTCTAGCTCTTTGAGTAAAACAGAGGCGCTTACACAGGCCATCCGCGAATCGCTTGGCATTCGGGTGCAGGAGACAACAAAAGTCCTAGAGGGCGAGGTAGTTGAGATACAGTGCGATAGAGAAAAGGGCATCTCAGGACGTGTCATTTTGAAAACGACAGAGATGGAGGCAGCATACACATTTGGGGCAGGAATAATCCAGGCTATGAATACTGAAAAGGTTGAAATAGGGGATATAGTTACAGTGAACAAAAGCACTGGAATGGTGAGAAAGAAGGGAAGGTCACTTAGCCAAAACAGAGACCAGGAGGCGATAGGGCCTGTTAGCAAATACATTCCGTGCCCAGAGGGCGAGATTCTGAGAGTGCAGACAGAAACCCACACCGTTACTCTACATGAAATAGACATTCTAAACAGCAAGCAGGACTCGCTTCGCATGACATCAGGCGAAATTCCAATGGAGATAAGAGAGGCAGTAAATAATACAATGAAGGAGTGGATTGAGGAAGGAAGAGGGACACTGGTGACAGGCGTGCTCTTTATCAATGAGTCAGATCTGCTGGACACTGAGTGCTACTCATTCCTCAACACTTTATCAGAGATATCAGCCTCCCCAGTTATTATTCTGAGCACAAACAAGAGCTGCCAGAGGGGGGCTTCAGAGGCCTCGGCGGCTGGAGGCAGTGCGTATGGAATGCCTGCTGACTTCTACTCCCGCGTTCTTGAAATGCGCCTTAACAAGTACACGAAGGAGGAGATTTATGAAATAATAAAGCTCCGCGCAAAAGAGGAGAGTGAGCAGATTGAAACAGACGGGATACATGCCGTTTGTGACTTGGCAGTAAACTATGGTTTGCGATATGCATTTAACATTCTATCGGCACTTGATGCGTATGCAGCGCGGATAGGGAAAAGTATAGGCGCAAGCGAGGTAGGCGTAATAGCAGACATATTCCCACCTGTGCACGCACATACTTCCTAGCTAAATAAATTGTGACTTGAAAGGATTAGTAAATAAGGTCTTGTTTCTTTATATGCGAGTAGTAATTATAACTGTTTCATCATATATTGTGTGCAGGTGGCTATATTATCACTGAAAGTCAGATTTACACCTTTTGGCTATGGCAGCTAAATGCTAAAACAGCATGCCTGTTATTTATTCTGTTTAGCTATTTAATGTACGGGTGCCATAATAAGTGCTGTTGGATTTACCTAACATACAGATGGGCTTTAGGATGCGCAAAACCACTTTTTAGGCAAGAGTGCGATAAGAGTGCTTCTTTATGGCGCTTGCTAAGCCTACTTTATGCTGCAGAGCTTTTGCAGATATAGCTGAATATATTTTATTTTAATGAATGGAGTTAGTAACCAAGCACTGACAGAAAAATACAGACCAGCATACTTGCGGAATCTTGTGGGAAATGTACATATAACAGATGGTTTGCAGGCTCTTGTTAAGTCAGAAGACATACCGCATTTTTTGTTTTTTGGCCCTCCTGGAACAGGCAAGACAACCGCAGCCAAAGCAATTTGCAGAGAAGTGCTTGCTTCTCCAGAAAGAAACGTAATGGAGCTGAACGCATCTGACGAAAGAGGTATTGGCGTGATACGAGAAAAGGTAAAGGTATTTGCATCTACCTTCGGCATATCGTGCAAGATGAAGATTATCATTCTGGATGAGGCCGACTCTATGACAAAGGAGGCGCAGAATGCTCTCCGTAGAATAATTGAAATCTACTCCAAGAATGTGCGGTTCATTATCATATGCAACTATTCCACAAAGATAATACCTGCAATAAAGTCGCGGTGCGCCCCTTTCCGCTTTGGGCCAGTCAAGCCAGCAGAAATGCACGCTTTTGTTAAAGAAATAGTAGCAAAGGAGGAAGGTATTGCTACAGATGATAGTATAGAAAGAATCTGCAAAATAGCACAGGGAGATATACGAAGAGCTGTCAATCTGGTAAACGGTCTACTAATTACAGAGGACAGAGAGATAACATGCAGTAGGGTAAATAAGCATTATAAAGAGGTTAAGCCAAGCGAGATACAGCAGATGTTCAGAATCATGAGAACAGAGGATTTTGAAACGGCCAAAGCAGAGTTTAGAAGAATTAAAACAGAGTTTGGCCTGGGACTGAAGGAAATCGTAAATGCCATAGCTGATGTGCTTAAGGAAGAAATCACAGAAGAAAAGGGTCACCAGATGAGCTATCTATCGGAGATTGAGCATAGACTGGGGCGTGGTGCTTCAGAACTAGTGCAGGAGAACGCTCTTATTTCATACTTTTCGGGCAGAACAAAGAAATTGTAGGCTACTATAGTAATGCACAGACAGCTAAAATAGACATTTTTATCCAGTAATAAAAGAATCAAGGGATTTTATGCCTTGCTGCACTGTTGATAGTAAATGCATGATTAAATTAAGTGCACAAGCAGTGTTAACTACTAAACAGTGAAGGCGTCTGTGAATGCAAAGTATTAAATGCATTCTACATACTATATAGTACTTGAGTGCGACCAGTATTAAGAATTGAAGTAGCACATGCAGTGAGAGGTAAACTTTAGCAGTGCTCTTCTAGCACGCAGGCCTGCCATATAACCCGAACAACTCACAGAAGTATAATAAAAGGCTTTTCTACTAGTAAAAATACTATTGAGTCTATGGTTAAATATTTTAAATATTCATTTGAATTACAATCACACTATACTCTTTTTTCTGTAGGTCTTATATTATGCTTAGAGCTCTAGCTCATATTATCTAGAAGATTGTACAACTGTCTTCTTCCACACATCCACTCTTTCTTAATAATTTATGCACACCTTTGCTTATCATACAAATATAGAAAGGCACTCTCTTTGCTTTCCTACAGCATTGCTATTGGCCTAGCAAAAGCTTTCATTATGAGCAATCCATAGATCTGAAGTCTGTTTCTGCACACAAAAGTAGTTGCTATATAGGTACGTACTTATATTAAGAGCGCGAACTTATAAGCTGTTTAGATCAGCCAACAATATAACTCATCAGATATAATATTTTTATTTGTTTAAGGCTAATGAAAAGAGACCATCTGCAGTACATAACACAAAACATGGCAATTAATATATTTGCTGTTGCTGTTCGCTGCTATTGCCCAAGCGAGTCACTCTCTAGATATTCATACTATGATCTTACAGAAGCAGAGGAATATATCAAAGGAAATCCCTTTGCAGATAAGCCAGCCATTACCTTATACTACTTTACTAAGATGCTCAGCCTGATTTCTATAGGAGGAAGATACTCGGTACATAGTGTGCTGTTTACTGTCACAGCTCTGTGCGACTTTATGTCAGCATATCTATTAGGAACCCCCATGTACTTCCTGCTGACCTCTTTCCTTCCCAGCGAGGTATATTCTATTATTTGCCTTGTGGCCGTGCTATGCTACAGAAAAATACTACTAAGATACACAGCACCACTTCTCGCGCTGCTTTGCATGGAGGGCACATATACAAAATGCGCTCCTGGAATCAACCCGTACTGGTATATCAATATGCAAATGTTTGCAGAGTACCGAGAATTGTGTAGAGATATTTTCCAGGCCATGCACTTCTTCTTTCAGGCCCTTACAATATACAGCCAGTGTATAAGCACTAAACTGTATTTGACCATGGTGTTTAAGGACCTAGGATACAGAGGATACATCCTTGTGTGGTGCATACTAAGCATTCAGAAAACAGAGAGAAAACAGATTTTCAACCTTCTTTTGGGGCTGAGCTTTCTAGGAGCTGTTATAGACCACCTTGTGTGGTATATGCTGGTGCTCTGTGGAGTTGGAAATATGAATTTTTTATGCTGGAGCAATGCGGTGACTATTGTATCAACTGGAGTAGCTGCGCTGCTGCACGAAAAGAGTGTAAGAAACAGAGAAAAGAGAACATAAAATAATTTACTAACATCGGCTGCCTACTCTTGCTCTGCTGAGGGAACACCCATAATGGACCAGAAGGCAACTGAAGCTCTATTGGAATCATCGCCAGGCACGTCTTCTCTGAGTATAGTAGCAGAGAATGAAAGCACTGGGGGCGTAAGCGTATTACTGGGCAGCAGGAAAAATATAGGAATGTGGCTCATGCGGGCTGTAAGTGTGGCAGGCCAGCCATTAAACTGCCACGTTGATCCGTCCAGAAAGACAGCTGCAATCCTATCAATAGACTCTACGTCTTCAGGGTCATTTATCAGCTTGAACTTGTGTTTTCCATATTCTACAATGTTCTTTCTGTCATTTTTTATGTGCTTTTCAAATAGTATAGCTCGGATAGATGCATCGTCTCTTGGGAGAAGGATGTACTGCACTCCTGTTGGCTGTATGGCTTTCAACTCTGCATATGCGTCTAGTATCTTTGAAATGTCGATTGGATGTGTTCGGGTTTTTCTCATAAGAGTGATTTTGGTTTGAGGAAGCGGGGCCAGCAGATCTTCAAGAATCCTTTCTCTGTCTAGGTATGAAACAGGCTCAATGTTTGATGCTTTACACGATGAAATATACTCTCCATGGTCAAGAGATCGTGTTAGGTGGAGATAGCATATAGATGCAAGAGAATACTGCTGGTTTCGGGTGTTTTTGTATGTGCTTTTTGTTGTAATTGGAAAGGTTACTTCTCCCATGGTGATTTTATCCGAATCTATCTGTATTACACCCTTTATAGATATTTGTTTTCGAAGTATAAGTGTGGGGTCCTCTGCCATAGTTTAAAAAAACAAAAGAAAATAAAAATCTAAAATCGCGCAGCTCCAGTTGATTTTCATTTATATTCGCATGCGTGTCAAGAATGTAACTACACTGTTGCTGTTTCTTTATAAGGAGCTTCCATGAGCGTGGATGTCTTTTGAAATCTGCAGTATATATAAATGTATGTAGATACCTTCTTTCTATGATAGATGGAACGCATCTGTATTCAACTGGAAATTGTTTTCTGGGATGACCTACCTATTATAAAGGGTGTTCTTTGAATATAGTCTGTAGGTGTTTTTATTAAGACTTTTGTGGATTTTGCTATGTAGTATTCTAGTTTGTATTTAAATTACTGCTGCTAAGGCTCTCATAATATTGGTTTTTTATTTTTGCTCTGCTTTCATTACAAAAACATAAAGTGTACATACTTTCTTATAGTGGAGAGTTTAAAACAAAAAAAAGAGGAGAGGCACAGGAAAATAAGAAAACTGTAAGAATCTAGAGACCCTTAAATGCGTGGACATGGAAAGGAACCAATAAGACAAATGAAGACAGCACTAAGAAAAAGATCAAGAAAGATCAAATTGGGTATGTATTACATAGATTTTCCTGTTCAAACACACAAATGTAGTTTAGCTCACTCTACTATACATATTTTAGAAAATATCTCTTAAATTTAATCTGAGTTTACAAAAATAGTATTCTTTAATATGTAATAGATTTAGATTATTCCATAGACAACAAGAACATACAAACAAATAGCAGAGGTTACCGTATGCAGCACAGTAGTTTAATCACTGAATTATACATGCCGTCTGCACAATAGCGTACTGCAGAATAAAACAATTAAGAGTGTAAAGGATTCTTTAGATCTTAGACTATTTATTGATGTTTTAGGGCTGTGCAGCTAAAAGTAGCAGACAGACAAAGGCGATCAGAAACTAGTTCTGCAATCTTAGAAGACCAGACACATCTGTGGTGTGCTTAATCCAGTTTTCATCGGCGTCTGAGGAAAGGCTCTTGACAATCACGCTGGATATAGCAGTTTTGCCGTACTTGCACTCGTACTTTACGATTGCACTTGATCGGTGCGGCTCCGTGGTGTGCACAGTTAGTGAGACATTTTTCGCTATTTTGGACAGCTTCCAAGTAAGAGTTCTGCTTGGAGCGTGGTAGTCGTAGAGCCCCTCCTTGCACTGTACACTGATGTTTCCAATGATATAGTCAAAGGTGAGCGAGGTGGAGAACATATCAGGATACTTGCCAGAGGTAAAACAGAGAAGAATCTCTATGGTTCTTGTGTCAACAAGAATTGTCTTGACAAGCGGAAGGTCTGCTATGCTTCCAGCATATGTGTATGTCATGATGGTGGAGTCTTTGGATGGGCACGTGAGTAGAGTAGTTATGCCTTCTCGGTGTCTGTAGACAGACGAGTCATACTGTATGTTTCTCAGACCGCACAAAGACCGAGAGTCAATTTTGAGAGACATCTGGCCCACGTCTTCTGACGGCTTTGTAGATATTTGGCCGTAGCAGCTGCTGACAGTTCGCCCGTGTGACAGGCGCAGGAACACCTTATCGGTCACCTCGACAAAGACCTTTTTCTTAGGGGCAAGGGCAGCTGCGGAGGAAAGAACACTTGGGGTTTTTCTTCGGGGAATAGGGAATGCGAGGTTTCTGGAGGACAGGTAGTTGTCAATATATGCGTATATGGTGGCGTGCTTTTTAAGGAGCAAGGTGTCTGAGGTGATTGCTAGATCAGAAACCATTGAGTATAGAAGATGCTTGGCAATTAGCTTATCCTCTGAGTTGAGAAAAATGCCTTTGAAGACCAAAGATCCAAACTTCTGGGAGAAAGAAAAAATAGGGCCTTTTTTGCTATCGTATGTATGCAGAGGGCTTATATATGAGAGCAAAGGAGCGCCTTCGCACGTTTCTATTTCCACTTTAGTAAACATTCGTATTGTTTACCCGCAAGAAACAAGAAATAGAGAAAGTTTATTTATTTATTATTGATGGTGTGCAACTGGCACCGCTACGATTGGCAAGAATTCACTTACATTATTTCTAGTTTGAAAACATCTTTTATGAGTGCAATATTACCAATTGTATAGCGACTAAATGGGCTACTTACCGTATAAAGACATTAAATTTGCAACAAAAGCCTCAATATGGAAGAGATCTTTAGTGCCTGCGCCAAGCCTAGCCGTATACTTAGATGCAATTTCTGTAATTTTCCTTGCTTTTTCAACTTTCTTCTCGTTCTTTAAAACTCCTTGCAGAATAGACTCAACAATATATGTTGCAGGAAGATGGTTGCACAGTAGGCTGTATAGCAGAGCGCGTATTTCAACCAGGCACTTGACCGATGGAGTTATCTGCACGCCACGCACTATGTCTCGTATAGTCATATCCCACGGGGATATGGAAATAGGCTCTTTATGCACAGCTAGCTCCATAATGGACAGTGCTATGCGCATGTTTCTACCCGACATATCAACGATCTCGGTGCAAGTGTCTTCAGATATATCTACTTTCTCCTGCGCTGAGATGCGGCTAACTAAAGATGCAATGTCGTTTCTAGAAGGAGCAGGAACGCGGCACACAAGGAACCTACTTTTAAAAGCAGGAATTATGTGGGAGAGAGTCGTTGTTAAAAGAACTAGCTGAAAGTTTGCAGCTCCTTTTTCTAGAATGCGCCTAAGAGCCATCTGTGCGCCTGTGCTCAGTAGATGGCCGTCTGGAATAAGAAGTATTTTGGGATGCATAGCTTTTCCAGGCATAGGAGCGCTGTTTTCAGAGTTCTGGTCATGCTCGTGCGCTTTGATAAGATTCTTGATGGATTTTGTGGCAGATATGTCGGTGGCAATCTTCTGAAGAACCTTTTTATCATATGTTCCTAAGCCGTCTAGCTTTATTTCCATGACCTCCTTGCTTTCTAAGATTTCTACTTCAATTGACTTAGAGGGGGATACTTCTAATGTAGAGGTGTATGAAAAGAATGAAGACGTTGTGCCGAAGGTGTGCTTGAGGAAAGCCGAGAAAAGAGTTCGCTTTCCAGCGCCTTCCGGGCCTACAAAGATAATGTTTGAGATCGAGCTAAATGGAAGTGCACTTAGAATTCGGGCAGCCGGAATTCTGTCCATATCCGCCAGTGTCTCTGGCCTGTACTTGTCCTGTAGCATTAAAAGAAAATTCTTTTGAGATTTTTAGGCTCTAAGCAGGCTGTGCGGTAAATATGTGTAGGCAGAAATAAATAAAGCTTAAAGGCTAGAAAATCAAACATGGTGCAGGGAGCTCAAAAAGAAAGTAGATAGCTGTGAGATGATACAGTGATTTATAAATAGATTGCGTTAATTTAGAACAGTATCTGTTGCCAGGATTGTAGACACTCTGACAATGAGCTTACTAAGAATCTCTTTGTCTCTGCGCACAATCTCCCCCAGCGATTCCATATATGTCTGGGCGTTAAGCAGCGCATCTAGTGTTTTGCGCACAAAAAGCGGCTTGGGCGGCGGAGCACAGCTTTTCTCCAGGAGTCTTGCCAGAATATGCTCCTTGTAAGATATTTTCCCTGGCTGTGAGAATAGGCTGAGAATGATCTCGTGGTACACCTTGGACGAGTCTGCGTGGTTAGTAAGCGAGTCAACTAAGACATGCGAGAGAAGCTCTTCATTTGTGGTAATGGAAAACACATTTGGGCTCTTGTCCTGGAGAGCTTCATTTACCTTCACAAGGATTGCATAGTACTCTTTGTTGACAATGAGGTGCTTGTGCTGCACCAGCAGCTCCATGTATGAAGGATGCCTGTGCAGCGACCACACATTACGCAGCAAAACCATGGAGGGTGAAATAGGAACCATAAGCAGCGCAAGGTACGAGTAGTGGCTGTAGAAGTTTGGCGCATATCTTTTGAGCTGCAGAACAAATGCAGCACATGCATATACAATCCCATCTAAGTAGGGCGAGGGTTCAATCACCTGAAGCGCCTGGCAGATCCACTCAATGATGGCCACACCTCTGAATGCATTCCGCAGGAACATATTTCGAATAATATACTCCGAGAAAACAATCTCAATAAAGCCAGACAAAAAGAATCCGCAGGAGGTTGGGCGCATAATCCTCAGGAAGTCAAAGATAATATCCTCCTGGTCCACCGAAATCTTTTCAAGAATCACCTGCAAAATTCTGGTAAAGAGTGTCTGCATTTGGTAATACTGTATGTCTACACCGTCCAAAAAGATGTCTGTCAGAATGCAAAGGCACTCGGAAAAAAGCTCCCGAGTGGTGGCAAGCGTGGATACAAGAACCGCAAGCGACTCGATTTTCAGATACTTAATAGGCGAGCACTCCTTTCGCGCCCGAAGATATGACTCAAGTGCTGCTGAGAAGCTGCATTTGATGAACTCCTGCAGGCTGGCCTGCGTGCTGGTTCTTTCCTCAATGGAGGCAATGATCTCTTTAAGAGCGCTGCTTCGCTCGCTTCCAAGAACCTTGCAAAAGTACACATCAGTCCACATTTCAAAGAGCTTCTTGTCTGAACTGTCTTTTCGAATCAGGAAAATCTTGCTAGCTATCTCCTTAAGCAAGCCCTTGGTTCGGTCGTCAGATGTGCCTTTTGACGTTTTGGACACTGCCTCTATAATGCATATGTAGTCAAATGGGTTCCCAACAGGCACCTCCGATAGAATGCAGAGGCGAAGAAGCTCTGCCGCAAACTTTACTCGCTGAGTATTTCGCATCAGAGTGCTCCCTAGGTATAGATCGTACTCAAGGACGTTCATAATCTTGTGGTCAAGCATCTGGGCAATGACCTTTGGGTTGAACTTTCTTTCATCCTCTGCGTATATAAGCCACGAAGACACCTCTCGCATAGAGCTGTAGGACAGCTTGCAGATTCTGTACACCGCCTGAATGCAGACCTTTTGTGCCCACTGGTTGCTAAGCATGAAGATGCTTCCAATGATGTTCTGGCAGAAGAAAAGACACGCCATTTCGTTTGCCCCAGATGAAACAAAGCTAATGATTGCGTGCAGGCTTTCCAGTAGCTCAATTGCAAGCTTTGGCTTGACAACTTCTTCAGAGTTTTTCTCAATCTCTTGCAGAATTTTCTGGGTGTCCACCCACTTCTTCTGTGCAGACGAGCTTGTAAAGGGACCAAGTGCCTCCGCATTCTCTCTGTTCTTGTAATTGATTGATGTAAGGTATGCACAGATCTCATGATACTCTCCAATTGTTATTGTCTGTATGTCATCTGCAATGATGTAGCTTGGCTTCGTGTAGACCTTTGTGTTATATAGGTCTATGTTATGGATTGGAACCGGTTTTATAGGAAGATGCGACACTTCTTCTATAAGCTCTTCTATCTTTAGGCCGATTCCCATCTTGACTCTTTCCCGAGCAATGTACTCCACAATACCCAGGCATATGCCAAGATTCTTGTCTACTATGTGCGCTATTTTTTCGTTACTCATGGTGTCTTCCATTCCTGCTAGCCTCATAAAGTGTGCGATGTTGTTCACAGCACTTGCCTTAATTGGCCCAGCAGTTGAGGAGCACGCAAGTGCAGATGTCAGCGCGTACACCATGTTTGTGTATGCACGCACAGCCAGGTCTGGCCTGCCAGGGAAGTCTTTCTTCACGGCCTCAGAAGAGGCTCTGCTGCATATGCTGAATATCTTGTCTACTATGAGATACGGAACATCTCGGATTGCCAAGTCAAGACCCATTATCGAAATGTGTGCTAGCATGCTTCGAATGCCCTCAAGCTCTATGTAGGTTGCTATTCCGGAGGCCTTTCTCTTAGCCCCAAGTCTTTTCTCCTGGACGGATATGTCGGGATAGATGTCTTCAATTGGAATTTCAATCTTTGAGAAGCAGATCTCAATCTCCAAGGATATCAGGTCGCTTCCCTCTGCAAGGAAGTGGATCTCAGACAGCACTCTTAGAATAGAGGCCACGTACGGACTCTTTTTTCCAAAAATACGGCTGGACAGACACTCTTCAATATACTTACACACAAAAACCACTGCAGAGTATATATACTCTTTGCCCGCGCTGTCTACAAGATACTCTTTTACACTAAACTGGCTGCATACAATTGGCACCCGGTCTGTAAACATAAGCATTCCCAAGTACGTGCCGATGATTCGGAGCGAGGGCGCCTTGTCTGTTCTGTCCACCTCAGTGTGTCTGTCTGCATACACTCTAAGAATCAAAAAGAACATCTCGCGCACCCTCAAGTAGAGCGTATCAGAGTAGTCCAGGATAAACTGGATGTAAACCTTCAGATGGTTCGTCTCTCTAAACACCCTCTTTGTAATAAGATACTTCGCTATGTCTATTTCCTGGGGCTGCTGGGCCTGGATGCCTTCAATAACACTCTGCATGTTAGAGAGCGTAAGCATATTAAAGAACTTCTGCCAACTCGGGTTTGCCTCGATCTTTCCCAGCGCGCCCGAAATCAGGTCTGCAAAAGGAAGTGACCCATCAAGCTCGTTCTTAGACGTAAGCTCCTGGATGCTCAAGTGTCCTCGTATAAATGTGTACAGAGACTTATTTGCAGCGTACACCTGGGGCATTCGCGAGTACTCCTGCGCATAGAACGGATACTTCTCCAGAATATCTCCAAAGGTTTCAAGACACTTCAGCGCAAACTTAAAGCTGTTGCTGCATGGATCTTCCCGGAGAAAAAGCGCTATCTTTCGCATTGCAGCCTTTGTTCTTTTTCCCGGAAGTATCTCGTACTTTATCATTCTTCCGTAGAACAAAGACATGGAAAGCACCTCGTGGATGCCCAGCCGCTCCAAAACATTGTACTTTTGGTCCATCTCGCACAGAATATGCTCAAACAGCTCCACGTCATACGAGCTTTTATTCGAAGATATCTGCGTCATGTACACTATGGCGTCTGAGTTAATTGTCCGCCCAGAGATTGCATTATGGAGAAACTCGCTTGCCTGCTGCTTCAGCGAGGTCCGCTTCACCAGACACGTGCGGATCTCTGGAATGAGCGCGCTTTTCAGCTTTCCCAGCAGCATAACTGTGCTCTTTTGAAGGCCCTTGGACAGCCCCTCAAGTGTTATGCACGTGGAAATAATAATGTCCACTGTCAGTGGGGTTATGCTGATTCCCTTCGTAGACCCTTTCCCATACCTGAATATTATGTGATGGATAAAACTGTTGATGAACTCGTCATTTGACTGCATGCACAGAATAACACTCAAGTCAATCATGTCCATTGTAATTGCAACTAGAATCATGTCAAGCGAAAACTCCAGAGGGTCTAGCTCTCTGATGAGATACGGAAGTATTTTACACTCTAGGCACGCCATTAGGCACTCTTCCAGAGAAAAGGACGAGGCCTGCAGCTTCTCCATGGTCAGCAGAGTTAGCTTTGGCTTTCTGTCAAAAATCTTTCGGAGAATAACCTTGCTTCTTTCGCTCATGATGAGACAGTGTGCAAAGGTATCAAGGAAAAGCCTTTCATACTTCTGCGTGTTCTTTAGAAGACCAAAACAGATGAGCTCAGGTACTGTTGAAACACCATAGCTCAGTATAGCAAGGCCGTCCTCTATGTCTATTTCTGACAGCAGCGCAAAAAGCTCCTCTGCATTGTAGTTCGAAATTGCCATTTCCTTGACAGACGGCGTGTACTCATACGTTTCCTTGTGCCGATCTATCAGCGAAGAAGTGTCTCCCCGGTGCAGCTGAACCAGCTCTGGAGGCAGCGACAAAACATGGTGAAGAAAAAGTGCCTGCGCCTTTGTGTGCTGCCATCGCTTAAACATCCTCTTAAATGGGTATATATCTGAGGTGACTTTCCTCCACAGCTCAAAATAGGACTGTGCCTCTGCCTTTGAGACAATTAAGAAGTCACAGCAGTCTATTTGGAGAAAAACCTCTTTAGGGTTCTCTTGCCGAAGCACATCTCCAACAAAGGCGTCCTTTTCTCTCTGATCTTTCCGCAAAACATCCTTTAGCCTATCAAATAGCTCTTTTTTGCCTACTGCTAAGCTATTAGAGAAAGCCCGATCCCTTTCATGGGGACATTTGCTCTGTTCTTTCCACATACAAGAAAATAAAAATTAAACAAGAATTTATAGATACAAATTCGGGTTATTAAAGTCAAAAACGTCAGTGCAGTGCATCTGTGCGCGCGCCCGGAAGCCTTAGCATTACACAGCATGCATAAAACCAAAACATTTGCTTCTTGGAGAATGCTGCGCATTTATTTAGAAGATGTTTAGTACAAAGTAATTTAGATGCATGTTCTCGCTATTCTAGGCCTGCATGTGCTGCCCCGTCAGGAAACAGTGCACTTGCCGTTTCAATCGCGGAGACATATGCATCTGCTAGCGTACCACGGCCTTCGGTGCTAGCCCATCCCACTCTGTACACAGGTACAGTAACACCTTCTAGAAGATCCTGAAGTGGTCGTGGCTTATACCCAACTGCAGAAACTATGCCGTCGTATTCAGCTTTCCTTTCTACCCCTCTGTCGTCCACAGTAGTCAAGGTGTACTTGTATCCGGGGTTGGTTATTCTCAAAGTTTCATTTGAGAGCGCACTTGCTGCCGGCTCCTCTTCAGAAAGCATGCGTTTTCCACATTCTGTCTTTGTTCTATTTACCTGTGTGGGGGCTTCCCAAAAAATAAATCTTGCAGTTTTACTAGTGGGCTTTTTGCCGCTGGATAGAAGAAGAGCCTTTCTTTCCACTGCTCTGGGAAAAGTGCCTGCGGATGATACTTTTCTGATCCATCTGCACACTCTTTCAGAGATGCTTATACTGGTTGGGTGCGACAGAAACTCTGCAAGCACAGGAGTTGTAAACTTGGAGAGGTCAGGGGGGCTTCTTCCTATTACATCAACCTCCTCTACTTGAACTCCGGATAAAGAAGAACTTCCCATTCTTTGGGCATGGAGCAGCACACGAGCTACATCCAGAGCCACATTCCCGTGGCCTAGCACTGCAATTCTTCCGTTTGCACTTACAGGCCTATTCTCTGAAATCCATTCCATCACTTGGTCTGCTCTAATTATATGCTCTGCCCCAGGGACTGCAATAGTATTTGGCTCGGCCCCAGTGGCTATAACCACTGCATCATACTTCTTCTGCACATCTTTCAGAGATATGTCTGTTCCCATGTGCATCCCTCTATGCAGACTTACTCTTTGATCCGACAGAAAGATCTTTTCCAGCGCTGGAATGGTCTCTCTGATCCGATGCTGATCAGGAGCCACTCCCTTTCTTAGATTTCCAAGAAGCTTGCTGCTTTGCTCAAACACATCGAATGTAGCTGCACTAGAGCGGATGAGACACTCTTTAATAAAGTAGGCCGCTGCGGGCCCAGCTCCTATAATACATATGTGCATTTTTTTACTATGAAAAAAACCAATGGATTCTCCCTTTCAGAGCTCTTGGAAAAAGGGCACGCAGAGTATTTAGGCTTGTTTCTGATATTTGCTGGAGGAGGGTGGATGCTTCTTGCAGTTTTGGATGCCTGTGAAGTTGGTCCATTCAAGCACATTCTTTTCAACGCGGTGGCTGCTATTATTGTGTGCACTCTACTTGCTATATACCTGTTTATTGGGATAAAAAGTGTGCGTGTCATGCGCATGATTGGAAATCACTACAAAGAGACTACAAAGCAGCAGAAAAAGACTTAGCCTGTGCCAATAAATAATTTTGTATATGCTCCCGTAGTGATAGCCATTTATTGCAGAGACTAGTGCGTTCTCTGGATTTTTAATAATATATGTACAGAAAGTATATAAATACCACTTATTCTATATTCAATGAGAAGTATCACAGTGCAGTGTAAAACAGGCGCAGAATCAGAAAAATTAATGTGTAAACTAAGTAATAGATATAGCACAAAATAAGCACACTTGCTAATTTATTTCATAAGACCACAAAGTGCAGACTGAACTGTCTCTATACCGCTAGAAACAACACCCATCACTCTGGGCGACTTTCCTCCAATCTTGGCTTTATCTGCAGAGAGCTCCTTAAACGCGCTCTTCACATGCTCTACGCCATCCTTCAGAATTCCGTTTATCACTACGTCCTTTTCTGCTTCATACAGAACAAGACCCTCTCTCTTTTCCTTTTCAAGGGCCTGAATGAGACCGCCCATAAGCTTATTCACCTGCTGCACAGGAGTTTCTGCAAATGTGTGGCAGACAAACATTACCTTTCCTTCTGTGCCCTTCAGAGCCTCCTTAAGACGTACAGCTTCGCCATCGAAGTGCTTCTTTCTTTCCTTTATCTGCTGCTTTTGGAACTCTTCTAGAGACTCGCGGAGCTGACTGGCATCCACAAGCGGAATGTCAGTGGTGTCTATCCGGTCTCTTATTTCCTGGATAGTTGCTGGCGCCATCTTGATTGCCCGGATCTCTGCCACTGCTTTCTCTGCAGCAACTGCTCGCTCTGAGCAGACTGCGGTGATTCGCCGGATGCCTCTTGATATGCTAGACTCCCCCACTATGCGGACTCTTCCAATGTCCCCTGTGTTTTCCACATGGGTTCCTCCGCACAGCTCTGCTGAGGTGATAGTGCTTGTGCGAGCATTGCTCTTGTCCAAAGTGTTCTTTACGCTCACAACACGCACAGTCTCTGGGTACTCTTCGTCCTTCATGTGCCGGATGCCTTCAATGCGCACGGCTGACGTGTAGGGAAGATACTCCACAGTCACAGCCTCCTTTCTCTCCACAATGCTGTTGATTATCTCCTCAACTGCAGAAATCTCAGCCTTTGAAAGCGGGGCATTGTAGTGGAAGTCAAATCTCAGCAAGTCCTCACTCACCAAGCTGCCGCACTGCCGGATCTCTTCTCCTCCTGCCTTGGAGAGTGTCTGGGATAGGGCGTAGTTTAGCAGATGTGTGCCTGTGTGCGCATGTGCAAGCCGCCTTCTCCTGCCTACATCAATGGTGCACACTGCGCTTTCCGTAATGGATCCCTCAAGCGTACCTATATGCATCACATACCGCCCGTAGTTCTTTGTATCGCGAACTGTGAATATGCCTGATATGTTTCCTTCTTTTGGAGTTTTTGTGTTCTTCACTGTCAGGCCAGAAAACATGCGAACTAGATCACCTGCGTCTTTTGCTGTTTTGTGCGTAAAGATAATTGTGCCTGCATCACCCTCTTGGCCGCCAGCCTCGCTGTAGAATGAGGTTTGGTCAAGTATGATTCCAAACTCGCCTGCTGGTGCTGGGTTTTCTAGCTCACTCACAGATACTATCTCGCCTGCCTGCTTAACAGCCACAGTCCTGGCGCTTATTGGCTCTTCGCTGTACTTATACCTATCAACGGTTGGCCTTTTCTTGAGTGCTTTGTCAAGCGCATCCAGGTCATGCACCGTGAGGTGCAGGCTTTCTGTGCTCTTCTGGGTGCCCTTTGAAAGTGCCTTGGCTGCTGCCTGCGCCTCCTTAAACCCGTCGACATCCACTGCCACGCCCTCCTGATCTGCCACAGCCATGGTTAAGTCAATTGGAAACCCATATCTGTCATAGAGAACAAAGGCTGATGCGCCTGGAAGAACCTTCTTTGCGCCATCCTCTACGTTCTTTGCTGTCTCCAGCATGTCCATTAGAATAGACAGCCCCTTGCTCAGTGTTTTTGTAAACTGCGCCTCTTCCTCTGTGATAATCTGCACTATGGCCTGCGCGGACAGCTCGGTTTGGTAGACCTGGCTGAAATCTCCAAATACCTGCTCGGCTAGAATGGGCAGAAGGCCTGGTGCCTTCTTCAGATGCAAATACTGGAAGCCAAGTGCTCTTCTAAGTATCTTCCGAATTGTGTACCCCTTTCCATCGCTGCTGGGCATAACATTGTCCATAAGAGAGATCGTTAGTGTCCTGCTGTGGTCTGCTATTACTCTGTACGCAATGTCCTTCTTGCTGTCCAGTCTATCTGTGTATGGCTCTACGCCCAGAACTCTCTCAATTGTCTTAAAAAGCGGCACAAATAGATCTGTGTTGTAGTTGCTCTTTTCGTTCTGCAGGATGCTCAGAACTCTTTCCAGCCCCATTCCTGTATCAATATGCTTCTTAGGCAGAACGGAAAGCCCGCTCTCTTCTCTGTTGTACTGTATAAACACAACATTCCAGATCTCCAAAACATCAGGGTCATCCTGATTGACAATTCCTGATGCATCTCGGCCTCCAATTCTGTCATAGTGTATCTCAGAGCACGGTCCGCACGGCCCAACAAGCCCCATCTCCCAGAAGTTCTCCTTTGCCCCGAATCCCAGTATTCTGGAGTCTGGCAAGTACTGCCTCCACAACTCCTGCGACTCAGTGTCACATGGCAGGCCTTGCGAGGGGTCTCCATTGAAGTAGCTCACATAGATCCTGTCTTTGTCTAGCTTAAGCACCTCTGTAAGGAACGTCCATGCAAAGTGGATTGCCTCTTTTTTGAAATAGTCTCCAAAGCTCCAGTTTCCAAGCATTTCAAAGAACGTGTGGTGGTATGTATCCTTCCCCACGTCGTCAAGATCATTGTGCTTTCCTCCAGCTCTGATGCACTTTTGGTAGTTGCATGCTCTTTTCATTTGGCCGTATGCGGTGTCTGCAGGCGCCAGATCTAAAAACTTCTTCTTAAACTGGACCATTCCACTGTTTGTGAAGAGAAGAGTTGGGTCGTCTGGGTTGACCGAGGAGGATCTCCAGTGCGTGTGCCCTTCTTTCTCAAAGTATTCTGTAAATGCATTTCTTAGCTTATTTGCTGTCCACATTTGAAAAATAAAAAATAGATCTTCTATATACCCAGAGACTGCATAATTCAAATTATTTAAAAAATACCCAGAAGCAGCGTAAACGCAGCCAAATATCTGGCCCTCTTATATATGCACGTGCAGAGACAGATGAGCACGAATGCCTGCCCAGGCACAGAGCATATAATGCTGCGCTTTGTATAGTATAAATTCAAGGCAAAGATGAAATTGTTTATCTGTTTATTTAATCCTCATCGCATTGATTTATGATCGCTTTACTCGCTTTCCTTTGTTGTTTCTAACGAACTTTTGGTCCTTTATTCGCATCTTTCCATCTGCGTCTGTGACAATCCTTTGCTCCTCTTCCTGGCGGTGCCCTGCTGCCTTGTAGTTCACCAGCTCTTTCTGTGGCACAGACAGTATAGAAGACCCTTTCTTCTCTATTATCTTGCGCAGAATGAGCTTTATGTTCTCGCCCAGCTTCATCTTGAAGTGGAATATGATTCTGTCAATGCAGACGAGAGCCCGGCTCAGATACTTGTCAATCAGGTCCATTTCAATCAGAACGACAGACAGCATTCCAATAGATGCCTTTCCAACTGCATACTTGTTTTCTGCAGAAAGGCTCTCAACTATTTGAACTGCCATCTCTACGACCTCTGCAGACAGGCTTTCTTTTCCTTGGTACAGAAGCGAGGAGAGAATGGCAATGCCTCCTGCCTGGTAGTCCACAAGGCCCGTGGGGATTCCTGCCATAACCATCTTGCACACCTCATCAAGCACTGCAGCTGGGTATGTTGCAGACATTTCGTTGATGATGTCAAAGGCAGCCTTTCTGTTGCGGCCGCCTTCCGTGCGGACTGTCCGGACAATCTCAAACACTGCTCTGCACAGGAGAGGACCCTCTTGTATGTTGTGTCTCTTGATGATTTCGTAGATAACAAGAATTCTCAGGTGCCTGCTGCACTGGAAAAGCACGTCATCCGTGCGCTGGTCCATAAAGAAATCGCACAGGGACCTTGGGCAGAACCCGCCCTGGATTAGAGCGTGCAGCACCTTGTACCCCATCTTCTGTGTTCTTAGATGCGTGGACACCACGTACCTCAGCACGCCCTCTGTGAATTTTGCATCCTGTGTGTAGTTGTGTGCTACAATCTCAAGGATTGGTGCATTCTCTATAAAGACCCTTTCTGTCTCTGGCACATCGTTCTCCTTTCTTTTGATGTCTGGCTTTATCTCTCCAGTGAAAAACTCTCCACTAAACACAAAGGCTCTGCTGATTATATCTGCATAGTATCTTCTCTGCCACGCCCCATCCAGAACCTTTGTGAGAGACCGGATGGCCTCTCTTTCATTGTCTGTTGGGTTCTGCTTGAACCTCAGCACAAGCCTCTCAAAGAGGTCAATTGCAATTGAGAATGTTTTGAGAATGTTGGTTTTCAGGGTTATGGTTGCTGCGTCAGCCCCCATGTCTCTGTGTGCCTCCTCAATTAGAATTGTTATTCCCTGCGAAATATATCCGCTCACGGCTGGGCTGGACATAAAGTACGGCATCTGCCGCATAAGATGCGCGAAGACTCCGTTTGAGTCTTTCATGCCTCGGCAGAAAGATGGGAAGCACGACCAAAATGCCTCGTAGTCTGTCTTGTCCTCCTTTCTCTTCTCTGCTTCAATTTCTGGCATAAAGCGGCGCACAAACACCTCAATGTCAGTTGAGTGCACAGCAGACTTTATCATTGGCAGCCAGAATATGAACTCTCTTTCTTTTATAGTGCTCATAAACTTATCTACCCCAATGTTCCCAATAATCAGCTCGATGCTCTTATTCATACGCATGTCCTTCTCGTTAAAGCAGTACTGCGCAAGCACAACAATAAGCTTTGGGAAGAGGGCCACTCGTCCCTTCAGAGCAAGCAGCAGATTATGAACTGCTTCGCAGACAGGCTGTGGCATTCTCTTGCTGTTCCCAATTTCCTTCTTGATTAGCTCTTTTATGCTTTCTTCAATTGCAGACTCTTCGCTCTGGATAACGAACTCGCACCCGGTCTGAAGAGACAGGCCCGCGCTGTTTCTCATGATGTCCGCGATATAGCTGAGCAGAATAAGGAGATCCTCCTGCGAGCCGCATCCCTTTCCGGCTGCATCCTCTGCCACTGCAAGGTGCATATGCAAGAACTGCTGTGGGTTCGCCTTTAGCAAAGTATCGGAAAAGGTAATTGCCTGCACACTTGCTATTCTGCTCTCTTTCTGCAGCCAAAGCGCAATGTGAAGCATCTTCTCTGCCACTCCGTACTTTATGATCTCCTGCATCAGCTGGCTCAGAATTGAAACCATTCTCCCTGAGTGCGTCTGGTTCACCTTCACTAGCATTTCCACTTCTGCAACTAGCTTTAAAAATGTTTTGCTTTCTCCAGTTGTGCTGTCTTCGTGCTGGATTACTCTGCGCAGAACAGGAATTGCTCTTTTTCTTGTCTTTGGAGACTTCTCCATGCATTGGTCGATCACACGCCCTATTAGATCCTGGTCTGCAAAGGCCTCTGGCGTAAAGACTGTCTTAAGCATCAGCTGCACAAACCCTTTGTCTCCCCAGCTCTTTCCTCCGGTCGAGTGTGCTATCTTGCTTAGGCAGACTCTGACAGCATCTGCCTGCTCCCCAAGCTGCTCTGGCGCATACTTGCTTGCTATTTTAAGACTCTCCTCTACGTAGACCCCCTTTGTTTCCACGCTTTCCCTCAAAAGATCGAAGGAGGCCAGCCACATTTCCTGCTGGGTGGGCTCTACCCCCTTTTTCTGCAAGGCCCCTTTTATTCGCTCTTCTAATATATTTGCCATTCTATCAGACTGTTCTTCTGCTGGCTTACTCATTAATAAAAATTTTCATTTTCCGTTGTGCTTATGCCTACGCCTATCAGCCTCATTACATACGCAGTTGCAGGCCCAGAAAAGACCGTGCAGACAAGAAGAATGTGCCAGGACGGCATTGAGTACTTCTATGCAGAAGGGGAGTATGTCATAATCGAAGGCAACAGAGCCGGCTGCACATGCAAGGAGTATGCTATTTGCAAGCACATTCTGTCTGTCGCGAAGAACGAGTATCCTGCAGAGCAAAATATTCTCAAGAGTATTCTGGAAGGGTTCTTCACACATGCGCAGTGACCACTTCATACCAGGTGTTTCTGTTCTATATTCGAGTTATATTGAGATGGGAAGACCATGTCCTTCTCTTCTGTAAGCTATTCTGCAGCTTCTTTCGAACAGATTTTTCCCTGTATGCACTTAGTAGCATACAAGCGTAGTATGGTATATAGAAAAATAAATAGCAGATATGCATACTCTTGAAGCACGCAGCGCACCCATTATCTGTGCTTCTGTCTCTGTTATACCTATTTATGTGAGAATATACTCATGAAAGCATCTTTTCTTATTATAAATTAGAATCCAGAAATTCTTATAAATCTCCTACTCGTACATCCATATAACCCGAACTCTGAATATAAATATATAGAAAGAAGTATAGTGTGCATAAACTGTCAGTTTATATTTAAAATACAGTACGGATTTTTTAATGAAATTTAATTGAATCTATTCGCCTAATCATTAGTAATAGCCAGATCTATACGGCTTCTATGAGTATGTGAAGATATAGCCCAATATAAACAAATTGCATTTATTCTTTTTGTTCTGCCTTGTGCAAGTCAAACTCTTGCTTTAGAAGAGGAAGAATGCACTCAAGGTCTTTTGTTTTATGCACAAGTGATAGCTGTGTGCATCTCTCCATGTACCTGCTAACATCTTTCTCGCCTATCTGCAGAAGGTCTTTGACTACACTGAACTCTACCACATGCTTTTCTAAATATGCCTTTTTGTATCCCTTGGTGACTATACTATTGTATAGCCCAATAATATCTATTCTTTGCGTGTTCTTTGCTCTCTGCTGGATGTCAAATAGAGTAAGAGAGTGCTCCAGATGTTCTCCAAGTCGGCGTGCCACTCGTACAAGCCTGTCCTCTTCTGGAATATCCAAGTCCACAAGTGCGTCTATTTCTGCTGATTTTTTCTCAATGCTTGATATCTGTGTCCTTTCAATCTTTGTCCATTTTAGGTTCTCTTTTACCATGTGCTCAGTAAGTGTCTCTTTTCCTTTCCGTGCACCAAAATTATTCTGAAGCAGTGCAAATATCCGGAGCAAATATATTTGTGTTTTCTCAATCCCGTGCACTGGGTGGCCGGGAGTGCTTTGGATAAACTCAAGCGCATCCATAAACCGGCAAACCTCCTCACATGTAACTGCTGCGTCTGGAAATAGCGCCTGCGCTATCTGGTACTCTGCCAGTGCAGCCAGCGCTTTTTTATACCCCTCCTGCAGCAGGGTTTTCTTTATTTCATACCCCACCCTTTCCTTTGATACAACCTGGGTGAGCTTACTGTGCAGCTTCTTTTCCCCCAGCACACAGAGTATTTCTGGCACAATCTCAAAGGACAGCCGAGACGCGAACCTAAGAACTCTTAGTATTCGCAGTGGGTCGTCTAGAAAGGTTTCCATCGGGTCTAGAGGCGTTCTGATCTTCCCTTCTTTGATATCCGACAGCCCCCGCCCAGTATAGTCCTCTATGCTCTTTGTGTTTATATTGTAGAAAAGCGCGTTGATTGTGATATCTCTTCTGTTTGCATCCTCCTGCGGGGTTCCTGTCCGCACAATTGGTATCCTTGTCTCTGTATACTCCTCTGTTCTGAGCGCAACAAAGTCCACAGAAAGGCCCATATACTTTAAACTCGCTGTCTCAAGGTGCTTTGACTTTTCATGGTTACACTCAATCACGTGGTATCCGTGCACTTCCTGGGACTTTCCCTGCAGATACTCCATAAACCCATTTGTAAATACTGCACCACTGCTCTTGTCTATTGCTATATCTATGTCGTCGCACGGTATCTGCATTAGCTTATCCCTAACCCACCCGCCTGCTACTCTGAAGGTCATCTGCAGCCCTAGCTCTTCATTATATATAAGCAGCTCCCTGAAAAGCCTCTCCTCGACCGGTCCAATATCAAACATGAAAAAATAAAAGACAAAAGTGTTAAATATCTGGTTCTCCAGAGCTGCTTCCTTTGTGCAGCTTACTTTTGAGGTTTTTCATATTTTCGGGTTATGGGTTTTCTGCCAAAGAATTATTTCAAATATAATTTCGTATTTTAATTTCCATATAATATATTGAATGGCTTCTTCCACCCAGCAGCATTCGCAGATTTCGTATAGAAGCAATTTGACTGATATGGCAACAGGCACAATTAGCGCCCTGCTGCAGGATGACGATATAATGAAGGAGAACCAGACTCTTGACCAGTCTTTTGTTCCGCATATGGAATATGCCTCATCACGGTCCTCTGCAGACGGAGAGCTCATCCGCCATGTAACCACAGCCTTCGCAGAGGTGTGCAAAAGAATTGAAACTCTGCACAATATGATTGAGAAACAGGCAGAACGCCCAGATGTAATGGAAGAAAAGCCTGATCTAGACAGCATGATATTACAGGAAAAAGACGAAGTAGGCTGGCTGGAGAGGATTAAGCAGATCATATACGGCAAAGACAAAGAGGAGAGCACCGAGTATCCGCAGGCTGCTGAAGAGCACACAGTGCAGGCAGAGCCAGAGCAAATCATAGAGCACAGCGTGGAGCATAGCACGCTTCTAAATGCGCTGCGCAGAGTAGAAAAGGCAGGGATGCAGGCAGTTATGAGTCGGCAGGGGATAGCAGGCGAGATAACAGCGCAGAGGGAAAGAGAAAGCGCAACAGCAGAGATAGCGTACCAGAAGGCGAGAGCAGAGGCTGCAGAGCAGGCTCTTAAAGAGACAAAAGAGCAGCTTGCAAGCTGCCGGGCCCGGCTGAAGATACGCAAGAAAGAGATCACGGAGGTCCGGGCCTCATTTTCCTCGTGCTCTGCAGCTGAAGCGTCTCTTGCAAAATTGGCCACAACTGCCTCTGTTCAGATCACCCGGATTCTCCTGCTTCTTGGAATGCCAGACGCAATTGAGCAGCTGCACAAGGAAATATCAGCAGGTGAGGTGGGGAAGCTGGTCACTTCTCTGCAGGAGATAGAAGGGGTCTTCCGAGAAAGCATGCACAGAGAGAAGGAAATGCACGAGAAAATGCAAAAAGACAAAATGCAAATTGGAAGCCAAATCCTGGCCCTCCATAAAGAGCTTGACGTCCTGAAAAGAGAGAACCAGGAGATGATAAAAGAGACAGAGAAAATGCGAGATGAGAAAGATGCAATTATCAATAAGCAGCGCCTAGCAATAAAACTTCTAAAAAGCAGAATAGTCCAGGGAAGCGGGCTTCTCTCCAGAATTGATCTTCCAGAAAGCATATCTGCAAGAAAGGACGTGCCTATAAATAGCGTATTTCCGGCTGAACAGGCCAAGCCAAAGTCAAAGGTTGAGATTGAGCTAAGGGAGAGGATTGCAGACTTAGAAAAGCACCTTGCAGGCCTTGATGGCACTGACACCCCGCAGTATAAGAAGAGCTTGGCCGATTTAGAAGACTGTAAAAGAAGGCTTGCCGATTTTATGAAGATATAATAAATATATGAGATTAGAATCACTTTGATAAGGGCGTTTCTGGTCTTATTAATTATGGAAACATAATCTGCATTCTTTCATGCCCTTTTATCCCCATCACTTGATACTAGCTGTGCTACATGTGTTGAAGAGTGGCATATTAGCATGAGATAGCACATATTGTAGTTACGCAGAAAATAATACTAGGAAATTCATAGCAGGGTGTGCAATGCAAAAATAACAGCTATAAGACATATACTTGTAAATAGTGTAAAAACACGCTCAAGTTATAAAGCACCTGGTAAGTGGTAGTGTAAAAATAATATAAATATAGTGGGGTTCTGCAGGCTCTTTTATTTACCTCTCAAATACATAATAGAATTACATATCTATTCGTATACTCAACAAACACTAAGAATTCTTTAGTTCATGTACAGCGCCATCATAACCTCTTTTTTGGAAAACCCGCACTTCTCATAGAACTTCTGGTTCTCCTCACTGCATGCAAGTATGACTTTGTAGCACTTTCTGCTTTTTGCTTTGTCTGCTAGAAAGGTTATCAGCTTTTTCCCCAGGCCCTTTCCCTGGCACTCGTTTGAAATGACTATGTCCTCTATGTGCCCCACACACCCAAGAGCGCGAATAAACTTTTTTTCTACAAGCAGAGTACCTGACCCCACCACACTTCCCTCCGGAGACACAACCACAAAAACATTGTATGTGTCTTTGTGCTTCTGCATGTACCGATACATTTTATCTATGTCTGCCTTGCTGGGAAGAGGTGCTTCTGTAAGGGTGGATAGAAGCGTGAAGTACTTCTCGTTTAGGTCCTCCTTTTGCAGTTTTCTAATTACAAATGACATGCTCTTCTGAAACCTAATACATATATATAGCTGAAAATAAAACAAGTGCTCTACCTGTATAAATAAATAAATATTCTCATATCTAAACAGGCTAGTTCTACTGCAGTATCTAGCCCTTTATATGTATGCCTAGTATGCATTTAAAATACAGTGGGCTTTTCTGCAATTCTTGGGGCTTTTGCATTAGATCTGAAATCTTGCACATTGGAAGATCCTGCAGGCATTCTACACATGCAGAACAGAGGGGAATGAATATGTGTGTATGTATTCGTGCTGTAATAAATACATATTGCATTTTTGTGAGCGCTCTTAGTGCAGAAAACTGAGTTCACTCAGACAGACGGTTTCTTTTCGCACATATGTGTAAATAAAATGAATAGAAAATGAAAATACCTCAGCTTCCATACAGTCACATACTAGCGCATTGCTGCTTTTAGTAGCCAGCTAATACTTTCTCAAGCAGCCCTGCTAAATACCAGTATGGTGAAAATTACGTTTTGGAAGATCGAAAAGTTTTTAGCACTAGCAGAATTTTTACAGCTATGGAAAAGGAGTTTCGCGTTGAGAACTATGGAGTGAAACATCCAAAAACAAGAAGTATACTGGAGATAGAAAAAAACATGACATGCTGCCAGGCAGTGTTATTGACAAACCAGACCACTGCTGTCTACTCAAACCGGGACAGTTTGTGCAAGAAGACGCTTGAAACTGATGCTGAGCACACGCATGAAAAGGTGTTCAGCCGTTCCTCGGGAAGCAACGCCCGCATTGCAACGCGCGACTCAATCATTGCGCTGTTCAACAAAGAAGGCAAGATCCGTTTGATTGACTACGACGGAAACCGGCTTTCCTTTATAGACACGGGAAGCAGTCCTCTCCGTGCTCTGGCTTTTTTGACCAGCGATGTTCTGTGCGCTGGAGGGGAGGGGTGCAGAGTGATAGTGTACTGCATATACGACGGAAGCCGGCTGACTGAGATAGGATACTCTGACTATGTGGAAAGCATCACTGCAAACGAGAAGTACATGGCAGTGTCCTTGGCAAGCGGTGAGCTGCACATATACGAGTACACGATCAGCGAGACAGGAGCCTCTGGAGCAGAAGGAAGAAAAAGGATGAAAATTGCAATGCACGAAGTGTCCGACTTGTACGTGGAGAAGCCGTGCATTCTTCAGTTTATCAGCGAGACACAGCTGTTTATTGGGATGAGTAACGGAACGGGGTATGTCTACTCCATGGAAGAGAAGGCGATCACAATTGGGTCCACCATGCACTCCAAGGGAATAACCAAAGTGGAGGTGCACGGTGACTATATAATTACCTCGTCTCTTGATGGGCGTCTAAGAGTCTCCACACACACCCTGCGGGAAATATCCTCGCTGTACGCGGGCTCCTCCATCCAGACATTCAACGCACTCTTCAGCACATCAGGAGAGACTGCGCAGATAACCGGGGTGCAATACATAATAGCCACATCAACTGGGAATATTATTGTGTACAGAGACAGATGGACGCCAGAGCCTGCAGTGCCTTCGCCTGTCATCAGAAAGAGCGGGCCCCAGAATATAAAGGAGTACACCCAGCGGGACACAACAGAAACACAGACTCTTTCTATGAGTCTGCCCGACGAAAAAAAGAGGGGAAAGTACGGCCGTCTTATGTGGACATTTCAGTACAGAAAGGCCCTGCACTTTGCCATAACACAAGGGAACCCGGACTTTATCACAAGCATAATGGACTATCTGCATAGAATTGACCGTCTATTAATAGCTGTGTCGTCTCTGAGAGATGAACAAATTGCAACAGTTGCAGAAGTGTCTATTGACCTGCTCAAAAACAAAGAGTTTTTTGGCCTTGCTAACTCCGTGTTAGTGTTCTGCAGCAACATACTCCAAAGCAGAGAGAATGCCTCTGAGAGCCCTATACATGAGATTGTTGACAGGGCTGTGCAAGAAATAGATGACGAGTGTCTGGTGCAAAGCATGCTGGTAGAAACAACAGAATACATGAAAGGGCTGCTTACACCAAGAAAGTAGATTGGGCTATTATAGAGCAAATGGTAAATACTCCATTGAAGTGTCCCATATTTACATCTACAAATAAATTGAATGAAAGAGTTTTATTTTGTTATGTCAAGAGTAGAAGAGATTCTTTGCAAGTGCATACAGTATGAAAGATTTAAAGATGCTGTGTACATAGTGGAGTGCCTACCAGAGGAAGAGATGAAGAGCATGAGCTTGCTTCTTGGGTATTTATTCATGCGGTGCGCAGAGCACAGAAGAGCTCTCCAGTACTTGTCAAAGGATGCCTCGTACACATCACTTTACTACCAGGCTCTGTGCCACTCCCATCTAAAGGAGTATGCGCAAGTGAAGCATCTGGCCACACAGCTGCTTGAGAAAACAAAAAAACCAGAGGCTGCAAGGCGCAGCACGCAGCTGGAGAGCATGTACATGCTGAGGATGGACAAAGTATTTGTGCTTGCACTGCTTGCAGATGCAGAGTCAGAAACAGCAAACCCAGAAGAGTGCCTCAAGCGATGCATGGAGTCAGCTGACGAGGGGGGCCTGCTCTATTCAGTGTACCGCCCTATGCTGGAGGAGAGCACAAAGACCGTGCGAAAGCAAGAGAGAGGAGACGAGAACAGGTCAAATGGAAAACCCGAAGACGCAGATAAGCTAAATACGGATGAAAACACCATGATAGAGAAGAAGCTAATTGCGCGAATAGAGAAGGAGAGAGGAAAAAGCACAGAGCAAGTTCTCCAGAATATAATGCAGGAGTGCACCTTGCTCAAGAACGTATCCCTTGGAGGCGTGTCACTTTTCACTGCAGACATATCGTTCTTTGACCAGCTCCCTATATACAGCGTGGCCAGCATTGCTGTGCACATATTCGAGTGCGGGTACATGCAAAAGGCAGGCGCAGTTTTCGAGTATATACGCGTGCGGGATCCATGCTACATCGATACAATGCACTACTACTCAAGCATTCTGTGGCACAGCAGAGAAAAAGGCCTCCTTACTTCTTTGGGCAGAGATATATTTGGAATAAACTCTTCGTCTAATGTGGCGTGGGCTGTTCTAGGCAACCACTTCAGTCTTAAAAAAGAGACGGAAAAGGCGCTGGAGTGCTTTGAGCGCAGTCTGTCGATTCGGAAGGACCCGTATGTTCTGTGCTTGATGGGGCACGAGCAGTTTATGAATAGCAATCTTGCAGAGAGTCTCAAATGCTTTGTTGAGTCAATGAAGATCAAGTCAGAAAACTACAGCGGAATAGCTGGCTGCGGGATGATATACGAGAAAATAGGGAAAAAAGACAGCGCAGAGTATTGCTTCACGCGGGCCATAGCAACAAACCCGCAGAATGTTCTGCTTGTATATATAGCTGTTAAGTACTTTGTGTCTCAGTCAAAGCTGAGCAGCGCGTACTCTTTAATTCAAAAACATCTGCATATAACAGAAGAGATTGAAGTAGTTGCTGCAAAGGTGCTGAGTGACCCGAAGTGGGTAGAGAAGATCCATGAGAAGGCAGCATCCAACGAGCAAACTGCAACACATATTGGATCATTCTTGCTAGAGCTTGCTTACATCTTTGTGCACAGCGGGCACACACAGAGTGGAGCCAAGCTAGCAAAAGAATCTTCTGGAAAAGGCCAGTACTTCATGACCCGAAAAACAATCCTCCTTGATATAATATCCAGTGTTCTAAGTGGCACTGCTACTGCATTAATGTAAGTTTCCTGATGCTGCAGACTGGCTATCAATAAATTCACAGATATTAACAGCGTATATGATAAATATTATTTGGCCTGTCTGTTTTATCTATATGCACTTAATGTTCATTCTGCATGAAATCTACTTCTGCCTTATATGCAGGGCTCTTATTAATTATTGCTAGCGGTGCTATTTTATACTACTTTTTCAAATAATTTACATATTTTTACATGTACATACATGTTCATAAGGAATGAGCTGCATATTAAGAGTTGATTTTCTAGAAGATGTTATTTATAAACTTTTTCTTTGTTAAATAGTTTAATGAAATAGTTTCTCCTTATTTCAGCTTATATAAACTAGCTCAGATGATTATAACAATTAATCAACTAAAATCAAACCCAATCACTTGTATCCTGTATACGGGAATACAAAGAAACCAATAATAGAAAATACACCAGTCATTAGGTTGTGAATATAGCACTAAGACATAGCATTCATCTGTATAGTGTACACTGTGACTCAGAGTGCAGTTCAGATGAATAAAAATGTGCATGAGATTACTAAATTCATGCTCCAAATAAAAACCATACAGAGAATAAAATACAAAAATATAATTTGCAGTTATGTGTTTATTTATTGAGACACCAAATATTAGGCTGTATAGAGCATATTTTCTATCTCTACTTAATCTGCGACGCATGCTGCTGAAAGTACTTTACATATTTATCTAGAATATCTCTTTTGCGCACCACATCCCTTGCTGTTGGTATATCTTCTAGCCTCAGTGCATCTATTTCCTTGATGTCAATTGGAACGCACACTCGCCCTGTTCTTGGGTGAATGCAGAACGGAGACTTAAGCAAGTGCTTGGTTTGTCTAGATACATTGGCATCCAGCTTTGGGAAGAGCCTCGAGTATACCTCTCCAATCAAGGCCTTTTCACTAAGCCCCATTATATCCTGATACTTTTTAAGTATGGCTTCGATCTCGGGCATGTTTTTCTTTGGGAGCATGCTAATATAGTCTACTATGTTTGCGCGGTCTCTGTCGGTTAGTGTCATGGCTATGGCATCACTGACCCAGCAGTGCACCCCTCTTCCGCCAGAGAAGACAAAAAGAATGTGGCAAAACCCAAAAACATTTCTCAGAATATTATCCAGCACCTCTACCGCGCACTTGATTAAGGGCATGCACTTATCGCACATGTCTTTATCAGAGCAGCACGCCCGGGTGTAGTCGGTTAGGTCAATATCAAAAACCAGCTCCTTGATCATGCACATGTTTTCAGTGGTTACTGCAGCAGGCTTGTGCAAATACACCCCGCCAATGTCCAGCTTCTGCGGCACATCCACTGCCATCCGCACAGCCAGCTCATCCGCAGTATTCACTGTTATGTAGCGAATGTATATGTCATTCTGCAGGGTAAAGGAAAACTCCCGCGTCTTAATATACCGCAGCCACTTTGCAATTGCATCCATAGGAAATATCGATCTGTAGTATATCCCAAGCAGATTCTCTTTTTCACTCCCTTGCATAAAAAAATGCACATGCACATTGAGTACTTGAATGGTAAAATGCACAGAGCCAGCAGAAAAGAAGGAATTCCTCAACCAGAGGCAGACACCCCCAGGGTGAAGGGGAAGACAGGAAAGGCAGGCATTGCAATGGACCTAAATTGCGACAGATGGATTAAAACAACCTCGCAGCGAACACAGATTATATACCGGGCAGATGCATCTATTATTGTGTACCATATGGCGCTGCCGAACACTGCGCGAGTTGTGGAATCAGGCACAGGGACCCTTGGCCTAACATACGCTCTCAGCAACTACTTCCTGGACGGGCACGTAGATACTGTAGAGTGCAACGATGAAAGATTTGCAGCTGCGCAGAAGGATGTGCGACTTGCAGGAATGTCTAACGTAACAGTGCACCACAGCAAAGTGCTAGAGTATCTTATGTGCGTGGTGGAGAGGGCAGAAAAAGTAGATGGCATATTCCTGGATGTCCCAGAACCAGAGGAAGTTATTGAAGTGGCAGCAGCTGCTTTGCATCCAGGGGGAAAAATTGCATGCTTTGTGCCGTGCATAGAGCAAGTTCAGAGAGTCCTTGAGAAGCAGAGCCTCTTGTCTGGCCTGCACGTAGAAAGGCTCTTTGAGAATGTTGAAATACAGCACAAGCCAATAATGATCCAAACACACCCATCAAAAGAGTACGGCACAGTGCCAGATGACAAAATTCGGTCACACACAGGATACATTCTCATACTAAAGCTTGCGCAGTGAGCTATTAAAGATATTTAGATCTAACTTTCTTATATTCCTCTATTCTAATGTGTGCAGGCATGAATCTGCAACTTGCATGAAAGAGCTTCTGTGTGCACTGTGTACTCATGGAGTATTCGTGTGTTTGGAATGTGCACGAAGTGTGCTTGATATTTGCACACTTTTAATTAGAAATAGGCGGTGCTTAATTTAAATTATTTCAGACTGATTAATATATGCCATAGTCTATAGACTACATCCATATAAAAGAGCGCGCGCGGCAAAAGAAGGGTGAACTCCCTTCCAAAAGCCTTTCGGCTGCATCTATGCATAACTGGGCCTATAGCACTTTAGACTGCCTACAGCACAGTGCGGTACTTCGTTCCGGTCTGCATGCTCTCCATCTCATCTTTTTTTATGCTCTGTATTTATCCTAAATAGCACTCTGTTTATAGTAAATTAAGCAGAATATATGCGGGACCAATAGATTTTTTTATGCAGAGAAGTGAAATACAAACAAATAAAGACAGCCTCTATAATTTGCTGGAAATATCGAAAAAAGCAAGCACTGAGGAAGTAAGACATGCGTACAAAAAGGCAGCAAAAAAAACGCACCCAGATGCATACGTGGAGTCCACTGGGAAGTTTGAGGAGATAAACATGGCATACTCAATACTTGCAAACAGAAAGCAACGGCTTCTGTACAACATGTTTGGCGACAGCATTCTTCCCATTCTAGTGGACAACAGGTACGCGCAGTACATAGAGTCACTTCTTACAAACAAGGCCTTGGTGCTAGGATTAGTTGCTCTGAACTCTTTTATTCTGGCGACTGTTTTCTATCCATATTTGGTGCTTCTTGCAGGAGTTGAGATTATTCCATTTTTTGCGCTGACAATGGTGCCGCACTTTGTAGTGTATTTCATTGCAATGGGCACGGTTCTCAAGATGTGTCCTGTGGAGGTAAAGTACAGGGCATCTAGCTATGGGGCAGTGGCAGGCCTTATTCTGCTGCAGGCCTTATTTAGTCTTCTCTATATAGACAAGATTATGTCACGACGTGCCTTCTACATTGGGGCAATAGTTATTGAGTTAGGGCACGTTGCTGCTGAGTTTATGAGAAATTGCTTGCACATGGAAATAACAACATGGTCCTTTATCATTAAAAAGACAGTGAGGCGTCTTGCAGGCATCTTTTCACTTGTCTTGACTCTTCTTAGAATCTCCTTGACAGGCATGCTTCTATTGGACAGGTTTGTGTACGTGCCTGTTATGCTTGTTTCTATGTATGCTGCAGTCTTAGGGCTGCGCAGCAAGCACACTCCGCTTTTGTGTGGATCAATGGGCATAGGAGTGTTTGTAACAGGCGCACTGATTGCGTACATGGGGACAGGCCAGCTGGGTGTTTTCGGGTGGCTTGCTGTGTTTGTAATGCTCATTCTTTCGCTAAGCTTTTCAATTTTTGCCATCTACAAAATGTCCTATATGTTTGAGACAGCAAAGTGGGACCGGATAGGCACATACATCAAGGACCGGATTGAGGCCAGGCCGCAGCGCCCGGTGTGCAATAGCAGGCGCGCAGCGTAGAGTAGAGCGCTTGTGCAAAATGCGCTTCATGGAGTAAAAAATGCGAACTATGGGATTCGAACCCATGGCCTTTAGATTATGAGACTAACGCGCTACCGACTGCGCCAAGCTCGCACCTACCTGCACAGGTGAGAAAGCGCTAAGAGACCCTGTGCAGGACAGAGGCGTATATACTGTGAATAAATTTATTTTGAATGAACCATCTTTTGCAGGAGAGATACTTGGGAAGTGCGAATCAGCACGTAGCAATGGGCCAGTTCATTAGAAACAAAGAGTGCATTATTTCAGCGGGGTGCGACAGGATAGTGCTCTATGAAATAAGAGACGGGGCTCTTGTTAAAGTAAAAGAAAAAAGAGTTTTTGGGTGCATTCTTGGGCTGGCCACAGTTCCTTCGCTTGGGGACGAGGTTGACTCCGTTTTAGTGCACTTTGAGTACGCGCGCGTGTCGTCTGTTATTTTCATTGCTGATCAAAATGAGTTTATTTGCCGGACCCTGCGGTTCTATGAGAAGCAGCAGTATGGGTTTGTCTCGGGCTCTGAAAAGAACACGTCTTTTATTCGGGTGGATGCAGACCATGGGGTGTCTTTTCTGCAAATATCAAACACGCACTTTGCAATATTTTCCTCGAAGTCGGTGGGCCGCAGCAAGGTGTTTGAAATGCAGGATATTCGGCCAAGGCACTGCGCAATAAAAGATGCCACGTTTCTGAAGGGCTACTCCTCCCCCACTCTATGCTTTTTGTTTGAGGACACGGCGGCTGCCAGGTCAAGAATTCTTGTGTACATTCTGAATGAAGAGTACGAGCTGTCTTTCTTTTTTGAGGTGGACTCGGTTCCGCACGGCTGCTATTTGCTGGTTGCAACACATGAGATGGCATTTATGGTGCTGGGCGCGTGCGGAGCGCTCTTTTACACGCAGTGGGAGATGCTTGGGGTGCGCTTCAATGAGTTCTGGTCGTTTGAAATGCTTGGAATAGAGGAAAAAAGCCTGGAGGAGCAGAACTTTATGGTGGAAAACGGCATGTGCATTGTGAAGGATCGGGATATTTTCCTTTTCTCAGATATGATTTTTCTGCGGTTTACAATACTTGGAGGCAATGCGCGGATATCAAGTGTCATTGCTGGAAAGATGGAGCTTGATCTCTGCTACAACAAGCCGTACTCAACAGCTGCCTACATGAACTGGGGGTGCGTGAGCACAGCAGAGGGCCTTTTCCTGGTGACCTTTGAGCCAGAGACAATAGTTGAGGAAGTCCAGCAGAAACCTGCGAGTATTGTCTCTGCGGAGTATGCTGACCTCTTTCTGAGCGACAGCTCTGCGCTAGACATGAAAATGAGCGAGGGCGTAGAAGACATAGGCGAGGTCCATGTACAGGTGCGCGCCAAAAGCCCGCCAAGGAGAAAATCTGCAAAGACAAAGACGCCCCTCGAAAGCCCGGTACAAAACGCATCAGAGGATAACTCGTGTGAGAAGAGCCTTGAAAGGGAGTATGAGAACATGTTTAAGATGGTTGGCGAGCCTGAAAAGAAAATTGAGTCTGTGCGAGAATGCACAATCACAAATAAGCTGATAATTAAGCAGCGCATTCTATCACTTGGAGAGGTGATGTGTATCGAGGCTCTGCCTGTAGCAAACAAAACATATAAATACTTAGCAGCGGCAGGCTCGCCTGGACAGCCCCTTCTGGTTGTATGCAAGAACGGAATTGACATCTGGTGCTCGCAGACCGCAAAGATCCGCGGATACTCAGATCTGTTTGTGGTGGATATTGCAGAAAAGATGTATCTTGTCACAAAGGACAAGGAGAGCACAATAGTGAAGTGGGATGCCGATGTGAATCTGGTTGAGTCTGAGGTCTCCAGCAACAGAACTCTTCTATTCAAGAAAACAGATGCCGGATACCTTCAGATCACCACGCATGAGATTGTGTGTCTTACAAAAGAACTAAAAAAGAAAAAAGAGATTACTCTGCCAGAGCCTGTGACAGCTGCTGTATACTCAGATACCGAGGACAGAGTGATTGTTTTGACTGAAACGGGAATAATATACAATTACAAAGGAGCCAGAAAGTCAAAGGTTCCAATTGAGCCTGCCACTGCACTTGCTGTGCACGCAGATGATGTATACGCGATAGATGCATCAGGAAGTCTGATTATATACTCTATTGGCAAGCGCTCTGTGCGCCTGTGCTGCAGGCTGTTCTCTGTCTTTCCGTCTGTGATAGAGCCAGGTTGCAACCAGATTGACGTAAATGCCAAGCACAGACAGAGCCTTTTGGACATTGAAGTGATAGAGTATCGCTCTGCCGTGTATCTTCTTGCACGAACCATCAGCAATGAAATAGTCCTATACCAAGAGAGAGATGGCAGACTGTACAAAGAGAAAGTGACAAACAATGCCTTCTACTACGAAAAGGCTGAGGTGGGCCAGAGCTCTCCGAGCAGAATGCGTGTGTGTGGCAGCTTGGTCTTTATACCAGGCACATACAAAACCAGAGTTCTTGTGTTTACGCCATACCAGATAAGCGTGCATGCAGCAAACATTCGGATAGACTCGATAGAGGAGATAACTGAAGACAGCAACCCCATAAAGTCCTTTATTATCATGGCGAAGGGGAGCATAGCGCGCGGCATGCTTCCTCTATATGCGTATGACAAGCCTGTGCTGTACAAGAAAACAAAGGTTGACAGCATCTGCCAAAGGGTGGCGTACTCAGCTGTAAAGAAGGTCATAGTGGCAGTAACGTATAAAGACAAGGAGTACACAAAGGACATGATTCCGTTTACAGTGCAGGCCACAACAGAGCTGGATGCAGAGCCTCTTCCGCCTCCTGTCATACCTGAAATAAAGGTAAACCCTCTGACTAGGGCATACTCCCTGAAAATATACTCGCACGAGGAGATGAAACAGTACAGCCAGACTGGAGAAGTGCTCATGGCAGTGGATGAGTACCCTCTTGAGGACAACGAATACATCGCACACCACAAAATAGTCACTCTGCCAGATAAACAGAATACAGAGGGCGTTTCTGAGTTTGTCATTGTATGCACCACATACATAACAGACGAAGATCTGATGGCAAGAGGAAGGCTGATTGTTCTAGAGATCGCATCGGTTGTTCCGCAGAGGGACAGAATTGAGACAAGGCATAAGCTGAAGGCCCTTGCTGCAGAAAAGACAAAAGGTGCAACCACCTGCTGTGATATTGTGAAGGGCAATATTGTTGTGTGCGTAGGTACTAAGCTGATGATCTATATGTTTGACAGAAACGAGGGTCTGCGGGCTGTTGCGTTCCATGATATCCATGTGTTTTTGACGTCCTGCATGGTTATGCGCAACATAATTGTCTGCGGCGATGCATACAAAGGAACCTTCCTTCTCTTCTACCAGAGCGAGCCTTCCTTGCTCCATCTGCTATCGCAGAGCAGTGGTGGGGTATATCTTTTGAAGGGCATTGGGATGACTCTGTACGGATCTGTGCTCAGCCTCCTCTCATACGACTCTGCAAAGACAGTCTGCATATACAGCTACTCCCCGCAGCACATTCTTTCTCAGGGCGGCACCCGACTTATTTCCCGCGGTGAGTGCAAGCTGCCAGATGATATTTCCGGGTCCTTCCACATGGAGAAGAATGGCGTGCACAGAACCACTCTGTACACAAAGAATGGATATATTTACTCGCACAAAACTGTAGATCAGAGCAAATACATTGCACTTCTCGATCTGCAGCACGCTGTTGAGTCCGCTGACTGGATGGCGCTGGGCACCAACCCAAAGTCCCACTGGCTTACAGAAAAGCCTGCTGAGATGAAGGAAATCACCCTCAAAGACATTCTGCAAACTGGCCTTATGGAGGAATTCTTTAATATGTGCAATGTAAAGGCGAATCGAATTGCAGTGGAGACAGGAAGAGCATCTTCTGATGCTGTAAAAGCCGAGCTGTGTATCTACCGTAACCATTCATAGAGCCTTCTGCGGATTTATTTTCTTTTATTCTGGAGCGTGTAATCTATATTAGCTTGTTTTATAGCGCATGGCAAATACTTTCAAGACAATAAAATGCCCTAACTTATACTTATATTGACTTATTATAATATTAGCATACCTTTATAGCATGCATGCAAGTAACCAGATTCATTTTTATAGAGCGTGCATATTTTGTTTATTTTTTAACTGTTTAAATATTGCATATTCCAGATAATAGCACAATTTTGCTGCTTCCATCTCTATTAGAGTATACCACTACTTCTCTTCAGCACACATTAAAAACAGAGAAAATGTAGTTATTGAAGAGGAATTTTCTGATGCAAGTCAATACTAATGGATTTGCTGATCTTCAAGTATACCTGCAATTCTAATGACCTACTAAAAACACGAATGTGGCATCTAGTTGAATATTTGCAAATGCATAACTTTTAACTATGTACGCGTATATATGGATATCTATTTTATCTTATATAATTTATTTAATTCTTTCGCGCACTTATAACATTTAGGATATTCTCTGATAATTTGCAATTTCAAGCAAGGCTTCTTTTAGAATCTCCAGAGTCTCTGGATCTCTTTCTCTGGCTATTCTGCTTGCCACTGTCGCCAATGCCTGCTGCACAAGAACTTTCTGTGTTGCAGGCGACCTTTGCGGAGTTCGAACTTTTCCTCTGTCCTTTTCTCGCACAGGCGTTGAAGGCACCGCTGCATACTGCCCTGTAAGAACAGTCATTGGCTGCTGTGTGCTTTTTGTATTTGGCGCAGTTGTGGTTGTTGTTCTTTTCACTGGTGTGGCTGCACGTGGCTGCGGCGCATTGTCCCCCTTTAGTCCCAGGCCTCTTATTCTATATGCATACCTGAGCGTGTTCAATGAGTGCTCTGTTGAGGCCTCTTCCGGAGATATAGTGGCAATTATGCAGCACTTAGACTCACCAATAAGTGACTCCTTCAGCACCTGTGTGAGTTTGCTGTGTCTGAACGGAAGGTGTGTGGCTGACTTGTCCATTGCCCGAATGCACTCCTTCAGAGCAAGCAGACTTTTGTTGATCTCCGCACCCTCGCGCTTTATTAGAGACTGCTGGCTTTCTAAGCCTCGCTCTGTCCCCCTTTCGCTGCCTGCCAGGTCTACAAATGTGAATATTCCGCCTTCAGTGCGCACACGAACAAGAGCATGCGATCGAGACGAGTTGCTGTTCGCTCCGGTCTTTCCTGTCATTCTGCACTGCAGCCCTTGCTTTAGCAGCGCAACTGCATCCTGCAAACTGTCAACACTCAACTCCTTTACCCCAATGATTGAAACAACTCCATCCTTTTCTCGCGCAAAGATCTTTTTTCTCTCATCCAGCAGGTCATATATACAATTAGAATATATCTCGTAGAATGATAGTTTTATCCTACTTTTCAGCAGATCCCTCAGTGCAAGAGCGATCATTCCAGTTTGCTCGTTAAGCATTGTGTACGTCTTTCCACTTCCTGTTTGCCCATACGCTATGCAGGTGGCACTTCCTCCGTCCATAGCATACTGCACCATTCTCTGCACACACTCTCGGTATATATCCTCTGTTGTATTACGCTCGCCGTATGCTCTGTCAAAGGCATATGTGTGCGGCTCCATATACGGAGTTAGGTCTACTTTCTGCTTGCTTTCTGTCAGAATTACCTCAGACCCGGAAATAGTGACTGTGTCTCTCTTTCCATCTCTTTTCATGGGCCGCTTCCTTACAATCACCATTATTCTGCTGTTTTCTGCTGCCTTACAATCCTCTCTTTTCTCTGAGCCCTCCCAGCTTATTAAGCCGGTCTGTTCATCTCCTGAGATAATAGACGGATACTCTACAGATGTTTCTTGGTCTATCATAGACAAATGTCCAGGCTCTTGCATATCCAGATCCTCCTCGTCCTCAATGATGATACTCTCCTCTGCCTCTCTCATTATCTCATCCACCATGTCTTTTTTTCGCTTCCACATGCCTCCTGGGCTATATCCCTCCTTCAGCACAGATCCTTCTGTTCTTTCCATGAACACGTGCTCTGTGCTTCTATGCAGGTCTTTTCCCATGCCCAGCGAAGATCTTCTCTCTGCGTATGAATGCACTGGGCTCATCCCCTGCGAGCTGTGTGAACTACTGAGCTCATCTACTGCGCCTGCGCTGCTCAGATTGCCTGCCTCATATGTGCTTTGTATTTTGTCTTCTCTGCCATAGAGCCCCAAGGAGTTGCGGCCCTGCTTTTCATCCATTTTTATTGGAGAGAGCCTCATAGCACCTGTGTTCTTGTGCATAGGCACGCGGCTCTCTACAATGTGGCCATACGTAGCGCTGTGCGCACCCACACCATAGCTACTGCGAGGCGCCTCCTCCTGCATGCTAGGAAACCCTATGCTTGACCGCGCAAGAGACTGCATTCTCTGGTGGAGAGATGCGCGCCTCTCTGCTCCATACGGACACTGTGTGTTTAGCTGCTTGATAATCTCAAAGATCCTTTTTCTTGGCTCAAAGTCACTTATTCCAAACTGCACCAGGTCCGCATACTTAACTGCGCGCAGGTCTCTTACACTGTACACGCCGTGCCCTTCCAATACTTCCGTCCACTCCTCTGCTTTATTCTCTCTTAGTATTTTACGAATCGATACTGACTCATCAGCCAGCACCTGTCCCATGCCCTTAGTCTCCATAAAATAAATTTAAATTCTAAATTGCATAATGGTTAAATGTCTGTCCAGTTCTTGTGATATATGTGAGATGGAAAAAACAATACTCCCCGGCTGGAAGACGCTTATAGGAAGCGAGTTTGAGAAGGAGTACTTCAGTAAGATCCGCGAGTATCTGCATACCATTGATTTTTTCCCGAAGCCTGCACACATTCTGCGCTGTCTATCGTTCTTTGAGTACTCTGACGTAAAGGTGGTTATACTAGGCCAAGATCCGTACCACGGGCCAGGCCAGGCCGTTGGACTGTCCTTCTCAGTGCCTTCAGATATACGCATGCCTCCAAGCTTAATTAATATCCGTAAAGAAATCCTCAGCTCTACTGGAACAGGCTCTAAATGCGAAAAGGGCTCTCTTGTGTCGTGGGCTGAACAAGGGGTTCTTCTGCTAAACAGCATTCTCACAGTCACTCAGAAGAAGCCTCGATCACACTCCTCTATTGGTTGGATGTCATTTACCGACACAATTATTAAAAAAGTCAGTGACTCCTCAAAAGAGGTTGTTTTTATGCTATGGGGGAAAGATGCACAGCGCAAACAGTCGCTGATTGACGAAAGCAAGCATCTTGTTCTGTGCTCTCCGCACCCAAGCCCGTTCAGCGCAAGAACAGGATTCTTTGGATGCAACCACTTCCAGAAAGCAAATGAGTATCTGGAGTCAAAGGGAAAGGACCCCATAGCTTGGTAATTCTGATGAAATTGTCTCTTCATGCTTTAGTTAATAAAAATTCTTTAAGACTTAGTTTACAATGGGTGTATACTGATATTTATTTATTATTCTGTATCTTTTACGGTTTTATGTTGCACGGCATCCTTACAGAAGCACACTTAAGTTTATGTTAAACCATTATAAAAATAGAGAATATGACAATAGCATGCAACTCTTCAAAAACATGTCTGATACCTGCATGTAGCATGAATAAGCATTTCACACAAGCAAGCACTGTTAAAAGTCACTACACTTTGTATGATTATAACTCTCTCTTTATATAAATTCTATGTTAATCATAACATTGCATTTTCTGCATAAATGCATAAGTTTTTTATCTAAAATAATGAAAAGAACAAAACTCTTATCTACATTCTTGAAAATAGCAGCTATTCTGCATGAAAGTTTAGTAAGTGCGCGATTTAAAGCGTATAGAGAGAATGTTAAAAACTCCTCTTATATATTTTCCAATTTGCCTGTGGTCTTGATTACATCTATTGGAAAAGTAGATATACACCCAGATGGTGTATTGAACGATGTATACAGTTATTGCATTCATAAGCAAGGACTTTTCCATGCACATAACACGACTTTGCGTGAATTTCGCATTAAAAAAACATCTACTGCTACCGATGAAGAAGTTACATTCATGAAAGAATACTGCAATATATTTCGAATACTATTTCCATTTACTGAGCCAGAATTTCCTATCCAGAAAACTACGGAAGGATCTTTTTTTCTTTTCTTAGTGAGTCTTCAAGAATCCAAGGATGACATTGCTTTGCTTATATATCTGATGCTACTATGTGAGGGGGATGATCTAAGTATTGAAGCAAAGTTATATGACGAAGACTCGTATCGTAGGAAAACTTCACAGAATAAGTATTATTTAGATATTCTGCCTAAGTCAGCAGGCGCTATAAACAATATAGTTGCTAAAATGAAAAAAACCAATGCTAAGATATTTGGCGAAAATGAAATATATCTGCCAGAGTTTATGCAAGTATTAGAGTTTTTCCAGAAATACAAAACACATCCAAAGATAGATATAACCAAAATGCATGGCATGTTTGGTAAGAGGCCTTTATTTTCGCAGCATACCATGCCAACCGCACATCTCTTGATACGAATGTATATTTATTATTATTGCAGATATTTCAATTGCAGGAGCAGACTTTCTGTATATACTTTTTATATACTAAATGACCACTTAGGTAATTTAAAAAAGGATTCTTCTAATACATCAAAGTCAAATAAAAAAAAAGAAACAGCTATTAACATAGGCGTTCGTAAAAAAGAATCGTCTAGTGTTCAAGATGTTTCTACACCGCTAATTGAGAGACAAGATGTTAATGAAGAATCTGCTATGAAAGAATCTATCAAAAAACGTACTTCTGATATTCATGACAACCTATTTGTAAAAAAAATATGTACTCCAAGACTTCCTAGGTCCAAATTTAACGCACTATTGTTTTGTCTTCTACATGCCACTCATTCAACTCCTTATTCTACTACGAATGGTCTGCCGTTTTATACAGAGAGAATATATAGCAAGAAAATAGATTATTTTCCTTTTGGAACGCCGGTTTATAGTAGCGAATGCACTAATGTAAGCTTACTAGTGCTTTTTTCTTGTTTTTTATACAATCCTGAAACTTTTACATATAGTGAGGAAAAAAAACTAAAAAATGTCCATGTATTAAAATTCTTTCAAATATATAAATGTATATCTGCTTCCCGCTGTTATAATTTAAGTTATCAGTGGAATGTTATGGTTATAGAAAATACCTTTAAAAGATTTGGAAGCATATCTAAGCATAAGTTTAAAACTGGTATTTTGGGTTTTCTTTGCGCAGTGTATCGAATAAGTCATGGTATTGAAGGTAATTTTCCCACATTGATAAATAACCTTATATCAACAGTAAACATTCAAACTGAAACCCCCTTATCGTCTGAGTTTTTCTTTTTCTTGAAGGATCAGATAACAGAGTTTTTCATAGAGCTATCTCACAATATAGCCCTAACTGTTGAGCTTAAAAATCTCTCCAGATTTAAAATTGACAACGATTTCGATATTTCCGGGATTATTGAGCTAAAATACACGCATGATGGAATAACAAGTGGAATACAGCTAGAAATAACACCAGCTACTGTAAAAACTAGTTTGTTAGACTCTACAATTACTGACACTGAAGAAAGAAAAAAAAGTCTTTTGGAGCTTAAGAGTTTGTGCTGGTACCCGAATGGAAATGCAAAACATTTGTTCGAGCATCATATCGACAAACTACTCGAAGAATGTGATGTAAATTCAACCTCAACTATAAATGAGCCTGTTGCAGGCCCCTCCAAATAATGCTCCCTCTTTTTCGAATCTTTATAGTATTTGCTGTAATAAAATATCCTTTATTACTTTTCAAAGGTTAATCATGGAAGGCATAGCTATTTTAAAATTCTTATAGTGGATTTTATCACAATAATAAAAGCTCTTTACTTAATATTCGGGTTATATTGAGCTACTATTTCTATATTATTGCGTGTTCAGCTATATACTCCAAACACATATATGCATGTTGATTTATTGTGACAATGCGGCTCTCACAAGTATAATACAGTAGCACTCTGATTTCTGACTCTACACACCCATTTGAAGATCTTCATGCGTTTGAAGGGTGGAAATGCCCCTATATATGCATCCGTGCACTGTGTCCTCTACAGGAAGATGGTTCTTTAAATATGTGTGTTTTTTCGATTTTCCAAGATCTTGCAAGATAAAAGTGAATAAACACCACTTTATAAAAAATGTATACGTGAAGAATAATTTAAATAAAATTATTTAAAAATAATTTGAAGAGAATTCTTTATTGTAAATGAGTAGAAAAACCTCTCTAGCTAGAAAAGCGACTATGCGCTTCAAAGAGTAATAGGATTTATACTCCAAGCAAACGACACTTTAACCTATAGCAGCAAAGATTTTTATAAAACTGTCAAACCTTTCAATATCGTTTTCATCTTTGCATATCTGATTCTTCAGCTCACTAAGGGTTTGAATGGCCTGACTTACTAATTTAGCCATGGTCTCAATATGGCTCATGTAGCTTCTTGAAATAGACCCTATTTCTGGAATAGCATCTAAGTTTGCTTTAATCAGCTCTATATTTGGGGTTTCCTCAACACAGAGATAGATGAGCCATATGAAATGTACAATGCTTAGTGCATTGTTTTGATTTGTACCATGCCTTTGGACAATCAAATCATCAATTATGTCAGCATACTTCATAGTTCCATCTTTGAATATATGTTTACATATCTTTTTATTTATTGAATCGTCTTCTAGGTGATAAATAAAAACTTCGTTACTTCTATAACATATAAAATCATATATATAGAATCTAATCCATTTCATCAAAATATCCACATCACAATCTAGTATGCATTCAAACAAAAATCTGCAAGGTGCCGCCTCAACTACACGAGTGTAGGAGTGCTCTGACAGTTTTATATTTGGATAGCTCAGTTTACTGTTGGTTTGCAGGTCTGCAAATACAACTGATGGGAGTATTTGCATCTGAATATGAAAATTGCCTAGCTCAGTGCTTCCTATTATGTTAGAAGTAAACCGAATAAGAGGGTCATCTGGAGATAGATCTTGATCCATTGTATATATGATAGAACAGCTAACTAAGTTCTTTTTGTAGTTAAAGTTGCTAATTTTCTTTATAAGCAGCAGTCTGTTGATGTCTGCAAACTTGTTCTCAATGGTTGTGCGCACCTGTTCCTTCATAAACTCTTCATTCTCCTCAGGTGGGCTAATATTTCGGATTTCATAGGCAAGGTATGCAGCGAATAGGTTTTCAACAAATTTAGTTCTATCTTTGCAGATGCCTGCAATTTCACTCACTTTCTCCATTCGGTCATCCTCGAAGTCCATAACAGTTGGCTCCATATCAATAGTGCTATGACCTGTAGATATTCCCAAGACTATCGTGTTCTTGATGCCATCTTGCTCAAATAAAATATCAATCCTTCCAGATATATCGTATCTTCCACTAGTGCCCATATTGCTTTTAAGCTTAGAAAACTGTATTTCTACATTTTCTGTCTTGGATAGGCGTTTAAGTAGCATCTTTGTGTACTCTTGAATATCCTTTGAAAGACTATTCTCTAAGCTCCCTTGTTTTTCCTTTAACCTTTCTGAAAAGCCAAGTATTTTGTCTTTTTCTTCTTTAGAAATATTTACTATTTCGGCAATAACCATAAGCATATTTATAATACCACAGTCAAGCTCATTTCTATCATTGCAGTATGAAATATTAGGCTCTTTTAGATCAGCAACAACTTTGCACCATTTCTTCTGAAAGTTAGCCTTTGTTGTGTCAAATGGCTGGTTCTCTGGAGAGAAAAATTCTTTCAAACTAGGAGAGACAGACCCCATGTGATCAGTTTTATATGTAAAATCAGACGGGTCATAAGCGAGGCAGCAGAAGAGTGAGAGAATCATGCTTTCCACACAGTTGCTATAGTCCTCCAAATGGTTGGCAGAAAAGATGCCCAATTTTCGATTGTATCGAGGAACAGATGTGTATGCAGGGATCTGTGTACTGTCTATAAATGGGAAGACTCGATACGTATTTAAAATCTCTTGAGTTTTCTTCATTAGAGCCATGCAGTCTACTTCTGCTTCAGTTCCAGCAGG